CCACTTCACGGGGGCATATGAGACTCCATTTCCTCCTTTTCAAGGGGTTCATGCTTCGCATGGGGCTCTCATTAACGCTGCCAGTTCCAGTCTCGGGTGCTCAGTGCTGACTATCTCGATCATCCCTGTGATAACTTAGCGAATGCTTCCGGCATACGAACGCTATCCGTGGAGTTGGTGAAGGGGTTCACAACGCCCGTGTACGTACAGAAGCGACGTCGACGTGTTGCAGAAATGTGTTCAGCCTTGTATCAAATAGATCACATGTACAATTGAGTCTCCGTATGTCCCTCCCGTGTGACCTTGGGTGACGAGAGAGGAATTCCCAACTGGGATGTTCCAGTCAAACGGATGTTACCCTGGATACGTCGAAATCCATCCATCTAAATTTTTCATCGTGCCGCGCCAGGTGGTTAGCACTCATCTATTGAATCCTCCGACTATCAATTGAGTTTTCGCTTCGTTGCACTGTGCCCTCGTGCGCACTTCACGGAAACTGTGCGAACGCTTGGCGCTGTTGCCGTGGTTAACGTAGCGAGCTGCCGAACACTTGGGCCCCTTAGACCCAGCCTTTCCCGGCAGGCTGCTCGGTAGCAATCACTGAACGGCTCCCATAACAGGCCAAATGGCAGAAACTTTTGTCACATCATGATAAGGCATACTCCCAGACAAATGCACCGTTGCAGGGTTCCTTGGGTGCCTCGACGCACTGCTCGAGGGAAATCCCTTGACGGCTATCATACTGTGGCGGCCTTCCATGCTACGATCGTGCGCCAGCGGGCACGCCTTGCACAGTGACAAAACGTCTCACCAGGAGTCAAAAAGGAGAGGATGCAAAGGCCTGATCCCAACTGCAGCCCACCCATCCCTGAAGATCTATTTCAGGGTTTGCTTATATTATAGGATGCTTGTCATTATCACGTGGTTGGAAGTATGGGGTAAAGGTGAAAGGAGCTGTCTGTTGGGCCTCAGACTCTCGCATCAGTGGTCCCATCCGTCTGCAATATCTCCTGACGGCAAGCTCCTTCGAACCACTCTCCCGCCGGTCAGCTTACCTCCCGGGTTTGCGCAGTGCATGTTTCGACGCCTCACATCGCTGTGACGCGACGTGACGCTGCTCGCCTACCTTGAATCTGGGTACCATTCGCGGGGCAAAAGCTGCAGCCGCGGCACAGGGCGGATGGCAGCTTGCCGCTCACCGTCAACCACTGAGCGACTGGCCGAGTCCCATCATGGTACCGGCGAGCCGGGTTATTGATGGATGAGATTTTGCCGCCTCCACCGTCCTCCGGCGAACAGACGTTCTCTAATTTTGCCAATTGACTTTTCCCTCTTTGATAGCGGCACGGGCGCTCTGGGAGAACTGTGAGGGATTTGGCGATCGGCGGAGTGACGGAGCTCGAGTCCAGATCAATCGAAGGCTCTGCTCTCTCATACGGAATCCCATGCCGGGCCCGTCTCAGCAGGCGGCTTCGTTGCGCTCAGACATCGTTCGCCGGAATTTTCTCACCTTTTCCACCAAAGCAGTAAGCAGCGGGTCGCAAGCCCTTGTCTCTGCGCACCTTGTTTGGTGCACATCGCGAAGATGCTGAGCCTGATTGATCAATGTTCCGATAGGATTGACCAGATTTGGGGGCTGGTCGACCGGGGTGACGCGAATTCATATGCACCAACGGAAACACCTACGGAAACAGAATGGGCACACGCGCCGCTTGCATGGCGACGTGTAGCCTCTCTCATGACGCGTATATGCAGCTGTAAGATCAGATCGGACTCTTGAAATCTGACAAAGACTGACCGCCAAGAGCCATACGATAATCAACTGACTGGTTTTCAGGACTTGACTGTTCAGGTCATTGACTAGATTTGGCCAATTCTTACCTGATGTGTAGATGGCCGGCAATATTGTGGGCCTTTCGGAGCAGAATTGCAAGTCGCGGGCCGTTCAAGCCGTGATCTGTGGACTGACTACCCCATAGCCAGGGAGCCATCTTATTCGAACGATACCGACATTAAATCACGCCGTCTCCTTGTTTCAATCATATGGGTTTCAAGCACGTAAGACTGGATATATCAACTCACACTCTATCCTATCCTGGTATATGCAGGCCAACGGTATAAGGGGCGTCTGTGCCACCAAGCCACGTGCTGCAGCAGGACTGACATCGGTTCTTGCATGGCTACAGCAAGGGAGACGCAATATCACCCTGTATTAACAATCTATATATACCAGAGGCAAATCTTGGGCAAGGACATCTATCTCGTGGTAAAGTCGTTGTTTAGTAGGTTTTCATTAACTTGCGAGAAAGCGGGCAATACTCATATTTCCGCCGCAACGCTCTCATTGTCCAGATAGCGTCGCTTTGGCCCTCAGCCAGGATAACACTTTGCCACTCACCGTATACGACTATGTACACGACCCGCGTCAACCAATTTGAATCAGCTCGCGGGTTTGGCCTCGTTGCCCCGCCCCGTGTGCCCGTACAATTAATTCATTCGCAAGCCCTTATTAGTTATCTGCCGTTCATGTGAGCTGTACCAGTCCCTTGCTTTCTTGATAGGCCGTACATTAGCGACGTCCAGGGGTACTGTCTGAGTGTCTTCCGGGTCGTCATAGTCTGCAGCGCCACAGAAGTTGACAACTTTGACAAGCTTGACAGCAGGCAGGCGTGGACTTGTTGATAGGCACTGTTTCATGTGCTCGTAATACTGTACATAGTGGAATGAGGGCCTTTCTGGAGTCCGGACGGCCGATGGCTGTTGAGAATTGCTTTACTCTGAATAATCGACCTGATTGGCCCATGCATCTGTGTCGATCTGTAAAGCTAACACTGGTATGGGATCCTCCTCCGTCGAAACGCCAGATGCACAGCTGAAGTCGCGCGAAAGAAATTCAAATGCTTATTGCGTCTTGTCGCCACCAGCATGACACTGACGCTGCAGTAATCAAAATAAGAACGAAATCTGCAATGTCTATGTCTCAATCTTTGAGTAGGCCCTGTACCTCACTTCGAAATCATCTAATGACAATTGAATGGTTCGACTTGCCCTATTCGAAAACTTGCCTTTCTAGGGAAAAGAAGCTAATCTGACTAAACCCGTACTTCTGGCCACTATTGAGTCCATTATGACCGTGAGCAATACTCAGCCTCCCAACTCTGGACCGCTCGACAGATACGTGACCGTTTATGACCTAGATCCTGTGTGGCTAGGGGCATCCTCTTTGGCGGGACAGACAGGGCGCAAGTATGCGGGGGCAGGCGGTTATACATAGTACAAGCACCCCATGTATCCCCACAAGAGGAACTCCTCTACTACCACTGCATAGCCTTACCGTAAGACTTGTTAGTCAGGAATAAGCACAAAGAAGGAAACAGTTCGTGCAGCTATTTTGCAGAATACACAGTGAACACGAGTTTGAAACGTTGAAGATCCCTGCCCAAGGCCACGGGTCCTGGCGAATGGCGATGCACGTTCGGGGCGGCAAGAAAAGCACAGACGACACCCTCGACTCTCTCGGTAACGCTCATCATTCAATGGCGGGGTATGCTCCATAGGCTCTCGGAAGCGGACGGCCAACAATGGGAGTGCATTCCTTGCTGGAGAGGCGCTGCTTCCTATCTCAGCACACGCGTTGGCGTATTGATGTTTCAGGGTCCATCCATTCCGACGACGCGTACACATGGGGTCACAATGGGTGAGGATGGTCCCATATTCGTTGGGAAGGGTATGGATAGGCGCAGTAGAGTTCAGTCGGGCAACAAGTCTATCGTAAAAACCAAGCATGAGCGCGGATGGGAGATTAACTCGACCGGTCCGGCTGGCAATGGCCGGCAGGCTATCACAAGGAAAAGCAAAGAGGTCTGCGTTGGGCACTTAACGCGTCGAGCTTGTGGCGCGTCGGCCCACGGCTGACAATGTCGTGCTAAACCAGTACTGTATCTGCATTCTGCAAGCCTCGTCGACGCCGGCGCGAAGCCGCTTGTCCACATGCAGCCTAGACGCCTGTACGGTCACGGCTGATGAACAGCAGCCCAGCCAAAGAAAACCTGCTTTTGTCCTACCCAGTCAGCGACGCACCCACGCCGCTCATCTCCGGCTGTAATGGCGTGAGCGCAGCCTCAAATTCTCCGATAGGCTTTGCGTTACGGTGACGGACTTGGAGTCGGTAAAGTAGGGACGCGAGATCGCAATTCGGGTTCGCATTGCCTGATTGCCCTCCATTGGCCTCGATTGCCATCTCCCTCCCCAGCCCCCCCCCCAGGCCCGACCCCCGTCAGGCAAGCGTCCAATTCAGGCTCGAGAGAAACCGGTTGTGTGTATGCAGCTATGTTGTTCAGAGCCAACCATTGAGGGGGGGCTCCTCAATGCTTACGGCCGACCGGGTCTTGGGGAATGGCGACAGGCAATCTATTATCCGCCCTGAAGCGATCTTATAGCAGGCCCCTGTCTGGCACCCCTTACAGCAGGCAGTTCTCGGCGCGTTTGCAGGGCCGCCCGCAAGTGGTTGGGGATTGCAGCATCTCTACTCATGATGACGTATGTACAGGTGAAAGATCGTTAGGGAGCCCCTTTTATCATGAGTCCTCAATTGGCAATAGCCTTGGGTCCATATTAGACTTCAATCGGTCTTTGTGATGGACGTGGGCTGCCGCTTTGTCTTATCCGCTGGCCTACTGCTCGAACAGTTGACTGTGAATTGTCTGCAATCTTTGTCTTGTAACAGAACCCCAATAAATACTAGAAGCCAATACGAACGTATCACACTTTTCATTATTCCAAGGCATAATTAGCTGCTATCGTCATGTTCACTTGTGAAGACAGCATGTTCCATGATTTGGGTACCTGCAATGAATCTCGAAGGCGATTGTTGAGGAATGCTTAAACCAGTCACAGGACTGAAATACAACACGTCAACAGTGTTAAAGCTGTCGGCCTCACGAATTGTCCTCCTCTCCTGTCCCCTGACTCAGATGGTCATCGTGATGTTTCTCGATCCTCTAATATTTGTCTTGCCATTTCTTTAGTGGAACTATAAACTTCGGTGTAGCCCTGGGTTGATTCTGCCCCGGTCCAAATGTCTTGCTTGCCCTCAGTGTGTTATCACCGCGCTCTTCGTACTCAGTTCTGCCGGGTTCATCTGGCAAGTCGAAATCCACGAACTCGTGGCGTTTCAGTCCGTTCTTGTTGAGCCTGTGGATGAACATCACGCCATCAGGGGTTCCCAATCCTGCCCGACGCTTTTCAAACTTTGGAGGGTACCCAGGATCAAAGATGTCTGCCGTTCCGTATCGCTGATAGGGAGGGAATCTCTGCGCACCTAAAACCTCCTTTCGGTTCTCGCCGAGCCAGATTCGTTCCGAGGTAGGTACTGAAGACATATAGGAGACTTTGAATGGAAAGGAGCTGCTCAGGCGGTCTGTCCACTTGACATCCTCTGTTTGAGAGCCTATCATTGCTACTGGATAGAAGCCTCCTAGAATGCCTTGCTCGTAAGGCCATCCGAGTCTCCTGTTGGCCCTATGCCATCCGTCATTCTCCTCTTCAAGGGGTGATCCGATGCCGACATCAAGCTCGTATACGGGACAGATGATTTGGGAACCAACGGTATCCATAGGGATCACTGTTTGGCAAGAGTATCTTTTCATGTCTATCCCGAGATTCATGAAATCCTGTTTGTCCAACATTGGAAATGACGAGCCGGTATCGAGCATCACCGAAAAGGTAGCAGACCTCAAGGCATATTTACCTGCCGCCGTCTTCGACTGGTACACAGCACCGCCTCCCCTATGCACCTTGTTTGGGTTAACGATGAAGCGCATGTTCAATCTGTACGCTGACGCACCCTGCCACGAACTTCCACTCCGATCCATCCAGAACCCCTTTTTCGCCAAAAATTTATCTCCTGGTCTCGCCAGGGGAGGTTCGTACCAGAGCCAACCTGGACCCATCATCTCGTAGAGCGAATCAAGCCGTTCGTGTCGGATGGAGGTGAATGAGTCATAAGATGGGCAGGTGTCGACAATACGACCCGCGTATATCAGCGTGAATTCGTGAGAACAGCCGATTTCTCCTTTTTCATAAGCTTGGATGGCGGCTCTGATATTCCTGGACTGCTCTTCGAACTCGGTTCTCTCAAGAGCCTGTTTCAAGATCTCAAGCCTCTTAATGACCGCCGTCCTCTCATGAAGCTGGTCCCTTTCCAAATGTTAGCGTGTCCTCCGACTCGAAACAAAAATCTGATTTGTAACCCCGCGAGACATTGCTCGCGATGAAAATTTCCACAAGCTGATGCAGAATGAGGGTGTCAATAATTCGAGGAAAGGGGAAGCTCACTCAGTCAAATAGCTTTCTTGATCTTCTTCCAATTTCGCTTTATCCTCAAGCAAAGCGTTAAGAACCTCCTTCCGGAACTTGAGCCCGTCCGGCTCATTCTGCTCACTCCATCTGATAATGAACTGTTGTTGCAAGATGCGGCGGTTCTTATACTCGATTTTGCTCAAGTTTTCTCCCAAATCAGCGCCTATGATAAGAGTTTCCCAAGGTTTTCGCCCTGTCTGCGCTCTTTGAATCTTGCTTGCCCTCTGGCCCTCATCTTCAGGTCTTAATAACCGGCTTATAATGCTGTTGTCAGTGGCAATCAATTCATGGTGTCGAGAACGAGGCTGGTAAAATTCAAGTTTCGGAGCGTTGTACTCTGTGATCGCTCCAACATTGGGCTTTTTCGAGTCTTCCAGCTCACGCTTACGTTTCGCAAGTCTTTCAAGTCTGGATCGGTAACCCGATTGTGCCTCCCTTTCCTGGTGGCTACTCGAAACCACCGCCAATGTATGATGGCTTCCACCTTCTGTTGTTACGTCTTCCAGCTTCAGCATTTCACCAATTGTGTTAAACATGCGCGTAACCAGACCAGAAATCGTATTGACCATAGCCTACATGGCCTCTATGCCCAAATCTGCGTGTGCATCGACATCCGTAAACGTGAACAAAGAGTGGTCAGCCTAGTATCCGGAAACAGAGACACGATTTGACGAAGTTCTTGTCTAATACCTGTCTCATTTCTATTTCGATGCTAGCTCCTCGGAGCAGCATTCTTTGTCCTCAAGGTTCCCTTGTCCGTTCTAACCCAAAGGGAGAGCCCTGGAATGGTTACTTTCTATCCCTAGAGACCACAGAATTCCTCGTGTCGATAGGTCCATTTCCAAAACATATTGATGCCCCAGATCTCTCTGGTGTGAATTTCTCTCGAACTGTTTCTACAATTTTCCCCTCTGGTTCAGCTTTCTCGGCGTACAGTATATGCATAGCCCCTCAATTGCTTCATGAAACACACCCGCCTCTACTAAAGGAGCTGGCCTTTAATGGCACTGACAGAAGTGTCAGATCTTATTCAAGCCTAAGTTGTTCTGATTGATTGATGATAAGCAAGAATAAGATGGCCCCAAAGCGGAAGAGGACGGAGAGTGTCCAGGGGATATTCTCCATCGACCCAAATTCGGATCCTGGCCTTCGAAGAACACGGCCCAAAGGAGATCACCCACAGTTTGAGGGAAATGAAGGTCCTACGGAGCGTCTGAGAAAGATTCACATTTTCTTGCGAGACAATGACGTGGATCGTAATGCTGGCTGGAGGTCGAGCTTCGAAGCGGTTAAGCTGTATCTAAAGTATGCTGACCAACTGCGGAGAGAAGGCCACAGGGACTTCAATCCCTATCTCGTCTCTATACTGGCCGACTGTGATCATATGGTCAAGGTTCACGAGAGGTTTGAAAGTTGGAACTATGGACAAAGCCGATGGTCTACTTATCCACCTCCACAAGTCTTCAAATCAAAGCGGCTGGTTCCATATGAACAACAACTGCCAACGCCGCCAAACCAAGCCCAAAAAGAGCGCAGGCCTTCGCTCTACACGTCTCTGGTCCCTCGACCCCATGCAGTGCGTCACTCGCCGTTCATGGAACTTCACTACACAGACCCCAATCCAGACTGGGACGCATATTTCCAGCACCCAGGTACTCTCAAAATCTTGAGATGGTATACTAGTTTGTACAATCATTCAAACATGTACTGGCAAGCGAGACCTCAGAGGAGGATCCAATGGGAGGTAGTGCAGCCTATGTTGAAGGATGCGAGTAATCCGCAGGCGATCAATTATGCAGAACTAGAGAACTTAACATACGAGCACTATATGAAGGGCCAAACGAGAATTTCCAAGCCCCCAACGCCAAACATCTCGCACTCTGCAGCAGAATTCGAGGACAATGCGAAGACCCGTGGGTATAGGCGTGCGGCTATTCAAAAAGTTCTCAACCTGCTTACAAGTAGCGAGAACAGGGGCATCAACACCCCCTGGAGGCGAGTGAATTTCCCACACCCGTGGGAAAAGTCGAAGGTTACGCACTTCCACCCCCGAGCCTTATCTCGCGAGATTAACACTCTATCCCCATCCGTCAAGTTCGATCGATGCCTTCAAGAGGAGCCTTCTCGCTGGATTTTCTGGTATAATCAATGGCTCGAGCAAATCAACTACTTATCGGGCTGGACTCGCCAGTCGTACAACAAGCGGTGCTGGAATGACTTCAAACAAATCGCTTGGCCTATAAACTTCCGGGGGCCCTACAACTTCGACAACAAGTGTATCTACGATGGGTACTGGCTGAAGATGGGCAAAATTCTTGTGACGTTGCAGAAGAACCTAGAGAAGGCCACTGTCACAAACAAGCGTTGGATGGTGGAGAGGATTGTGAAAGATATCAAGCTGGGCCAAGAAGGAAAGCCGCTTCCGGATGGGGTTGTGGCACGTCCTGGAGCCGATCATCCTCATTGCAGAAGCACCAGTTACCACCTGATAGACGAGGTTGATGTTGCATGGTTGGAATTTTTGTGCCTACCGCCTTCGACGAAAGCCCTTGCTGGACTGTCATTAGCCAAACCAGAGGATACCCTGACAATTCTTCTCGACCACCGAATCCAAACACTTCTCAACGATAAGCTTCACAATCCATTCTGGATTGAGGATCATGTAGATGGGAATCCTAAGCCTCAATGGAGACCACGAGAAATCGCGATGAAAGATCTTCTACCGATCATCAATCGAGTGGGCCGAGAGTTCAGAACACATACTTGGGACAGCAGTGGAAAGACGACCACAGAGTTTCAAGTGGCTGCAGCGTATAATACCAAGCTCAACGACCCACCGAATGCACTGTATCAATTCAGCGTGAAAGAGGCAAGAGATCATTGCAAGAAACTTGCCAAGATGGGTCGCATCGTGTAAGTGAATTCACAGGCTCTGGTTGTTCAAAGTACTGATAACTACCTTAGGTACAAATGCCCAGAGGATCCTAAAAAGATCACTGAGCAGTGGTGGTCAGGTGAAGGACAACTGTACTACTACCCTTCTCACAATCATAAAGAGGAGGGCGGGTTTGTTTGCTCGCTGAACCCGGGAATCAACCCTGAGAACAACCACGAGATGTATTCAGAGACCAACCTGTCAAGAAATCCCATGAGATACCCGGAAGAGCGCATACGGTGGCGTCATCAGTCTGCTCAAGATGTCAGTAACTACAACAGGGACCTGCAATACATCTATGCCAGTGAGATGGTTCGGCGCAACCGTCAGATGGACGTGGACATACAGCCATCTATGGAGTTTTATATGGATGATTTCCTAGAGGAAATTGTCTACAAGCGAGGACCCAAGTTCGGTCCAACGAGCGTTGAAGCTCGGCGCAAAGCCCCCAGCTGGAACGACCTCTTGGACTACAAGACAATCATCCAGAGAGACCTGGGATATTCTTGGAGAACCATCAACTTTCTCCGCAACCTTGCCTTCCGCATGGGCCGAACCATCAGACACTATGAGCAGCTGAGAGTACGCACCTCAACAGCATCAGGGTTTACCCGCGGGCATCTCCATGCAGGGCTGGACACCTGGAAAAAGTACGTAGACGAGACATGGCCGAACAAGGATGACGATAATGACCAGACCTCTGTGCCTTTTCGTGCATCAAAACCAAACGAAATTCTCAGGCATATTGACGGAAATCATGCCGACCTCGAGCGCACCTGCATGACAACTGTCTTTAGGAGTATCCGTCATGGTATCATCGATGATATGGTGCAGAACCGTACGATGATTTATCCCTCCCGAAATACCATGTATGGTGATAGGAGCAAGTTCCTTGGACAATATTTCGAGAGAGCGGACATATGGAGCTGGGGTAAAGAGCCGGTAAGACGCCGCCATGCCCCTTACAGGCGGGAGCGATACTTTGATATGCGGCGTTGGCCATTGAACCGGCAAGAAAATGATACACGAGACAAGATCTCCTCGCGTGCAGACGAAGATCCCAAGATACAGCCCGTGTCAGCACTATACAAGTACGACTTGAAGGTTGGACCAATCACCAAAGAACCTAAAAGATGGGAAGAGATCTCGAGGACTATCAGAAGACTCAATGATCCACAAAAGGAAACAAGAGCACATCAATTACTCAACTCAGTGTCCAAGATGATCGGTGCCTCGGTAGGTATTGCAAGCAATGGCAATACAAAAGAGAAACACTGGGAATTCAGACTCGTCCCGCCAGTCGATACACCTCAGAGCGACCAAAGGACAACGTTGAAGCCTCATGCGCACGACGAGCCGGAAGGGGGGAGGCGGCCGAAAGAAGTCTTCATTCCGGGACCAGCGGTGTTCCCTATGGGCGATACACTCCTGCAACAGGTGAAAATGAGCAGTGAGCTCGAAAAGAGTAAGTGTCAAGCTCCTGATGACTTTCGTAGTTTGTTTTTCTCTTCCATTCAATTCATTCGATAATGAGAAACGGCACTGATACCGAGGTAGTCTTGGATCCTAAACCAACCAGTATTCTGGGCCAGATTGTCAGCTTCATAAAGCCACCGCCTGAGCGCATCCCTTTGTTACCTGAGATCGACACAAACCGGATGCCGCGAAGCTCGGCCACGAAGCGCAAGTTGCCAAACTCCTTTGTCGCCCCTCCGCGTCCCCTGAAGGTGATAAAGAAAGAAGAGGACGACCATAGCGAATGGAGTGTAAAGCCCTCTGATGGAGTCAAGTCCGAAGAGATTTTTGGCGGACTCAAGACCGAAGACGTAGCCGGTTGGCTTGGTGGGCGGAACTCTCTAGTGATCAGAACGACAGGCGTTGATGATGATCCCATAACATCCTCCAACATAATCACCGCAGAGACAAAGGTCAGGGTCCATCACAATGGCACCATCGAAGGAGTGATTCGCCCGGATATTAGTCACCCGGGGAAGCCAGATTTCACCGGCAACAACAAGCCCACATTCAATGTAGACGCCAGACCTACCGCCTTTGATCTGGGCCCTTCGGTTCTTCCACTCGGCAATATTGGTCCTCCTACTGCATTTCAAGGTGTGCAAGGCCCTTCGAGCACTCCAGCCCCAAGACCAGACCCCGAACGCAGGCGGCAAATTAGTGCGGCTAGCGATATAGACCTGACGCTTCCGTCCCTGCTATCCCCAGATGACAAGAGCGGTTCTCTTCAGGGTACACAGCCGTCCAAACCTCAGGCGCCACAGGTTATCAGATTCCCCCCAGGCGTGGGCGCACAACCCTTACCCGCCACGAGCGGATTGGTTATCCCGGGGCCCGATGCTGTTATAGATTACCCAGAGTTGCCCCAGTCCCCGAGGTCCGATCCTTCTATCGAATACCCAGAGTTGCCTCAGCCTCCGAGTCCAAGTGGATCTAAGAAGGTATTCGTGCCTACTTCGGCTCGACAATTTCCGCAATCAGTCCTGCCTACTCCAGAGTCAACACCAACTCACGTTGTTTCAACGCCCCAAGATCAAACCCCCGAACGCCAATCATGGTCGGCCCGCTTGGAGCAGTGGTTCGACGAGATGTTCCCACAGGGTTACAGACAGATCCCAACCGCCTCGAACTTCGCCGAGTGCGCATACTACGCCATCATCGAGAGCATCAAGGCGCAGTATCCAGGTCGGCGAGTGCCGACGGTGAACGAGCTGCGTAACTCGTTCAATCACCCGCGCAATGCTTCCATCGTAGCCTCGAGGAAGGCGCTCACCGCGATGGGTGACGAGGCCGGTGCCCTGGTTTCAAACGTGAACAACCTGACTGCCGACCAGGCGGGTGCCAGTCTGTACGACTGGGGACTACAGATCGGCTATCATTACCAGCTGTGCGTCGTATTCGGCCGCAATGCCACGCGCCTGCTGCCTATCGGTATCCCCAGCCCGCCGCCGGGCACCCAGATCGACCGTCTCTGGATACACAACGACGAGACGGACGAGGCGTCTGCTCGGCAGATCGCGAACGAGGTCCAAAGGCGCAAGGCAAATGGTGGTACTCTGGACATGGCGCGCATCCAGGCAGATTTGGGCGTACAGAACCACTTCTCCGGCCTTGGTCCTCGTGGACCCCCCGTCACAAGGCCTTAAGTGTTGACTCTAATTTGCAAGTTCTGATTTTCACCCTGATAGGCTCGAGGATTGATCTGCCTGGTGGTGGTCTGTGATTGGATTCGTTTGGGGGGATATCACCAACTTGAATACGGTTTCTATGTCACTATCTCCTTTGTCATGGTTAGGGTAAACTTAGCAATATCTAATGGGTTCTGCAACTACTAGTCGTTCGGCCTTATCTCTCAAACGATCTTAACAATTAACCTGCCCAATCCCCCTTTCCCCCTGTAGACTTCATCGCACGCTTTGCGTACAGCCTCGATGTCCTCCAATTTTACAACCCTCATCACGCTCTTGACCTTGCCCAGGGCAATAATCTCCGCCGTCTTTTCGACGTCGTCCCTCTTCCCAAGATTGCCGGAGAGGAAATCCAGCTTTATTTTCGTACCGCGTAAAAGCCACCTGTAATACAGTTGTGCTAGCGCCGCCACCCAGGCAGCCCAGAAGGGAAGCATTGGCCCCATCGCCTGCCGTAGAATCTTGGGCGGAAATAGACTTGCGATGGAGACTATGACGCCATTTTCTTTGTTCATGAGAGGTATTATCGACTCCAATGAGCTCCACTGCGTATTATACGCGAAATCGATGCTCCCAGAAGGGATGATTCTGCTCAAGTCCTCGAATTTTGTATAATCGACCACTTGATCCACCATTCCCGGGAGGTACTTTTCGACCAGGGGCACTTTGGACGTTGACACGGTGGCGATGATCTTACCAACCCCGTAGACGTTTTTGAGCACCTGTATACCAAGAGCGCCGGTGGCAGACAACGCACCAGGAACGAACACGGTGCTGCCTTCCAGTGTTTTGCCCCTGTCCGTCAGGTGTTTCGCACCGAGCTCAAAGGACTGATATGCCGTGAGAGTGAAGCCCCCCAAGCTGGCGGCTTCCTCGAACGAGAGATGGGCCGGCTTGTGCACGAAAAGTGACTCCCTGCCGATGCAGTACTCGGAGCAGTAGCCCGGCGCGTTCTCGAATTCCATGGGGTGTCCAAAGGCTGCGCCGTACACGGCGTCCCCTGGCTTGAAATTCTTGACGGCTGAACCCACGTTGATAACTACACCGGAGCACTCGATGCCGATCCTGATGGGAAATCTAGACATAATCCACATCAGGACTTAAGGCTCGCAATCCAGTTCGACTTAGAAGAAGAAGAAAAAAACATACGGAGCCTTGAACAGCAGTTTCATGGTACCACCTGCCACCAGAGTGTCTCCAGTCATGATACCGGCGGCATGAACCTTAATCAACATCTCGTTCGGTTTTTGGACCGACGGTACAGGTAGGTCAATAACCTCGTAGCCAGAAGGTTTGGTGTATTTGGGTGCGACGAGAGCACGCATCGTGGCCGGAATGTCTGTCATTTTCATTTCCCATGCATGAACGGGCAACAAACACAATGCAGAGAAGTTCAAATGGATCTGGGACGTGAGAGATGAGATTGGAGGACACAGTGGCGCTTAAGTATTGACGAGAAGTGTACGCCGTGATGACTCGGCTCAAAGCATACGGCGGTCGGTGGATCCACCGCCGACCGTTCGGTAGCGCTAACGGCGTGCTAACGGCGGTCGTTTAATTGCGGCGCACATTCTACCGCCGGGCTCTGCCTTTACAACACGGCAGAATCTTCTAGCTCCCACCTGTAACGTGTCCTTCGTGCTTCGTAGGCAAAAGTTGCCTGGATCGACCAACTGAGGTAGCGGTTCATTTGAATTCGAAAAGGACAGAAGACGGGGGCTATTATGCATGGGCCATCTGAAACTGCAACTTCACAATCTGTATCGGCATCTACAATGCATTGCTTCAGGGTCCTTCTTCACAAATAGCTTTGTATTCATAAGCTATGTGTGATTCTCAATCTTGAACAAGTGTGCCTTGGTTGCCCATGTGCTTTGCCAGCTCTTAAGTTCACTGAACGGTCTTCGTGGCCGTTCTGATACACCCATCGATGATATCAGCCCACTTCAAAGCATTCACGAAGTCCTTGTTGTCGATGCTCTCGACCAGGCCCGGAAATACAGCTGTTACAATGATTAGCCTTTGATTTGACAAACACTTTTCATATCTTACCTCCGGCGTAACCGGTCCAGACGCCTGGCGCAAATACCACGTGACGGAACCAGGATCGCCCATCGAGTCCACCTTCATAGAGGAATGCACGCTCGATTTTCTTGTATTTGGTGTTGGTGGACCGGATCGCATGCAACAACTTGAGTTTCGTGATCCACTTCCACCATGGGATATGCTCATTAGCCTTCTCGGACAGGCTCGCGGACTTGGCGTCAAGCTCGATAGCCGCCTCTCTGAACTTCGCAACGGAGGCGTGGAGCTTCTCAAGTGAGAATTTGAACGCCGCGGGATCTCCCTTCACAGCGGCTCCTACCGCACGGGCTCGGAATTCCGCAATTTCGGTCTCTGTAGTAGGCTCTGCGTCCGAGTCGAGAGACGCAAGCTTCTCTTCAACCTGAGTGACGTAACCCTTGAGTGCTGTGGCATAATCTGTGGCATTCAGCGAAACAAGCGGCGTCTCCGAGATCTTGGCCGTTGCGAGTGCAAGAATCTGTGCCATGGTTCTATGGTACACGAAGCCAGGGTCGCCAAACTCGCTCATCCAGTGGTAGCTGTCATAGTTGCTGTGGTATTGGTAGACAGGAGAGTCCTTAGACTGGCCTCCGAATCCCATGTCGAGAGATGGAATACCTGCGAAATCCTGGAAGGCAGTGAAATCGCTGCCAGAGCCCATGGTGGAAATATGGCCATCCCAGACATCGCGGACGGATTGGCCAGGAATGGTTTGGTTGGGTGAAGGGACAATAGCCGTGACGTCGTAGATCAGTTTGTTCAGCATAGGCGCAGCCGAAGCCGAAAAGACGGGAGAGCGAACGCCAACATCTACATTGATATAGGCAACGTTGGCGACTGAGAGCCAGGGAAGATATTCCTCAACCCATTCAGTGCTGCCAACGAGGCCATATTCTTCGCCATCCCAGCTAGCGAACACGATGGTTCGGAGAGGCTTCCAGCCCGCTTCCAGGGCTTTTCCGAAGCTGCGAATCGCTTCATTAATAACGGCAGAACCGCTGTTCGGGTCACCTGCGCCACCAGCGATCCAGGCATCGCGATGATTGCCCACGACAATCACCTCGTCCGGTATGGTTCCATTGATGATACCGATCACATCCCACATAGGTGTGATAGTGTACTCTTGCTCATTGTAGAGGTTGAGGACAACACCCTCTGGAGACGGTCCGATGTTGTATTCCACGCCCTTGTATTCAAGTCCTTGGTTCCGCGTCCAGTACTTGTTGAACTCGGTGGATTTCGGACCGTGGCCATTCAGTGACTTCAGAATGGGAATAGCCTCCGCGTAGGAAATGGGCAGAGATGGGATGCTCGGGATTTTACCATCGACAGGCTGTCTCGGAACACCGGGCTTGGAGGGATAGCCTATCGTCGTAGGGTCGCCAGGCGCAATGCTGAGGAATTGGACGCTGCCGCGCTGGACACTGCTTGGGTTGCGAGCCGGTCCATCGGGGTAAGTCTTGTATCCATTCTCATCCGTGATTTCGCCATCGTCGCCGGGGTCCGTAAAGATGACGGTTCCGATCATGCCAAGCTCCTGAGCGCGCTTCACCTTGAGCCCACGGAAGATTCCGCCATAGCGCGCCAGAGCGATCTTCCCTTCGAGGCTAATGTTGGCTTTGACAAGATCCTCAAAGTCCTGGTAGGTACCGTAATTCACGTATACATATTGAGCGGTGACGTTGCCGCTGGCGGAGTATCCATGGAATACGGGAACACGGTCTTCAAGCGCCGTAGTTGGGTCCTCCTCAAGGATGTCTTCCTCCAAGGTGGCCTCAAACGCGACATTCCAAGTTTCCGTCCCTTTGGACTTGGACTTCTCCAGCAAAGCAATTCGATGGTCCACGGGATAGTTGATGTACGTGTCGTATGCCACGACCTCGGACTTGATGCCCCACTCATTCCATCGGTCCCGTGTCCATTCGGCCTATGCCCGCATCATTAGCATCGCCGAGACCTCCCACATGAGGTGAACTTACCTGAGATAGGTTCTTTCCCGCAAGGTGAGGGCCCGAGGTGTAGTACTGACTCCATTCTCCAGCTTTCTCGCCGCTGGGGGTCTCGAGCAGAATAGCCTGTAGCTCTTCGAACGTGAGATGGCTCTGATGATGAGGGTGGCTGTGCGGGTTAAAAGCCACTGTCCAGAGAAAGGTAGCAATTACTGCCAAGAGAGAGCAGGACAGAGCAATGGAACAGAAGCGCCGGACGGTCTGGTGTGGATAGCGCCGCGGCACCACACCAACCTGAACGGTCGTGATAAGCGGCGTGGTCTCAGTAGGCATTTTTTCCATCTCCGCGTCGCGACAGATAGCCAGTATCTGTCCGATCCGAAAAGTCAATGTTCCTTGGGAGGAAAGAGGAGGAAACGCGCAAAGTGATGCAATTGCCTCAGGCGAAGTGAAGACGGGAGTCGTGAGGCGGCCTGGGCTTATCGGGTGGCTACTCCGACGTAATCGGCGACCAGGGTGCCTTCGGTGATCCGCCGACCAGCACCGTAGCGTCTCCGTGTCCGTAGATAGGTACTGCGGTGGTTGTCGCAACTCTTCCACGGAAATTGTACTGCAGCACCCGGAGTACAATCGGATCTCGCAACAGTGTATTTGAGATGCGATTTACGATAAGTGAGAAGCCAGACATAATTCGACAGAGACACATCCACGGTTGCCTTGGAGCTTCTATTCAGCGAGCATTGGCGATCATGGGAGCTTGGGCCACTAACTCAGAGCCCTTGTCCACTCACCTGCCAAATCCGACTTCGTCTAGTCCAGTGTCGGCTTTGGGCGGAAGAATCCAATAACTGTGTCGTAATTCTACAACGACGTTCACGCTTGCTCTTGCAAGGCCATTGCAACTGACTTTTGTTACTCACTCGCCCAGCCCATTAAGCTCGGCTCACTGCCAGGCAGTTCAGAACCCAGACCGGCAGAGCAGTTTGACGGTCCGATAGGATCGTATTCCGAGGCCCTGTAACGGCTTGAGAAAACGCACGCCATCTAAACCTGTCAAGACGTAATATCAGGCCCCTCTAAAGGCCCGGACTCGGCGGCATGCTGAATCCTGTGAGCGAGCCATGCCGCGCTGTGCTATGCCGTGCCATGCCCTGCTATGCTATGCATCCCTCTAATTGAACCAACAGCCACATGTTCGCATACTGCGACACAATGGTCTAAGTCAGAACGCACGGTGAGGCTCCGAATTCCTGACGTACGTAGTTCTAGACAAGGACATATCAAAAAGAAGAGACTGAATCACCTTACTAGACATATGTGACGGAGCTACGGAATACGTTCAGATAGCGACTTGAATCCTTCGAGATAGCACGCTGCACAACGCCCCTTTCATCACTCTGCATACATTTACAGATAGGATTCTCACAGCAGGATGCAGCTTACCAATTGATGGATTTCCTTGGCCGCGAGGGTGTTAATTACGCACGCGCTTGGAAACACCCCCTTACGCGTGAGTATAGTATTGGTATCGCTGATATAAACTCAATAGTTTTCGCAGCTCGTTCCATCTTCCGGCTTCTGCAAGAATATCTGCCCAAGCAAGGGTCACCTTACGGCTGTCAAGAGTGCAATCTGCATTGATACGAGAGGCTTGGACTAGAGGAGCGCCGCCCGGGTTTAAGCAGGATAATGCGGGGTGGAGGTGACGAGCCAATCACAGGCCCCGGGGAGTCAGGATGAGCGGAGACCGAGGCCACAAGATGCCTTGACTGAAGCGGCTTGGGACGGCGTGTGACCTGCTGCGTCATGCCTGTGGTTGATCGATTGAGGTTTCGGGCAGTTGGCTCGACAGTCTCATCTCCTTACAACCACATCTCATGTCCGACAACGGACTTCACATGGCACTGGTTCACTCAGACCTACCTCCTCCATGGCTTGTCTCATGAGGCGCAGTTTCTCCAGTTTGAGGTGCAACGAGACACCGGCCAACCAGCGGCAAATCGCCGCCGAATGGCGGAGGGCGGATTGCTCGTGTAAGCAACTCTTGGCTGCAGTGCTCTTGGTATTGGCTGTGGTTGGATTGGGTCGACACGCCCATGGACGCTTCGGACTTGAACAAAGGGAAAAAATCTGCCATCGAAAACCCATGAATGGGCCCACTCAAAGTACCCAGAAATGCATGTCCTAGCCGCGGATCGTCGAATCGCGGCAGCACCTTCGCTGACCACCCTGGCCTCTTTGGGCCTAGAATATGCAGATGACCAACCGGGCTACATACCATTGCCGGGGTCGCTGTCGTGAGGGTGTCGTCGGACGGCGCCCTTCTCTTTGTTTATTAAAGATTTGCTCCGCCATTCTGACTTTCTATTCCTGTTTCCTGCCGACAGTTTAATTTTTATCGCAGAGTTGATTTCCTCTCTTTGTCAGCGTCAACCTTGCGCGCTGTCTACCATCCAAGTACTTGCAAGTGCCAGCGTGCTTCGCCTGTAGATCTGTGATTCCATGCTTGCATAATTATTCAGTCTAAACTTGCCCTCGACGACTTCAAGACCTGCCGCGCCGCGAGTGATACTCCACAGACCCGCGACCATGGCGACGAATAACCATGGCCCTAAGCTTCCAGCCAAGCAACTCGCCATCTTGGGTAAGTCTTATGCGATTTCCTTAGCTTTCATATTGTCAAGCTGAGCGTGGAAATGCTCTGCGAGTTCGTGGCACGCATGGTGGCCCACATTGTATTGTCCGATTTGACTTATGGTTACCTCTTGTGTCTCATTGGCTTGCAATATACTCTCAATTCCAAATACACCATGCCGTGTTCCCTGGGTTGCCTTGTCGTCGTCTGAAAACATGCAAGTATGCATTACTGGTTATCATCGAGTCGTGATTGTTGCAACACTACGACGCACTCTCATCAAGCATCAACTAGGCATCGCAGAAGACATACCAATATGACGGCTGCACGATACTGGAGCCGGCTTAACGCCATGGCATGATCAGGTACCCTGACCCCCTTTGCAATCATGCTAACATAGTCATAGCTGTTGCTCGGTTCGCTGAGCCCTTGGCGATGACTTCTGTTTTCCCATACCTCCCGGAGATGATCGCCAGCTTTGGGGTCGAAGAGAATGACGTTGCAAAATGGGCTGGTACTACCAGTGCGGTTTTCTCGCTCGCTCAGAGCGTGACGGCTGTTTCATGGGGGAGGGCCTCGGATCGATACGGGCGAAAGCCTGTCATTCTGACCGGATTGGTATGCACAATGACTTGCTTCCTAGTCTGGGGTGTCTCGACAAGTCTTCCGATGGCGATTGCCGTCAGAGCAATCCAAGGCGCTAGCAACGGAAATGGTACGAACCTGCCCCCTTCCTTGTAGCGACATACTAACGCTGCATAGTCGGAATCATCAGGACCATGGTGGCAGAGATGGTTCCTGAGAGGGAGCTGCAACCAAAAGCCTTCTCAATAATGCCACTTGTATGGAGTATTGGTTCCATCTTCGGGCCTGCTTTTGGAGGGTTCTTCGCAAGGCCGGCACAACAATTTCCGTCTATCTTCGGCAACAGCGCCTTTTTCAACGCCTACCCATTCGCCTTGCCCAACATCCTCGGATCTATCATCTTCCTGATATCCTTAACGACTGGTTCTCTGTTCTTGAAAGAAACCCTGGCCAGCAAACGTAACCACCGGGACTGGGGTCTCATCCTGGGTGAGCGTCTCACCAACACTTTCTCGCAGAAGAGCCCACGCAAGATCAGACGCTACTCATTCCAGGATGATGAGGCAACGGCCCCCTTGTTGCGAACAGGTAATACGCCCAAGACAACGATATTCGACGGTGCAAAGAACGAGAAGCCACCTAGGCCGTCGATGAAGGACGTGTTTACCCGACAGTCTGTCATTAACCTCGTTGCCTATACTTTCTTGGCTCTACACAGTGTCGCCTATGACCAGGTGCTACCTGTTTTCCTCAACTACCCCCGAGAGGAACGTGACGTTGCAAGCTTCCGTCTGCCGTTCGTCTTCTCTGGTGGCTTCGGACTGAACTCTGGGAGTATTGGCACAATATTTACCGTCTACGGTATCGTCTGTGGCTTGATTCAGTTTCTCCTCTTTCCGCCGCTGTGTTCTTACTTCGGCGTCTTGAACTGCTTCAAGGCCTGCGCCGTGACGTTTCCCATTGTGTACATCCTGACCCCCTTCACCACCCTCGTTGAGGACGATAGCACCCGTATGGCGGCTCTTCTGTTTGTGATGATCATCAAAGCATTCTGCGTGATCATCGGGTTCCCCTGCACTACAATTCTCCTGACCAATAGCGCAACGAGCTTGAATATCCTTGGTACCTTGAATGGTTTCGCGACTACTTTCAGTGCTTTGGGCCGTGCTTCAGGGCCTGCAATGACTGGTGCTGCTTTCAGTTGGGGTGTTAGAAGAGGTGTTATTTCGGTACCATGGTGGTTGTTGGCCATCATCGCGACAATTGGCTGCATTCCTGCTTGGATGATCGTGGAGGGCGATGGACCATCAGGGGCTTCGCCGGCGGATTCACCAACCGATTCAGATGCTGAGAGCGATGATACAGCTATTGCAGACAGCACAAATGCCACAGCGGCCCGATCCACAGCTATTGTTTTTGCGGATGGTTCAGATGAGCTTGATGCCCGACGCCATGACTCCGTCATCCATGACCCGACCGGCCGCGACGACCTTCCTCTCGTGGGAAGTATGAAGAGCGCAAGCGGCATGGACTATGCTGGCATGACAAGACAGGGAAGCATGTCAAAGAATAGCGGGCCAAGCTACGGGAGCATCAGGAAGTAAGACAGTCGGCACAACGATATATGACGATGTACGCAGACTACATGACTGAACGGAACGTCGAATCCTCAAATACACTGAGGTTCGGGGGATGAGCATCGGGACGCACGTTCTAACAATTAATGGCTGTAACCGGGGAATATTGCTTGATGCGGCATTCCATGGAGTCTGGGTTTAGAAAAGGGAGTTCATCTGATTTTTACGGATTTTGATGGCATTTTTGGATTAGCGGCACAAGCAATCACGCATAGATCTGGATCTTCTGGAGCATCATCAACGGCATTAACCTGATTCATGTTGGATTATACAGGCAGCAAGATTGAATAAATACAAGCTGACTTTTAATACGAAACTCACGCTTTTACTTCTCTGACAATTCTGGATTCCCGCCTTTTTTCACATAAGACTTCGAAACGGTCAAGCTATGCAGTTTCTTTGTCAGACCTAGACGAAAGCTCAATGCGGCAATGAGATGGTGGGCGCGCTCTATATGGTCTACGTCCAAAGGAAGCAGTCTTGGCGTTCGTGGACTTCGTACGACTAGTGGAGCACCAGTCAGTATCGTTTAAACGAAGACTATGGAGACTTAAGTTATATCTTGTGAAACTGTCGATCCAGATGCTGTATGAGCAAGGTTGGGCCCGATGTTACCCCCTTAGCGGGCGGATCCACGATGCGGCGCGTCTTGGATAAACCGGCTAAATTGGGATAAAGTGGCACACACCACATCCATCCCGCCGGGACGAGACTATAGCTCCAGGGACCGGGACGCAAGCAATATAAAGATGCATCATCGTGCTGAAGTTTCATTCTCTGGGCAAGGGTCGTCTTCGGTCCAACTGCGCAATTATCAATCAATTGAGAGTACCATTTCTATGACCACATCCCCCCCAATACCAGACGGATAGGAGAACACTCTTTTCCCACCGCCTGTAACCCAGCCCCGCAACATTGGGAACCCCCATCAATACACATCAGCATCGCTATTACACGGCCCATAAAATTATATATAGCAAAATGTCGCCGCCGTTGATTAAGCACCTGTACACGGCGGACCCGTCGGCGCACGTCTTCAACGGGCGGGTGTACATCTACCCGTCGCACGACCGGGAGACGGACATTGCCTTCAACGACAATGGCGACCAGTACGACATGGCCGACTACCATGTCTTCAGCACGTCGTCGCTGGACGGGCCGCCCTACGAGGACGTCGTGGACCATGGCGTCGTGCTGCGCACCGAGGACGTGCCGTGGGTGTCCAAGCAGTTGTGGGCGCCCGACGCGGCCGAGAAGGACGGCAAGTACTACCTGTACTTCCCGGCGCGGGACAAGGAGGGCATCTTCCGCATCGGCGTCGCCGTGGGCGACCGGCCCGAGGGCCCCTTCGCCGCGGACCCGGAGCCCATCGCCGGCAGCTTCAGCATCGACCCGGCGTCGTTCGTCGACGACGACGGCCAGGCGTACCTGTACTTCGGCGGGCTGTGGGGCGGGCAGCTGCAGTGCTACCAAGACGGGCACGACAAGTTCGACGCCAAGTGGCAGGGCCCGCAGGAGCCGGCGGGCGCGGGCAAGAAGGCGCTGTTCCCCAAGGCGGCGCGGCTCGGGGCCGACATGCGCAGCTTCGCCGGCGCGGTGCAGGACGTGGTGATCCTGGCGCCCGAGACGGGGGAGCCGATCGACGCCGACGACCACGACCGGCGCTTCTTCGAGGCCGCCTGGATGCACAAGAAGGACGGCACGTACTACTTCAGCTACTCGACCGGCGACACGCACTACCTGGTCTACGCGACCTCGGACAGCCCCCTGGGTCCCTTCACCTACGCGGGCCGCATCCTGGAGCCCGTGTTGGGTTGGACGACGCATCATTCTATCGTCGAGTTCAAGGGGCGATGGTGGCTGTTCCACCATGATTGTGAACTGAGCGACGGAGTCAGCCATCTGCGGAATGTCAAGGTCAAGGAGATATTCTATAACAAGGAGGGCAAGATCACAACAGAGAAGCCGGAGTAAATCGGTACTATGTGGTATCGTATCTGAGAATGCGCTTGATAATCGTATATATACATCCTTGATCGACTATACTCCGGTAGACAAAAAATGTTATTTCCGTATTGGTTCAAATCTTGACGCCTTGTAGTAACTTCATATGGACGTGTAACCATATGGAAAAGAAAGCGACGCGATGGAGCTGCCCGAACATTGAAAGGCAGCTTCGTAAGGTCGGGACGATCAGGAGCGTGGTTCTGTCTTGTTCTTCTGGCGGAGCTAACATGCCTAGGAATGGCTTTGATGTCGACACCAAGCATCATCGGCAGAGTTGGCGTAGTTCTACCCATGGAATATGAAGGGTACATTGTTCTTCAAATCCATTGCTATATCACGATCTCAGCGTCTGTGAGTTTCTGAAGGCGTTAAACGGTGATGTAGAATCTCGTGCTTGCAGCAGCAGCAGTATGATTACTACAAGTCTATGAATTGATATTGTCTCTATTTCCAAACTATCAGACTATGTACCTATATGGAATCTATGGCCCCAATTTGATCATCAATTGTAAAACCCCGAAGTGACTCAAACCATCCCGCCCTGAGAGCCTGTTATTGGAATGAGTTTCCCTAACTATATGCATATGAAATCCAACTGTATCGTTCGTGGTCATCACCGTAAAACGCCTCCCAATTAGGGGGAAATCAAGATCAACCTCTATACGACACCCAGTGTCAAACGCCTCAAAGCATCCTCATAGCGCCCGGGGCTATGATCCGTCAACATACTCGAACCGAAGCGGACCTCCCGGAAGCGAGTCTCGACATCTCGGATGTACTTCAGAACGATGCGAGTGGCCGGGCGGCCAATGTGCGCCTCGCCAGTCCGAACGAAAGCATCCCTGCGTAGGGCAGGCGTGCTCTCGACGGCGAAGACCTCGCCGGGGGGCATGAGCTTGGCACTCATCATACTAGCGCGGAGTGTCTTCAGAGCTGCATATGCCCACTGGTCCTCGTCCTCTGCTGAGAGCTTCGGTGAGTTATTGTACCATTTGTCGGCGAGGCCCGTTTGGAGACCCTCCCAGATCCGGCGCCGGACCTCGGCTTTGGCCTCGCTGTTGTCGGTCTTGAAGGCCAGGGCAACCGCTTGGAAGTCGTGCAATACGCCCAAGGACAGATGCGGGACCAAGTCGTTACCATGTACTACGCTGGTGATCAAGCCCCTAGTGGCTTTTTGTAGTGAAGGCGACATGGTCGCAGGTGGTCCGTAAGCATACACATGTATCGGCCTACCCGCGGGCAAGAAAATGGGTTCTGCAGCGTCGGAGGAGGTGTGCCCGTCAGTGATGAATCTTCTGTGCTGCTGAGCCGAGGTGACGAAGGCAGTTCCTGTAGTAGCCGGCTCGGCCAACATGGCTCCTAGTAAGGCGGCTACAGCACCCCCCAGGGAATGACCACAAAGGACAATGCCGTAATCCTCGAACTCTTCCAATGCCTCTTTCAGGGTATAGAGTACTCGGCCATCACCGCCATATAGTAATCTGCGCGCAGAAGCATGGATACCTTTGTGGACCAGGTAGTTCTTCCCGCGCCACACGAGATCATCGTAGTCACACATCATGTCTGCGAGAACATCTTCAAAGCCTAGAGTTCCACGACATGACAAGACTACCGCCTTGGATTCTTGATCCACGGCAATGGTGTGGACAAGGGGAACTCCAGTGTTGGTTGCACCGGTAGAATCGGAACCTCCCTGTGGATCAACAAAGGAGGACAGTAGAATGCTGTCCGGAGGTAGTTCGGTATGGCGAGCAAACGAGCGTACATCTTGGTGTGTATCGTCTAGCGCCTTGAGCACGGGCAGTTCTTTCGCGATGCCCATGAATTTGAGGAAATGTGATCCGTAAGCAGCTGAAGCGTAACGGCTGTATCGGGTAATATTCCGGAGCAGATGGAAGCTGGGAAACATCCCATCTACCATACCGGTTCTCCTGAGGGTGTCGACGGCTTCAGAGTCGCTGTACGCACTCTTCTGGGGCATGGTTGACAATACCAATGATGTCTGGGAGCCTGTCGTCCTCAGCGTATAAATACTCGGTGAGTAAAGTCCAAGCTGTGACTTGGTTCTGGCGTGTTGCTTTGGTGGCGAAGGGGGTAACAAATTGTCCAGGTCGTTGCCCGATCTTGACTTGGATATGTGACTTGATCTGTAGAGGGTCGGGGAGTTGGGCCTGCTTTCGATGGAATGAATGGACAGGGTATCAGTTTGAGAGATTATCGAGCTGCGACGGTGATGGTGTGAGGCAGTATGGCTTGACCGCGACGGACTATTCTGATGGCCATACTCTGGCTCCAGGACAGCCAAATCTCTCGACGAGAAGAAGTTGGGGTTGCCTCTTTGAGGTGCTCGAGGCGCTTCACGTGCAGGAACAACACTCGAAGTGCGGTTTGGTACCGAAAGCCGGCTCGGTCCAGCTGACATTTTCCCTTGCTGAGATTTGTTACTGCCCCATGGGGGTCTGATCGCTGCTTTCGATTTGCTCGGAATATCCTCACTGCTTGAGTCTTTACCCAGCAGGTTAGCCAAGCCTGTGACGGACCCCTTTTTGAGAACATTTCGAATCCCGATTCTCTTCTCGGACGAATCTGTCCGGGATGCACCAGGTCTGTCACGCATCATGGGCATAGACTTGGAATCGGACTTCATAGTCGCGTGACTGCTCTCTAACTGCGGAGATGCGACCAATGGCTGTCGAACTTTTTTCTGGTTAGCCGCATTCTCAGATGGCCTCCTGAGCACTGGGATATGCGACGACCGGTCTCTTGGGGACCCTGGACTGCTGCTATTGATAGAGAAGCCCGCGGACGATGTCTGCTTATCTACACTTTCGCCTGAAGCCGTCCTGGCCCGATTTGGAGTGATATTGCGAGGCTTCGGGGGCACCGGAGGGCCTCGTTCTGTCGGACTCTCCCCTACAAGTACGTCGTCATCGTCATCAACCATTTCAATGCGCGATTGTCGGTCCTCATCCTCAGCATTCGAAAATGCCGTATTTCTTTGGCGATTACGGTTGATCTTGTATACGACGCGATACATCGGCTCCTCGTCTATGGGCCCGGTTGAATGATGGCCAGGGGTCATGATCTCGCTCTCTATTATTTCGGCGCCTGGAGGGGCGGGAAGCGGGACACCGCGGGCTCCCTTGACCTCGACAGTGATGGTTTTGGTTGTCGTGGTCGACGTTGTGATGGAAACACTGGCGTCTTTTGGGAGTGAACTCATGATCTGCCTCCTGAGATGGATTTCTGGCAGCTCGTCTTCCGAGCTGCTCTCGTGGTATCCACGTCGCTCGATGTCTTCGGCTATGCCGTCGTCGTTGGCTATCTGATTCGGACCGTAGTCGCCCCTATGTATACCGTAAAGGCTATCTTCATGGACATCTGCACGGGTTCCGTCGTTGAGCACGACGATATCCCATATAACCTCTTCATGGCCAAGGCGGTAAGCCTCCTCTTGTATGGTCCTGCGACACCAATTCTGCAGATAGGCGAGCCCGCACAAGCCGAGCACTAGGTCGGCTACGCCAACCTTCTCGCCCTGCACACCGGTGGCGGGATTCTGAAATTCCCGGCGTATCAGGGTGATGATACTAGCTATAGCTCTCGAGGAATCCGTCGAGCCAAAGAACTGGTCGAGAACCGACAGGAACAGCTGCGATATCTGGGATATGGAGGACACAGTGGTTTCGGTGACGTGAAAACTGGCCGTGGTCCAGAAGACGACCTGCATCATGGTCTGGTGGAGGCTCTCCAAACTTCTCTCCAGGACGGTTTCGGCGCTGTCTCTGCCCAGCTCGGAGCGCGACCGCAGGAGGACATCTTTGCCGGCGCGGTTGAGGATGCCTTCCAGAATGCCGCGGCCCAGCTCCAGGCTCGAGAGGGTGGTGAACTTGGCAGCACCGAAGCCGTAGCCGCCGATGAAGGTGCCGACCCGGAGGGCAAAGGACGTCGACCGGCTCGCGAGGCTGACTACGCTAGCCACAGGCCCGGGAAGAAGAGTGCGGCCAGGGGCCGTGTTGATAGCGTTCTGCGTCGGGTCATGGTGCTTCTCGGCGTGGGACGCCGTCGCGATCACAGCTCTACACCGGGCGACATCGTCAAGGTCGTCGTCGGGCATGTTTAGCAGGTCAACTAATTCTAGGGGTATCGGACGGCAGCGGAATGCAGACTGGCATCTGGTATAGGTATAGGCATAGGCATAGGAACTCGTATGTTGAAGTGGAAATCTGCCATTCTCGAATGTGACGCGCAACGCAAGGCAGCACAGGTTAATTCACGGGTCGAGCTATAACGGCTGGTGGCAAACCGACTCGAGTGCCGGGCCTTTGACTCCTGAGTTCACAGAGCTGGGGGTGCTACGGTTACCCAACGTCATCCGGGACGCGGACGGGAACATGTGAAGATTCGCGGGGCCAGCAGCCAGCAGCCAGCAGCCCGCAGCCCAGCCGCAAGCACTACCGGCAGGTTGCGTGGGATACATTAGGTACCTTAAGGTAGATACCCCCCTGCCGACCAACCAGTTGCGGCCCTTTGGTCACTACTTAAGTAACTTGGCTGCTGAGCGTCTTCCGGATGGTCCCCTCTGGCCCTCCTTGTGCCTTGTTGGGCTCGCTAGCCACATCCATGGATCCCGACGACGCTAAACGCAGGTCCCTCGGGAACCTCGACCCTCTGGGGGCAATCAACTTGCAGGGGGGTTGAGTATCCAGCACACACCCACCTGGGCAGGGTGGAGCATCGCAACGCATGAAAACGAGATCCAGGGTTTACTAACTGATCAAACCTTTGGAGCTAGGCAAACACCGGCCAGCGGCAAGTTGCCCGGCAAGCGCCGCGGGCGAGACTTCTAGATTTCTGGTCACAATACCAAATGGAATAAAGCGCTTGTGGGTCATGTGTGGAAGGGCATCGCTGAGGAATTCAAGACGAACAGGATATGTATTCTCGTGGTATGCAATGCGGACAGGTTGCATGTCATCAGGATAAGCAGGGGTCTGGGCTTCCGGGGGGGCCTGCGATGCCCACGTTCAGTCTACCAGGGCTATTCTTGGAGGATCTTCAGTGGGAGCGCCGTCCGCTAGCTGGGCACTACGGTGAGGCTGAGCCCTGCCAATTCAGGGGTGCGGTCAAGCGTCATTGTTCTTGGCTCGTAAAGACAAGGACTTAGGAAAAAATATCACCGCGTTCGTGTCGCTGTTTTAAGAAGGACAATTGACTCGACTGCCTTTGTCTCTCGCTCACATCCCGCCCTCAGCATTTGTCTCTCGTCAGCCCGACCATCACCACCCGCTCCACCGCGACCGGCCACCGCCCACGGCAGCCCAGCTCACACAAGACACTCGTTTTCTCGACTCCCACACTACCCGGCCTCGAACCGCAAACTCTCTTTTCACAATGGCAGAGCAGGGTCTTTTCTCGTCGGAGCTCATCAGCCCCTCCGTCGCCTCGGCTCTCCCCGAAGGCTACACGGTCCGCGCGCTTCGCCAGTCCGACTACAGCGCCGGCTTCCTCGACTGCCTGCGCGTTCTGACCACCGTGGGCGAGATCACCGAGGCGCAATTCGCCGCGCGCTATGAGGAGATGAAGAAGAAGGATGACATCTACTATATCCTCGTCATTGAGGATGCCAGCAGCGGCAAGCCCGTTGTCGTGGGCACCGGCGCCCTGATTGTCGAGCACAAATTGTAAGCCAAGCATCTCCTAGTGCCGTGTTCTCTCGGCCTCGTGCGCGCGCGAAGGCCCGAGGGGATACAACTTTGTGCTTTATCTGGTTGAGGGGGACCGAATTGAGCTAACCACTTTCTTCTCTGGCAGCATTCACGCCCTGGGCAAAGTTGGTCACATTGAGGATATTGCAGTTGCCAAGGACCAGCAGGGCAAGAAGCTGGGCCTGCGCCTGATCCAGGCTCTGGACTTCATCGCCGAGAAGGTCGGCTGCTACAAGACCATCCTCGACTGCAGCGAGGCCAACGAGGGATTCTACGTCAAGTGTGGCTTCCGGAGAGCCGGCCTGCAGATGGCCCACTACCACGAGGGCGAGAAGAGTAAGACCCAATGATGCGCCTGCACCGTGTCTGGCATCTCCGTCAAGGAGAACGCCGGGGACGCCGCAGCTTGGCTTCCCTTCGGCTGATACCTGGCGCTCCATAGAACTGAAGCTATGACTCCGGCCGCGATGGCCGGTTGTGCGGTCGCATTGGACCGCCTCACGACTGATGAAAAAGGGATAGATGGAAGAAATAGCTAGAAAGCCACCTGGCGCCAGAGCAAAAGGCGGCACTAATGACGTTAAGTAGGGCGGAGAGAATCTTGAGAGCAAAGCACGCCGTTTCACATGTGAAAGAAGCTTCATCCTCTGGCACGTTTAGAGGCGCCTGGCATCTCGTGACCTGCGAAACCCAAAATTCCTGACGGCTGCGCAAGCAGCACTCTATTCGCGAGCCCGTTCGCTGACACATGCCCGTGCGGCCTCTTCCGTGGGCTGCGGTACTGGCGTGCGTAGTAGCCGATTAGAGCAGTACACGATACGCATCCGGCCAAGACCACATGCCTATCCAACGATCCGAAAGTCAAATGCGAAGGTCCCCCCTGTGCCGAGACGACAGTATCTTGCCATCACATACTTAAACACCAAATCCTCCTTCGATTCCCTGGCCTGAATCAAGATCCAGGACTGAGCAGCCACGCCATTTCCAGAACTCATCCGTACTATTGTTCCATGTGCGCCCCATACGGACTCCCCCGGATATCCCCATTTTAGAGTTCCCCGTCAGCACCCAGATCACGCCTCCAGCCAGCCTGACAGCCAGCCCCCTTATATAGAAGAAAGACCTGCGTTTCTTTCTTTACGAAGATGGGTGCTCAATCCGACAAGCAGTTCCGCAATTTGTTGATCCGAACGAACATCGCTCTCTTCCAACGACAGTAAGTAGAGCTCCGCCAAGCCCAGCTTATATTCCCCATCTCTCCATCTTGCCCGATATTGGGGCAGCGAAATTGGAATCCCAAATGTGGGTTTTTTGCTTTTTGCGGCTAGGACCTCGCAGCCCATAGGAACTGCACGTGTCGATTAATTAGTAAATCGTGTCGCGTGACGTCCTCGACCTGCGGGCGGGCGCCGCCGCACTTACAAGATCATTGCTTATACGGACCTCGCTTACATGTCCATACAGGATCCGCGAGCAGAGCAACTGGTACAACACCCCACGTGTGGTTATCCGCAAGCGTTCTGGAAAGGTGTTCCTCTCGCGCCAGGGGAACCGCAAGAAGCACGTCCAGATCGAACTCTTGACCTCCGACTTCGACTCCGACTTCGAGGTCATCGACGTCTAGGACGCCGTCATCCGCCATGCCGCACTCGGTCGCAAACGAAGCCCCCGCCAAAAAGGCCATGCCTCGGAACTGGATCATGGGCCCCGAGGCCTTCAACCGGCGGATGCCGCACCACGAAGGCATCCGGGCGCTCTGGGAGACCAAGTGGAAGTTCCCCTGCACGAGGTCGCTGTATCCGTTCCACGACGGCGCGTACGAGGACTTTGAGCCCGTGTTCGAGTTCCTCATGCGCAATAACATCAACGACGGCACCTCTGTCGAGTACACCAGTGCCTTCTTCCCCGTCGCCGAGTCGCTCTCCAAGAGGGGCGACGAGGCCATGGTAAAGGGGGACAAGGAGACCGCCAGTGCGTTGTACCTCCGAGCCGCCTGCGTGCTGCGCATCGCGCGGTTTCCTTACATTACATCGTTCCCCGAGATCAGCTGTCCAGAGAAATGGAAGGCATGGGAATTTCAAAAGGAGGTCTACATGAGGGCGGGCCGGTCCTGGAAGTCGCCTGTCACTGAGGTCTCAATTCCACACACGCACAGAAAAGGGGCTGACCGGAACTCAATTCCCGTGTACGTCCGCGTCCCGGAGGGCATGGCAGAGGGCCAAAAGTGCCCGGCAGTGCTCTTAATCACAGGGCTGGACGGCTACAGGCCTGACAACACAGTCCGGTGCAACGAGTTCCTGTCCCGGGGCTGGGCGGCCGTGGTGGCCGAGATCCCGGGGACGGCGGACTGCCCGGCAGACCCGGCGGACCCGGACAGCCCGGACCGGCTGTGGGACAGCGTCTTCGGGTGGATGGCGGCAGATGGGCGCTTCGACATGTCGCACGTGCTCGCCTGGGGGCTGAGCGCGGGCGGCTACTACGCCATCCGCATCGCGCACACGCACAAGGACCGGCTCCGGGGCGCCATTGCTCAGGGCGCCGGCTGCCACCACTTCTACGACCGCGAGTGGATGGACAAGGCCGACGGCCACGAGTACCCGTTCCAGCTGTCACCCGCGTTCGCCATGAAGCACGGGTATGCGAGCGTGCGCGAGTACAAGGAGGGTGTGCAGAAGAAGTTCTCCCTGCTGGAGACGGGCGTCATCCAGAAGCCCTCGTGTAGGCTTCTGCTGATCAACGTGAGTATAGCACATGACCCCCCTCTTTCCTTCCTTGCAGAAACCAATTGGAGCTGACTGTCTCATCCCAGGGCACCCTCGACGGCCTCATGCCGATCGAAGACTCGATGATGCTATTTGAGTACGGCTCGCCGAAGGAGGCGAGGTTCTTCTCAAACGCATTGCACATGGGCTACCCCCTGGCGAACGACTCTGTGTACCCCTGGATGGAATCTGTCATGCGCGTTTGACTTTCAAACAAGACCTCAAAGAAAAGTTGTGTAGTTATCAAGAGAAACGTTCAAGCGCTCGTGATTCATGTAATTAACTTGGTAATCCTACTGCGAATACAATTGGCGCCTGCTGCAACCCCAACAGTATCTGAGATGTCATGCCCACACATCCCACTCTCTCCACCTCCCTACCGGCCCATCCAGCCGCCGTCGACCACCAACGTGTGCCCGGTGACGTAGGCGCTGGCCCTGCTGGCGAGGAAGACGACGCTGCCCTTGAAGTCGTCGGGGGCGCCCCAGCGGCCGGCGGGGATGCGCTCGCTGATGCTGGCGAGGCGCTTGGGGTCGTTGAGCAGCGCCGTGTTCATCTCGGTCTCGATGTACCCGGGCGCGATGCAGTTGACCGTGATGCCCTTGTCGGACCACTGGTTGGCCATGCTCTTGGCCAGCTGGCCCACGGCGCCCTTGGACGCCGCGTACGCCGGCACGTTCAGCCCGCCCTGGAACGTCAGCAGCGACGCGAAGTTGATGATGCTGCCCCGCCGCCCCGTCGCTGCCGACGGCTCTAGTGAGAGCATGTGCGCACCCACGTCGCGGCACAACGTGAAGACTGAGTTGAGGTTCACTTGAATAACCTGCGCGTTACAACTGTCAGTCTGCCAGTTCTAAGGGGAAGATGCGAGGGGTAGTATGCCCAAAGCGCAAAAGTGTATACCTTGTTGAAGTCGTCGTCTGGGAATACCTCGCACGCGTGTCGGATCTGAATACCGGCGCAGTTGATCAGGATCCGGATCTGGTGGCCGTCGGCCAGAACCTTGGGCACAAGCTTCTGCACATCCTCCGCCGAGCTCAGATCTGCCGTGTAGATGGTGGCTTTGCGACCTAGCGCCTCAATTGCCTTTTGTGTCTCTGTTGCGGTCGTATTTCTCTGCGAAAGACACAGCTCGTTAGCTTTGTGAGCTCCCTCAAGAGTTCCCGTGCAAGAAGCTATCGTACCTGGACAAGCAGAATATCAGCCCCGGCCTCGGCGAGCGCAATTGCGACTGCTGCGCCGATTCCACGGGTGCCGCCTGTGACGAGGGCAGTCTCGCCTTGCAGTGAGAATAAACCGGACATGATGAGGGTATATAATACGGTTGGCACGTTTTTGAAAAAGAAATAGGGTATCAAGTAGAAGATGTGGTTTCCAGAACTACAGAATTTTGCAAAGTCTTAGAGGGCAGCGAGAGATTAAACTCGACGAGCTTCGGCGTCCTGCATGCAAAGATGCAAATGACTTCATCCGGCATCCGGCTTTCGGGGCATTGGGACGCCAGCACTAAGTCAAGGATAGCGGCTCCCCAGTTTGTCCAGGGTTCTATATTCTTTATTTTTTTCGGCGCCATTGGCCTCTCAAATTCCAGAAGCCCCAGATGATCTCCAGGAACCGGGCCATAGACTGCTCACATGTACGCTATTCTGAAGCCAACTCTGTAGCTTTGCGGTTTAAGCCGTTGCTTACCCCACGAGTCGAGGTACTCCCCCCACCGATGTGGGTTGAGGGGCACATCGGAAAAGGCAATTTTCGCCGAATCGTGCTATTGCCCCGCGAAAAGCCACAGCGCTGGGCGCGAGTCGCGACTTATGCGAAAGATCTCTTAATAGTGTGAAAGGTGATTCAGTACGTTCTCCTTTCGTGATATATTTCCATAGGGTATCAAGTTGTGTAAGTGTTGATCACGTAAACAAGATTCAGGACTATTAGTTGAATCTCTCAGCACTCATTTGTTTAAGAGACAGACTCAATCTTAAAGAGTATGCAAACTACCTATAAGGATGGCTATTATCGGACCGCATTATCCGATCGCCTTACTCCAGCCGGAAGTGTTGGAATACCTGTAACAAATGCTCTGTCTGCTATAGGCTGCCTTACTTAGCCCTACCAAGCATTTCCCCGGAAAGATCGTCTCACAGAGAAGCACTGCCGTCTCGGCATAATCGCACCTTCAGCAGTTTGCGCAACGTGGGGTGAAATCGGAGAAATTTGGGGTAACTCGCCAGAAACGTCGCTTTTGGCCGAGTATACCAACCCCCACCACCCCGCCTCAGCGCCCGGGGTGCAAATACTTGGAGCAGAGCTCGACTCCACACGCCCGCAGCAACGGTGCTACATCTTTGCAGCGACAGGGTGCAAGCATCGTCATAATTCCCAGCGCCTGGCTTCCTCGGGGTACATATCGGAGCCCTCGCCGGTGCGGGACGGACAGCAGCTTAGGGAGGAGCTCATTTGAAAGTTCAGCACGGAAGAATCTTTTACTCTTAATAAATGCCACCGGCAAAGGAAACTCCCCTTTCTCAATCTTATTATTCCACCGAAAACTCGTGATACCTGAGACTGCCTCATCATCATCGCGTCGAGCATCTCTTGTGCACAGTATTACCGATTGTCTGCTTCACATAGAAGCATAGTAAATACCCCTCCCCAGCTCAATTTACAGCTCGCGCCTGCAAGATGTGTGGCTGCGACGTCAGAGCGTCCGTACTCCACGGAGCCAAGGACCTCAGGGTTGTGAGTAGAACGCAGTATTATAAGCTATGAGGCTTGAAGACTTACACCGTTTGCGCCAGCAAAACCGCGATCTCCCAGCCCCAGAACCGGCCGAGGTCCAAGTCGCCGTCAAGGCCACTGGGCTCTGCGGCTCCGACCTCCACTACTTCAGCCATTACCGCAACGGCGACATCCTGGTGCGGGAACCCATGACCCTCGGGCACGAGTCCGCGGGTGTCGTGACGGCCGTCGGCGCCGAGGTGAGCACGCTCAGGGTCGGCGACCGCGTGGCCCTCGAGGTCGGCCTGCCCTGTGAGCAGTGCGGGCTCTGCAAGGAGGGCAGGTACAACATCTGCAAGGGCATGAAGTTCCGCAGCTCGGCCAAGGCCTTCCCGCACTTCCAGGGCACGCTGCAGGATCGCATCAATCACCCGGCCAAGTGGGTGCACAAGTGCGTATAGAATGACCCCCACCCTGAAAGAGTCTAGCACTGACTGCCCGGCCCAGGCTACCCGAAAACGTCTCCTTAGAGTATGGCGCCCTCGTCGAGCCGCTTTCCGTCGCGATGCACGCGCGAGACCGGGCGAACCTGAAGCCCGGTGCCACAGTGCTCATCCTGGGCGCCGGCGCAGTGGGCCTGCTGTGCGCGGCGGCCGCCAAGGTCTCGGGAGCCAAGTCGGTGGTGATCGCAGATATCCAGGAGGACCGCGTAAACTTTGCGGTACAGAACGGATTCGCAGATGCCGCCGTCGTAGTACCCATGGCAAGGCCGGAAACGATCGAGGATAAGCTGGCGTATGCGAAGGACTTGGCAGCCAAGATTGGGGCCACAGAAGTCAAGGGAGAGGCGATAGGGGAGGTGTCTGTCACGTTCGAGTGTACTGGTGTGGAGTCGTGTATGCAGACCGCCATCTACGTAAGTAAAAAAAAAAAACTCTCGCAACCGGCAAGTACCAAGTCAGCTAACGTGTTGCAGTCGACACAAGCAGGCGGCAAAGTCATGATCATCGGCATGGGTAACCCCATCCAGACCCTTCCCCTCTCGGCCGCGGCGCTCCGTGAAGTCGATCTCGTCGGTGTCTTCAGATATGCGAACACGTACCCAGAAGTTATCAACATGCTAGCAAGCAAGAACGCAGCGCTACCAGATGTCGGCAAGTTGATAACGCAAAGATATAATGGATTTGATGAGATTCCAGAAGCATTCAAGATGGCCGGCCAGGTCAAGGATGACAAGGGTAACTTAGTGTTGAAGGTCATGGTTGGTATGTAAAAAGTCAGTTTAGCGGGATTGGAGTAAGTGGGAGTTCACTTCAGGGGAGACTTCAATCAACCTGCTGGTTGGTGATCGAGACTCCGGACAATCTTCAGAAATTCAAAATTGTAGATGAATAGTACAATACTGTGATTTTGACAAGGAAAGATGAAATGGCTATGCTCTCCTGATATATCAGATTCGAGAGCACTGAGTTTCTGGGTCGTTGAAGAGACTTAAAGGAACTCTACAAGGTACCAGGCACAGATCCCAGAAAATGACACCGTAAGGCTGAGATTGATGAGTCAATAGATATGCAGATATAGAACCTTGATGTCCACTCAGAAGAATATGCTACATGATATCCCTGAAATTCTCTTATCGTAATGATAGAACACTGGTAGTATCAGCATTCTGGTAACCCAACAATCGAATCCTTACGTCCATACAGTCCGCCAGCCGTCCCCTCTTCTGAACCGCTCGCTCTTCATATTTTTCTACAAAATGTCACCAAACCTGCGAATCTGGGCGTACGAGATCTGTCACACAGCACGGCCGCTCACAGGTGCCTTGGGTGGATTTTGCAATGTTTCGACGCAACTTCTGATCGATTCTGACGATTACCACGTTGAAAGCTACGTCTAGCACGCCACGATAACAGAACCAGCAATGTCTTCCACACCAGCATCCAGTATCTTCACGCTGCCCAGGGAGAGTACGCTACCCATGTGATCAAAGTTGGTGGCGAGCTGTGGGTGAATGGATCACGGACAACAAATCCCACTGGCAACGGGCTTGGTAGAGACCTGAGTAAGGGCAGTTACTCGGCCTTGTCGGAGACGGTGGAATGGTACGGATCGGAGTACGATGAAATCGTGATGCGTTGGGCGAAGAACACGACCGATGCGTCCCCAGACTATGGTGCCGAAAACCAAGCCCGGCTTCTGAACATCTCGAGGAATTACGACCCTGGGCGAGTCTTCCAGATGTTACTTCCTGGCGGCTTCAAGAATGGGCTACGAACATGACGAGTATTGACGAAATCAATTGGTATTTGGCGGCGTTGACTGAGTGATTCAGGGATGTCAAGAACGTCGTTGCTACTGTCTGCGTTCTCATCAGCTGGTATTCTCTTGTCAGGCTCCCGGAAGCTTACAATGTTTTGCCAAGCCCTTGACGCCATCACATTTAGATGGGTTCGGTTCAAGATCCGCCGAGTGGCTCCTTCACCCCACCAGCCCACCAAGCTTTCGTTCAGAATTTCCACAAACGGCAGCGCACTTGATCGAGTGGGAATTCCATTGCCTCCTCGCGGCAAACCGCCCAAAGCCGTCTTGGATGACGGAACAGGCCAATCCTAGCCACGGGCGACCGAGTGCCTGAGCCCTGACCCGCGTTGCTAATCTGTAGAGTACAACCCCGCGATGGTCCCACCCTCTCCCCCAAGGCAAGCCGCCATGCGCGTGTATCTCGCCGCCATTACACGCATGACAAGGGCTCCAGTGAACTAGCTGGCCTCATGGACATGGAATTTCATCCCGCTAGTGGGGACAATCGCCAACTGTTGCAGATTATCCGGGGCGACTCACGTCTCTGACGTGACACCTTGAGGACTGGGGTTCCGCGGTATTTTGCCTGATGTATATAAATACTCCGTTTCGCTGGCACACAGCCATGGGGCTCGTCCCGAAATCCAAAGCATAGATACCCATTTGACTTATTTGTTGTGTTATTTTCTTCAATCACTCAAGAAAGGCAGCATATTAGACAAGCAGAGACTCGCAATCATGGCTCCTACCTCGTTCAAGCTCAACACAGGCGCAGAGATCCCCGCCGTCGGTTTCGGTATGCTGCCCCGCACTCCCACCATCGTGACTTTCACCCCACCTTGTGTGTGTTAATGGGCTCTTCGTTACGCCTGGGTGGAAGTCGGCGGTGTTGGTATTGGATCCCAAATTGCTAATAACAGAACCAGGCACCTGGCAGGCACCTCCCGGACAGGTCGCCAAGGCAGTTGAGATCGCTCTCAAGTCCGGATACAAGCTTATCGACGCGGCGTACTGCTATGCGAACGAAGACGAAGTCGGCCAGGGTTTGAAGGCGGCCTTCGATTCGGGCATCAAGCGAGAAGACATTTTCGTTGTCACCAAGCTCTGGAACACATACTCGACCCGAGCCGAGGTTGGCCTTAGCAAGTCATTGAAGTCCCTCGGTCTTGACTATGTCGACCTCTTCCTAGTCCACTGGGCCGTTGGAATGAACCCCAACGGTACAAGACCCGACGGTGGCGATGCGGACCGGTTCCCCCTCCTTTCCAACGGCGAGCGTGATATCCTCTGGGACCACGACCACGTACAGACGTGGAAGGATATGGAGGCTTTGGTGAAGACCGGAAAGACAAAGGCAATTGGTGTATGCAACTACAGCAAGGTCTACATCGAGAACCTGCTGAAGCACGCCTCCATCGTGCCCGCAGTGAACCAGATTGAGAACTCGCCAGCGCTCCCCCAGCAGGAGGTCGTCGATGTCTGCAAGGCAAACGATATTCACATCATGGCCTACAGCCCGCTGGGCAGCACAGGCGGCCCCTTGATGAAGAGTAAGCCGGTCATTGAGCTGGCCGAGAAGAAGGGCGTTAGCGCTGGAACCATCCTTCTGAGCTATCACGGTAAGGCTTCATGTTCAATGATCTCGCGATGCCTGGTTTGCTAACGATCGTAAACACAGTCGCAAGAGGCAGCACAGTGCTGGCTAAGTCGGTTACCGAGTCGCGCATTAAGGAGAACTTGAAGATTGTCGACCTGACTGCCGATGACCTGAAGGTATTGAGCACAGTCCCCGAGGTACTTACCAAGGAGGGTGCACCATTGAGATACGTCTACCCGCCATTCGGTATCAATTTCGGATTCCCAGACAAGCAGGAGGGAAAGACGCTGAAGAACGGTGCTTGAATTGCACTAAAACTAAGAATGTAAATGAAGCAACTGCCCCAAAGAGCACATACTTGCGCTACGTCACAACGGCCAGGATCAGCAAGGTGCTTCGCAACACCTTGCACATTGCTAGAGTTTTGCGCTCGAAGTGCATCTGGCTATATAAATGAGCCAGGGTGGGTGGCCTAAAAACGACCTATCAAAATAGATTCAATAGAGTAGAATTGCCTGGCACGCTACCTGGACCTTGAATCACTCTTGTGCAAAAACTCGACATGAGAAATCGTTGGTTGTGAGGGAGTTTGTGAGAGACTCAGCACTTGCTCAGGTACCATTTTCTGCGTCATGTCTAGTGCAACTTTATTGATCCGCCTATTTGCTGTGCCTCCTTCGTGTCTGCCGGGCGCTGGCCCTCTTGTTGACAAAAGCGACATTGAATTTTCTCATCCCCAGTGGTTCTTGCCACTCTATGATCAGTGTCACATGTTTAGATGATGGCAAGAATCAGAATCTTCATGATTCCTCTCGCCAGACCGTTGAAAACACACTTTGGATGCCTGCAGCCATTCGACGTGGGCATCGTTGGTACGTTGTTGGATGTGGCCATGCATGCATGCAAAGGTGGGCATGGCACAAATCATTGGATGTCGCCATATGCAATGCTGGCTCGGGCTATGCGGGGCTCTGTACTCGCAAGGCAGGATCCACGATCTGCCTCCCAGCTCGACTACATCTCGGAGCAATACCTCTGAGTTGTTCTGAGCCGAAGTATCACTGCAGATGATCATTGTATATTGACGTCTGCCTACAAGGGTCTTCTCTGGTGAGCCTTGATGATGGATCCAGGCACAGCGATCGGACTCGCAGGAACCGCATACAGGCTGGTGGTCGCTGCGATTGACTTTGTCGACGATGCGAAACAAGTCCACGGCAAGGGTGGAACAGATGTCAACAGAGATCTAGATGCTGTTGCCAAGGCAATTCAGAGCGCCTCAACCAGTCTTGAGGCCCAGCTAGCAGCGGCTGTCGGTGGAAAGGACGATGAGGAAGAGAACCGGACCCAGCTGGACCCTGAAGATGAAGTGAGTTGATTGACTATGGTTGTGAGCGAAGACGGAACCCAGTATTCCATCAGTCTTGCGGTTCTGTTACTGAGACTAACAACTCCTTCAAGGCGCTTCGAGATCTTGCTGTTAAGGCTTCAGAGATCGGCAAAGAACTTGAACTGGAACTTCAAAAGGTTTTAGTCCAGGACAAATCCATGTTCAAGACCTTCAGAACCGTCATCAGAGGAATGTGGGCGGCCGACGACATTAAAAAGATACAATTTCGCCTCAGTAAAATCCAAGACCAGTTGAACTCCCGGATCCTGGTTGAAATCAAGAGAAAAGTTGATCATTCGGAGAATGAGTATCATGAGGAGACGTTCAAGGCATTGGAAAGAGTCGCCAGGCATCAATCTGAGTCTCATAAGGACAACCAAGTCATGATAGGGTCGCTGGCCCGCATCGAAGAGATGCAAGCGAACCAGAGCCAAGAGATGCAAAGAATCATGCAAGAGATGCGTGAGGTATCAATACCGTCTAGCCCCATGCCATATGTTCAGGCACATCCTGTCATGGACGATGTTGCTGCCAAGAGGAAAGCAGTGGAGGCCATACTAAGCTCACTGTGGTACTCAAGTATGCACGACCGTGAAGAGGGCATTTCGGAGGCCCACAGGAAAACGATGGACTGGATATTCCAAGACCCTAAAGAAACATCGAAGCCATGGGATAGCTTCATTGGCTTTCTCCGAGGTGACGATGATGTCTACTGGATTACTGGAAAGCCTGGCAGCGGCAAAAGCACAGTCATGAAGTATATTCAACAAGATCCCAGGACGAATGAGAATCTAGCCGTGTGGGCATCAGGACGAGAGATAATACCCGCTTCGTTTTACTTTTTCTACAACGGTGCTGATATGCAGAAGACCGAACTGGGCCTGCTGATGTCACTCTTGCGTACTGTTCTGCGGCAGCATCCCGAGCTCATTCCATCGGCCTTTGGAGACAAGTTCACAGCTGCGTATAGAGGATTTGATATCTTGAGTACACCCGTATCAGTCTACGAAGCTAGGAAAGCTTTGAAGGATTTGATACGGGCAAATGGCGGCACTTGTTTCTTCTTCAGCATCGATGGACTAGATGAGTTCGACCCAGAAATATCTTCGTCGGATGTTTCGAGCCTCCTTGACTTGACAGATATTCTCCGGAAGTTCACCAACGTGAAATTACTGCTGTCTAGTCGCCCTCTAACAGCATTTGAGCAGAAGTTTTCGAAGGGTCTAAGCCTCCGGATGCATGAACTTACGAGAGAAGACATTCGCCTCTTCGTGCATGAACGACTCATGGAGCACCAAAGAATGCAATACTTATTTTCGGAAGATGAGGGCAACAGCACGCACTTTGTTGATTCAATCGTTGAAAACTCGTCTGGGGTTTTCTTGTGGGTTCGGCTAGTTGTTTCTTCGTTGCTTGAAGGCTTGTCAAACTACGACAACCTTGACGAACTTCGAAGCAGGGTCGAAGAACTTCCCACAGACCTCCACGATTTATATCGGGTCATGTTATCAAGGGTTGACCCCAAATACCGCAAACAGAGCGCAAAGCTTTTGCGATTGACGTTTACCTGCGTTGGGGGTGGGGCAGAACTCAGCGCGTTAGGTCTCTGGTTCGCTAGCCAAGACGCTGAACTTGTCTCCAGAACGCCATTATTGCCAATTGATGATGTGCAGCTGAAAAATCACGTCCAAGAGATAGATAGAAGGCTGAAAAACTGCTGCCGCGGTCTCATTGAACTGACGCCCTTTGAGAGCAACAATAACCATATTTCAAGCCTTACAAAGGAGCCCAGGGGCGACATATACGACGCTTCAGACAAACATTTGAGTCTTAAGGTCGCCTGGATCCATCGCTCTGTTTTCGAATTCCTCAGCAAACCCGACGTGGAGAATGAATTCTTCAATACGTCTACGCTTTCGAGAATCCAAGCTAGACTGTGCCTTTTGAGGAGTGCTCTCCTCGTCCTGAAGACTTGCAGGCTCAATCAGAAAACGGAATGGTCGGTATTTTTGAAGCTCGCATATAATGTTGGGATTACAGCGTTCGAAAAAGAGGTTGACGACGGCCATGCAGAACCACAACTCATATTAATGCTTGACGAGGTCATGTCACAACATCTACTCAAAGCCAAAAAATTGACCAGCGCTTCAGCTTCCGACCTGCCATGGACCAAATATCCCAACGCCCATTGGTCCTTGGGGTACGACCTAGCATCGAAAAATCTTGATCGCCGAGAAATAATTGACCACGACAAAAATTTCGTGGCTTTTGCGGCAACCTGTGGGTTGACAAAATTCCTGAAATTCCAGGCTGAGCAAGATGTCAATGCTTTGGAAAAAAGGGGACTGCCTCTCCTTGGATATGCTCTGTGCCATCGTTGGCCCTGGAATACTGGGCCAGGACCAGGTTACATGTTTAACGTTACCAAGTATCTAGTAGAACACGGAGGCAACACCAACGAGATTTTCAAAGGGGAGCGGTTCGTCAGATTACTCGATTCGAAGATGATGCGTTTTAGTTATGTGGGGTTGCAGAAGATACTCAACGGCGCAGGTTGGATTCCCCATCTAGCGAACGTCAAGACAATGGAGCTGCTCATACCTTTTGGTGTTGAAGTAAATGCCCGCCTAGTCTTCGAAGAGGAGAAGAACTCCAACGATGGTTCGGACAAGCCGTACCTGCTGAGATCCGAGTTCACTCTGCTCGAAGGCGTGGATCGTGGCCTGGCCACATACAGCGAGCCCGGCGTGGCTGAGTCCTTGAAGAAGCTCGGTCACGTCGATCTGGAACTATTGTGGACTGTCAGAGAAATGTTGGTGGAGCGTGGGGCCGTTGCGCAGACGTGGATCATAGGAAGATTCGACAAAGATGGCAACCGCCTGCCCGATGCTGATGGGGAAGAAGAAAAAAGTGCCGCCGAGGCCGGCTCTACTACAGCCCCTGTTTTGAAAGACAGGAACGAAGAGGCAGATAATGACAACAAGGAGGCTGGTTCAGAGTCGATTTCTGTAGCAAACGGTGGGGAGACCGAGCCTCCTAAGACCGTTGTCCAGACCGAATCCGAATACCTGCCGCAAAAAGACGGGGCAATGGCAAAAGAAGCAGGGACATTTGAAGCAGCTGCCCCGGCTTTACAAGCTGGTGATGCTCTCCGTGCCAAACCAAGAGCGTCCAGATTTGGGGAGAAGATGGGCGCATTAAGAAGATCTCTGTTCGGCCAGCGGAAGAACAAGATGTCGAGTAGAGCCAGATAAGCCAGCATTTGAGGAGTGCATGATGCCGTATACATTTCAACCAAATTCGAAATTTGTGATGCAAGGGAAAGGGAAGGGATGTTATGTTGAGCATGGAAGAAATGTATATAGAAGACGGTCATCCAATGAAACAGTGACGAGAGCCAAGCGGCTCACATACTAGTTAGTTCAGTCTACTGTGCGCAAAACTCAAGACGAGATCTTTTGGACAGTGCACCGGTGGTCGTATTATCAAGTCAAGTCTAGTGTATGGCCCGTTTGGTGGGCAGCCAAATATTATACAGAATAGTAATACACCAGCACCGGGCAAGTGAGTTCCGGCTCCCTCTCAACCAGCGATCAAGACCCATAATCTGTAGAGCAGTCAGTCAGTAAATCACGTTTCATCGATGGGAGCCACGTACAAGAAAAATATCATCAAGACGCCAAACATCTTGGCGATCAGCCAGCGATTGCTGGATACCCGTGACCAGTACTTGAGCAGCTCCTTCTGCGCGCCCTGGACGTTGTCGACGACGTCCTCTGTGTTTGCGTCTATCCGCTGGATCTGTTCGCTCTGCTCCGAGACCATCTGTGCCAGCTGGCCGAAGATGGAGCCCAGCTCGCCAATCGTCTTCTCGATGGCCTCGATGGCCTCGCCTCTTTGTTGAATATATGTGTTCTGTGGTTGCGCCTCCTCCATCAGCAGCATCTGTTGGTCTCCGACGGGGTTGAGCGACAGCGTGTCGCCCCCTGGGGACGGTGTACCCCGACTAGGAGTGCCGTATAGGGGCGAAGCTGATTGTTGGATAGATGGCTGTGCGTGTTGTGATACCGAGGAGATGAAGTTTTCTGTCCTCGACCGCGAGGCCTGTATGTTCTTTGTCCTCAGCTCGAGCACATCCTTGAAGTTGGCGGACACGTCCGTCAGCTTCCCTTGCAGCATGAAGACGACGTTCTTGTTGTGCTCGCCGAGCTGGTCGGCCTTGGGGTGCTGCTGGCGGGTGAGGGCCTGCAGGCCGGAGATCTGCTGATTCAGGCTCGACAGGTCCTGCTTGATGATGAAGGTGAGCTCGTTGATCTCGACGGGCCGGTCGTCGAACAGGGTCTTGCGGCGGGCGAGCTGGGCCAGCTTCTCGAGCTTGCCCATGGTGGCGCCGATGCCGCGGCCAATCTCCGCGGCCTTCCTGGCGAACTCGGAGCGGCGCGGGCGGCCGTTCGCGTCGCCGTTGGCGTCTGCCTTCTCCGAGTCCGTCAGCAGCGAGCGCCGCTGGGCGCCGACCTTGGACGAGGCCTGGCGGCGCTGCACCTGGTTCAGGACGGTCCTGAACTCGGCGGTCCGGTCTTGTATGGATGCGACGGCCATGGCGCGTTGGAGGGCGTGGGCCGCAGGAGTCCCCAGAGGTCGTCTACAGAGGGATTGAAACCCGAACACGATGTGGCGACCGGCGCAACGGAAAAAGCACGGAGGGATGTCGTCGGCGGTTCAGAGTTTGACGATCTGCAGGGTCAAAGTCAAGGACGCGGTCATTGGGGATTTCGCGGATGCGGCCGGGTTCGCTGGTCCAGAGCAAGTGGATGGATTTCGCCAGGTTAATTACAGAGGGTATCGATCGAAAATGGCGAGTCGTCGGCGTGCGAGTCGGATGATGGCTGGCTGGCGGGCGGGGGGTCGTCGCGATGAGGATGTTCTCCCTTTCTCGCCAGCTTGGGGCGTAGGCTGGCTGGCGTGGAAGGGCGACGTGTCCGTGTTCCTGGCTGTCGCCCCGGTTGGCCGCCCGCCGCCCGCCGCCCCAGCAGAATCGCCCTAAGCCAACTAGCAGACCCAGACAGCCAGAGCCCCTGCAGGCCCTGCTAGCTCCAGCGCAGGTCCAACCCGATATTGGGGTTCGGGCGCTAGCCTCCTTTCCATGGTGGCTGTGCGCAGTTGTTTCTTTTCCTACAGCGGCCTCTGGGGTCCCTGCAAGCCGTTTCGTCACCACACTGTGGCGCGCTCTTCTCCCTAAAGTGCATGCAGCCAGCTGCCTAGGTACCCATATCATGAACACTGGGCTTGGCGCTGGGGAACAGCTTCAGAGGTTATTGTTCCCTGTTCTACGTGTGGAAGTCTTTGAGCATGTCTGTCGTGTCCGAACCCCTGGGTGCCTACTGCAATGTAGTTTGCAGCCAGCATCATAGTTGTCTGGATCGATCAAGACAAGCGTTTGGGGATCCGCAGCTTGCACCTTGTTGGGAGGTCAACCAGACGTAGCCTACATTAAAACCTTCCGAGGTCCTAGGTATGCTTTCCCGCCACTTACACGACTGAAATCCGAGGGACATACTCTCGCACGTGTTCTTTCTCTGCCCATCAATACGAGGCCAACTGACCGGAAACCATTATGGTGCAGTACCAGTACAAAGGCAACACACGTATCGACGAACCCGTGGCCAAGGTAGTAATGAATTGTGTCGGGATCGTGGCATCTTGGCCTTGCGCTGGGCCCCGCCTGTCATGCGTCGATGGCTGAAACGCCAGGTAGCATATACGTAGATCCACAGATTTTGGACCGCAACCTCTGTGCGCAATGCGACGACGGCGCGCCGGCAGTTTGATCGCTCGCATCACAACCCAAGATCCAGAATGTCACCCGCGGAACCTGTTTCTGCTGAGCTCAGACCATGTGAGCAGGCGTAGGGGCAGCGGGCGAGGGTGGGTAACTTGTTAGCTTGAATGGATTGCCGGTGGGCTATAAGTTTGTCTGGTAACTTATATCTATATCTTGGTAAGAGAATGTGTTGTACTGTGTACATGGCAATGAGACAAAGTCCCCGACTTATCCCCCATACAGGCGCCATCCGTACGTGCCGCCGTATCCAGTAGCTAGGCATGCAAGATCGATGCGTAACCCAATGGACCGCGGACTGGCGCCAGGCTACTCACGTAAACCTGGGAAGTGAATGGAGCGAATGGAGCGAGTGGGTGAGAGTGAGGGCCCAAGTGGGCAGACGGACGGCCAAGAAAGAGACACGCTTGACAGGGCCCCCCATAGCCGGACCACATGGCAGGGAAAATTAAAAATAACGCCGCCGGATGTTCACTGCATCGTCACCGCATCTGGCGTCGATGGCATGGCCCGGCATCCATCTTACCCCATCCCCAAGTGACCTGGCCTCCTCTGAGCCTACAAGTGTCATTCCTCCTCGGTCCCAGACAACATCGCAGGCTGACATTCCTAACCCACTCCCTACTCGCGCCGAGCATCGTTATATACAAACTGTCTCGTCGCTTTTCCAACGGCCTGTCACAGTCGCCCAAACCCCAAACCCCAAACCTAGGCTCCATTGACCTTGTTGCGCGTTCCGTTCCCCATCCACGTCATCCTTTGCCGCTGCTGCCAATCGCTTCCTGACGTGACAAGCGTACGACCCCCCCAATCGGCGTACGAAAGCGGAGAGGTTGGCCAGTCCTCACTCACGAGCACAGCCTCGTTCTACGTCGAACTCGACCGTGTCCCGTATCCCGTCCGTCCAACTGCACGGCTTTGCATGCTTTCTTCTTCCGCCACAGCGTAGACGAGCGACATTTGGCGATGTCGCAATAGTTTTGACCACGGAGAGACGCGCCCACCTCCACACCCTCCGTTCGCCGAGATGAACGAGAGCACGTACAACAATATCTATCGGAATGCCTCGCCCATGTGAGCCCTCCGCATATGCGCCCCGAAGTGCGGGCTATACGATCGCAAGTCGCTGACATGCATTACTACAGGTCGCCGGCCACACCGAATCCGAGTGCCTACCAGACGAATGTAAACCGCACCAAGACGAGGAAATGGGTCGAGGCAAAGAAGAACAACTACGACGGCGACGACTGGGGGAATGAGTATGACGACGAGGAGCCCGAAGAGCCCGAGGAGGAGCCACAGCCGCTTCCGAAGCCGACCGGCTTACGCCAGCCCGGGCAAGGCGCTCCCGCCGTGTTGGCCAACTACCCGCAGTCGTCCGGCAACCGTGCTGCTTCTCAGCCATCCGCCGCCTATGGCCATCTCCGGGGTGAGTCTTTTGGGCGCAACCCCAGCGGCCCTCCGTCGCTGCAGCTCCAGACACAACAGGCTACGCCGATAAAGAATGTCGACCCTGCCGAGATGACTTCCGGGTTTGCGCAGGGCGCGATGCAAGACCGCCGGCCCTCGGATCAGATCACCTCCCCGCAGTCTGCTGGGCCAAGGTCCTTTGCCGGGGCCCCAGGGGCTACGTATCCTGGCCGCAGGGACTATTCGCCCGCGTCACAGAATCGTGCATCCCCGGCACCCGCGACCGCCGGCGCGACGCCGTCGCGGTTTCCTCCGCGGAAGAGCAGCATGGGCCAGCAGGATGCACCGGACTATGGTGATGCGACAGGTGCGAGGTCAGGGTCGCGACCGGGCTCTAGTGGGCGGCCTTGGACAGAACAGCGGTCCAGCTCACCTGGCCGTGCCGCGCCCGCCTCGGCTGCCACCCCTAACAAGCCGCTTCCTTTCATTCGACCCTCGGACATCTACCGCCGCATGGACGAGGAGAAGGAGAAAGAGCGCAGGTCGATGGAGTCCGGGAGACCAAGTATGGACAGCAACCCGGGCATCGGGAGCGATAGATCTTCATCCCCCGTGAACGCCATGAAATCCCCGGTTGATTCGCGCCGGCGGCTTAGTTTCGAAAGAGACGACGCCTCGGATTCATCGCGCGGACTCAAGTCGACACTGGCCCCTGTTGCCGAACGGAAAAGCGAGTACGGACTGGAGGGGCTGATCAAGCAGGCAAACACCGACGCCGCTGGCCAACCGTCAACGCAGGAGCAGCCTTCGTACTCGATTGCGCCAGCGGTATATGGTACCACGGCGAAGAGCCTTGAGGATCGCCGCAAATCTGTTAGTCCCAGGCTTCCAGACCTCACCCGCATGTCTGGCTTTGGAGAAGACTTCTTTGCCGGCGAGGGTGGGTTTTCTGATGATGGAAACCAAACACGGCCTTCAAACGACCCAGCAACTTCTCGTATATCACCGGAAATCAAGTCGGATTCATCCGACACAACCCCCACTCGTCCCTCTGACAACAATCCACCCGACACTGTACAGCGTGCGCCTAGTCTCATTGAGGGTCCGTCCCTAGCTGAAGAGACGAAGCCCTCCGTGCCTTTGCCCGGGTCTGAGCCTGCCCAGGACTCGACTATACGAGCAGCCAGCGACCAGGACCAGGTCTTATCAGATGAGCCAGCGACTGCCAAGCGATCAAAGCCGTCTCGGCCGTCCATACCTGGAGGCTGGGTGTCGGAAACTACCAATATGGGATCTGCTGATGCCACACCCCTGGAAAAGCCGGAGCCTCTAGCAATGAACCTCTCGCCGGTTCAAGATACTGAGAGGTCGCCGGGCCTAGAGTCCGAAGTGGATGACATCGCACCAACAACGACGGTCAAACAAGCCCATTCGCTAGAGCACACCCCGAAAGCAATCGCGAAGATACAAGCAAAACACGACAGCTGTGCAGATGGTTTCGGTAATGCCACAGGCAAGCACGATCAGATAGTCACGGAAGAAGTTGTCGCCGCGGGACCTGGCCACCACCCGACACCTCAGATGCTTCCGCCACTACAAACAGGAAATCCTTTATCCTCACCCAACCCACCGCCGCTGGTTGAGCAGGCTGTGGCTAGCTCGAATGGAGTCAGATCACCGGCTTCCACCGACTCTCCCTCGAAATACTCTTCGTCCACCCATCCACGCACCGCCGCTACAACCGCATCGGAAGTTTTACCCACCGCCCCTTTGAATCCCAAACGTGGCGATGCTCCTGCATCTGATTATACTGGCCCAGGGTTCCTCCCTCGCAACTTGACAATGAGCTCTGTGGGCACGGCATCACCAAATGAGAGTGACAAGCTGAGGGAAGACATTATCAAGTCCCTCAGCCCAGTAAATCATCAAAGTTCGGGCGGCTACCCGGTCCCGGCCACTAATAGTTCTCAAACGCCCAGGAGCTCTCCTGGGATGTTCCGGGAAAGTAGATATCTGTCGGACGTTTACGATGACTACATGGGACCGGCCGAGGACAAATCTCTGCAGGAGACTGGACAGACGCTGAAAGACAGCATCCTGAACCACGAAAAGCCTCTCGTAGCCTCGCCCACGTCGGAGACCGGAAATAATTTCGATACAGCACCACCCGCGTTACCAAAGAATGGCCAATCCAAATCGCCGAAGCTCGCGAGGCGGTTCTCGTGGGAGCAGGGACCAGAAGAAGTTACACTAAGCCCTGTAGAGGGGCCCGCTACCCAGCCATTCACTGCTGAGTTGACTACTCATGACAATGAGCCATCCGAGGCCTCTGCAAACGTCAACGAGCGGGAGGCCACACCGACTCCGGCATTGCAAATCGAACCTGACAACACTGGCACGATATCCCACCAAGTGTCTCTGGTCAGCAGCCACACTCCCGGAGGATTGGGTATTGCTGGGATAGAACCACCCTCGCCAGTGTCCGTCATGTCCGCGGAGAGGAGTCCCGAGCCGAAGATGAAACGCCTGTCTCTTGCCGATGAGAAGGTCCTTATTCAGTCATCGGCAAGCCCAGTTTCACCGAGCCCACCTCCTGGTGACCACCCGGCTTTTGCCACTCCGCCTCCTCCCCAGCCGCCGTCGCCAGCGGAAGAAAGCAGCGTGCCAGTGACGTCTCCCACAACGCAAAACATCATGGGTTGGCGGGAGATTTTAAGCCTGCCGTCGCCCGCTCTCAGAATACCAAAGTTTGAGGAGTCACGTTTGCAGTATTCATCAATGGACTCTGGCCTGTCAAACTGGCTTGAAAATATGAAGAGCGAGCCAGAGCACACGACGTTGTCGGCATCATTCAGAGACCTGGCGGTGGGCACGACTGGCCACCAAAACCAGGCTCAGGTATCGCCTACAAATGCACAGCCACCTGCGCAGCAGCCCTACTACCAACAATACCTCAATGCAAGCAATCCCAACATCGCAGCCCCGCCACCGGGTGTTGTGCGGCAGTCGACCGGCAATCTCCTCTCCGGGCAGCCGGCAGCCAGTGGATTCAGCACGTCCGGAAATCAAGTAGGGGCCAAGAGCAAGGAGTTCCTCCAGGCCGCGGGGGCATTTGGGAACAAGGCCACGAAGGCCGGGATGAAGTCGGGGTTGAAGCTCTTCAACAAGGGCAAGAGCAAGCTCCGTGTCACAGGCGACAAGGTATTTCAATAATGTTTTATTCTCTTCTCCCTGGGGTTTGGCGAGATGAGGGCACCCAATTGATCAATTGATGGCGCAATTCCTCGGGCTCGCTTGACGACGCTTATCTTTTTCCTCCTTCTTTTCCCCTTTGAACTGCATCGCAGCGCGAGTGAAGCATACACATGGCAGCGCGTACATTTTGTGGCAGGCAGCGTAATGAGTAGTCTTCTCTTTGTGTTCTGCTTCGGTCAGCTTACGTCGGACATGGAGAGTGTTCGTTCAGAGGAAACGATCCAATGATATGTTTCCCGGCTTCTGGCCAATAACAAGCTGTGCGCCCGCCCGTCCGTCCAAGTCGTACTGTAGATCCTGTAAGGGGGGCGTAGGAGCAAAAACGAAGCGGGGTCTTTGTATATCAATAGGACGGCAAGCAGTACCGAATCATCAGATGTTCCTTGGCAATTTGTGACCCGACACGCTGGGGGGGACGGTTCATCACTCATCAAATCATCCCTCTGTTCATTAAGTCGATGCATGCACGCATCCACCAATCTCACTTGCTGGTGCAACTGGGCTAGCACCGAATCCTTCACAGCCGGGCTGGGGCTGCCGACCTTGTTGGCTGCACTGCGAGTTCGTCCCAAGTGGCTCAGATAGACCCCAAAAAAGAATCGAAGCTCAGAGTTACCTCGCAAACCCAAGGTACCTTGGGTTGCTAGCCCAGGTCTCCAACATTTTCATCTCAGCCTTCCTGGCCGCTGCGCTGCCCCCCGATCGAGTCCCTCCACTGCGTCTGGCGGCGCTCCTCCCCCACAAAACATTAGCCTCAAGTGACAAGTGGGCAAGCCTGCGCCGTCTCCCATTTTCCTCGCACGTTGGCGTGTCTCTCGTCTCCTCCCCCCGGCTAGCAAAGATTGGGATATTAATAGCAGCCCTCATCTGTTCTAGGACCACTGGGACCCGGGGGAGCCACAATTGCCTGCACCGTCGCCAGGCCCGCAGCCCCAGGCGACGCAGACTACGTCACAAGAGGCTAGGGCGCGACATGGGCGGCGCCCGTCCTGGGGCCTTGGCTTCTTCGGGGCGCGCTCACAGGGCCAGGGCCAGGGCCAGGGCGGACCGCCCCCAGCCCAGCGAGCCCAGGTAGCACCAGCAAACCCAGCAGTAGACCACGCCAATAAGCACGGCCGCTCGTCGTCCTTCTCGCTAATCCAGCACCTTGTCCACCGCGACCCCAGGCAGAGGCAGAGGGAGAGACAGAGGCCAACGTCTCCAGCCGCACCAGGCACGGCACCAGCACCAGCACCAGCACCAGCACCAGCAGCAGGCCTGCAGACACTAGCACCAGCAGCAGGCCTGCAGACACTAGCACCAGCGCGAGGCACAGCACCAGCAGCAGCTGCTGCACCAGAGGCACCATCAGCTCATCTTACAGCTCGTCGAACTCCTCGCGCTGATTCTGTTTCTGCCTCTGCTTCTGCCTCTGCTCCTGTTCTGATTTCCGCTACATCAGCAAGCACGCCGTCGCACCACGGCACTGCACCGCGTCAATCGCCTCTCCCTGGCCGTCTGTCGCTTTTCCCTCCGCTTGCAACCCACCCGCGTCCCTTCTCCTCTTCCTCACCCCGGCTCCCGCCCCGAGACCGAGACACCCTACCACCGCCGCCGCCACCGCCGCCTGTCAAGAAGGACAAACCTTCTGCGCCCGGTGCAGCCCGTGTCAGCGGTGCTCGTCGTAGCCTCTCACAGCCCGAGCTAGTGTCGCCCATTTCCGAAGCATCGTCTACAGCTCCCGCCCCAGATAAACGTCAACTTAATTTGCGGCAACGCTCCGAGGCGCCGCAGCTGCCAGTGCCGGCTCCCATCAGTAAACACCAGCCTACCTGGGACCCCTTCACGGCTACACCACTGGTCGAGGAGGACGATTTTGACTTCGCTCCGCTCGCTGGACGCCGTAATTCCACGTCGCTTGTCTCCTCTGCCGCATTGCCATCCGCGCGTGATGATGATGCGCATTTGACTGCTAGCCATAGATCAGATAGTCGGGTTGAAACCATCGCACAGCAAGCTTCGGCCCCAGCACACACGGGGCCACCTGGTGTCGACCGACCAACTATGACAGTGCCGCTCACGGCTGAGAGGCCGGTCGCATCTCCCCTGCAGCAGTTCACACAGGAAGACAGTGACCCGGCCCCTGCCCGGCAGAGCTCCTTCGTCGGCCTGCCGCCCATCCGCCGTACCTCGACCTTCGGCCTCCTTGGCAGTAAGAGAGGCCTGATCGACGACAACAACTCTACGTCTTCGCCCGTCACCCCGTCGGAAGAAGACGAGCCCCCCGTACCCGCCGTCCCGGGCAGTATGGATGCCTACGGTGCGCAGAGCAACCGCGGGCCCCAGGCTCCCAGCCAGCACCCGAACGGTCAGATGCCGCCGCATATAGCCCAGCAGATGCACAACTTCCCCCAGTCTAGCCCACAGCATCCAGACCAATTCGCTACTGCCAACGGCCAGAATGGGTACGGTCATCCTGTCCAGCAGGGTAATGGCTTCTTGGCAGGCCGTGGACCCGGCCCCAACGGAGACCGTTCGCCGCCGCCGCCGCCACAGGCCGGCTTCGGCCCCGGAGCGAACCAACCGCAGCAGCACATGATGGGCCAAGGAGGTGCTGTTCCCGGCGTACCGCAATCTCAATTCAGCCAGGTCCCGGGGCAGACCGGGTCACCGCCGGCGCAAAACGCACCAACCATGCAAGCCGGCGCGAGACCCGGCATGGCCTCTTCGCCTGGTCCAGGGAACCCAATCCACCGTTTCCCCCCGCAGGGGCAGTGGAAGCTTGAGGAGTCTCATCTGTCAGAACCTCTCAATACTTCAAGGAAACCACAAAGTCCACCCGCCCAGCAGCCGGGCTACTACGCGTACGACAAGGAGACGGAATCTCCAACGCCTGATGGCCCGTCCCAGCCTCTGCAGCGCGCGTCGCGCAACAGTGGGATGCCTCCTGTCACAGCCAATCGATTTCCCGGCCTGTTCCCTGCCGGAAGTTCGAACCAATCTCCGGTCCAGCAGGATCAACTTCAGTTCCTGCCACCTGCACAAGCACAGCAGCAGAGAGACAGCATGGGCATTTCGCGATCCTCAACTCAGGATTTGGACGATGGCAAACGAAACCCAGGTCTGCTGAAGGAGATTGGTGGCAAATTCTTGCCGCAGCACCGAAGGGATAACTCCATGTCCAAGGACGGGCCTGCAGTCCAGAGTGACGAAGTATCTGAGACCAGTGATATTACTGACGAACCCAAAGAGAAGAGGAAGCGCAGTTCATTCTTCGGCATCGGCGTTCCCCTGACCAACAATGGTCCGGCACAGCATCCCAACGCTCCCGGACAGCCAGCACAGCAACCTCAGCATCAGCAGCAATTTGCACCCCCAGATAAGAAAAAGACATTTTTCGGTGCAGGGGGCCTCGCGAAGCAGATGTCAAATCTTGGCGTCACAAAGCCGGACAACTCCGGTCCGAAGAGTGATACCAACTCTGTCCACAATGCAGCAGGCGGTCCAAAGAAGCGTCTATCGGATTTGAAGGGCATGTTCAAGGGCGGTTCGAAAGACGAGCAACAGTCTGGAAAGCCAGAGAATGTGCCATCAACTCGGCCGTCAATGCAAGGCCCTCCAAGGCCAGGCCCCGTGGGATATCAAGGGCCACCTCAAGGTCAACAGCCCCCTGCGCAATTCGGGCAACCGGGCATCATGGGCCCTCCCCCACCCCTGAGCAGAGGGAGAAGCAGTACCCAAGGTTCTGCTCAAGGGCCTCCCGCCATGGGACCACCGAATGCGCTCTCGCCTCTAGGACCGCAGAATACCGGTGACGACAAGAGCAGGAAACCCTCCACCGGCGGGTTCCTTGGCGGGTTGTTCGGCAATCGTCCAGGGTCAAGTGCCAAAGATTCAGCACCTCCCCAGGGGCAACAGCCACCACCGTTGAGGCAATTCACAATGCACATGCCGCCTGGTCAGCAGCCAGGTCAACAGCCACATCCTGGACAAGGGCCTCCCCCAGGCCAACAATTTCCTCAACGCATGATGTATCCTCAACAACCAGGTCATCCACAAGGTTACCCACAAGGTTACCCACAAGGATATCCTCAAGGCCAGCCAGGACAAATGTCACCACCCCCGGGACAACAAGTCGGGCAAGGTACGGGAATGCCAGGCTTCCAAGGATTCCAGAACCCTATGCAACAAATGCGGCAGCCTGGACCTCCTGGAGCACAACCCACTGCCGTGCCTGGCCAAGGCGGAGTGACGATGGGCATGCGCGTACCGTCCCAAACGCATATGCCATTGCAAGGCCAACAGGGCACACCCCAACAGCAGTCCAATCTGCCCCAGCCTCCGGTCGTGTCTGGGCAGCATGGTGCACAGGGGCAACGGTCTCCTGATTCTCAATCTGCTATTCCGGCTGTTGGTGCCAGCGAGCAGCCCACGGGGCCGCAAGGATCACTTTCTCAGAAATCCTCCCAAGAACGCTTGAGTATCGGTGGATCATCCATTTTACCTCGCGTTTCCCCTAACCGTAAACCAGTCGGATCAGGTTATGCGAGACAAGCGTCCGGTTCCATTTCTGCCAGCCAGCCGCCGGCGGTGACCCCTAGTGCCGCCGAGTCTGGGCCCGAACAGTCTGCGAAGCAGCTGGGTCATTCCGCTGAGTTTGGAGGAGACGGCCAGCAGGGAGGTGGCCCCAACTCTGCCATCCAGAAGAGCCCGCAGCTGGGGGCCCCTGCCCACGCTGAACATATGCGTCGCCCATCGCTGCCAACTCCTTCTCAGTCCCCGGCTCCGGCGCCGGCACCGGGTAGCCCTGAAGCCCGACGGGGGTCTACAGTTTCTAGTCAACCGCAACCGAGTCCACACTCTCCACCGCAGCAACAATGGGCGGCTGCAGATCGACAACCTCAGCCCGGGCAGCAAGCGTCATCCGCTCAGCCTGCTGGGGCTCCTCAGGGCTTGCCTAATCAACCAGGACAACCTGGTCAAGCAGGCCGCGGACAACCAGGACCAGCCCCTGGGCCGCAGCAGAACCAACCCCCTCAGCCGTGGGGTTTCACCCGCGCGGGTACACAGGGCCCTCCGGGTCAACAACCACCTCCGCATATGCAGGGTCAGTGGAGGCCCGGCCCCGGCCCGTCCCAAGAGCAACAAAAAGGCACAATGTCGAAGCTTTTCGGGGGCGTTAGTAAGAAGCGAGATTCTACTGTCTCGCAGGCCCCAACTGGTAGCCAGCCAGTGCCCCAAAGGGAGAGTACTTCATCCAAACTGTTGGGTGCCTTCAAGCGCACAAAGCAGCCTGAGCAGCCTCAGGGTCAGCAGCGTCCACCTCAATTTCAGCAAGGCCCTCCGCCGATGATGCATGGAGGACGAGGGCAGATGCCACCTCAGCCGGGCCAGCCAATGCCTCCACAGATGATGCAAGCCGGTCGTGGGCAGATTCCTCCTGGCGGACCACGTCAAGGTTCCTTCGGGCCCGGCCCGGGACAACAGCAGCCGCAGATGCAGCCACCTCAGTTCGGTCGCGGTCAGATTACTCCACTGATCCATGGCGATCGTGGTCAGCTTCCGTCGCAAATGCAAGTGGGACGTGGCCAGATATCGCCTGCTGTGCTTCCCATGATGCAGGGTGTACGCAGTCAGTCTCCCGCACAACGGCAGGAACCCCAGTACGCAGCTGTTCCGATTCCACGGGGTTATGAGGCAGTCCATGGGTACAACGTTCCAAATATGGTGGCACCTTCTCCTTACAATGTCCGTCAGGGGTCGCCTCCGCAGCAGTATGGACCACAGTTCCAGCCCCTTGTACCGCAGCACACTGGCGCTTCGCAGAGCTTCCAGCAACCACTAATGCCCCAGCACACCGGCGCTTCACAACAGATCGATCCTCGCTTGCCCTCGCCCGCGCCGTCTCATCAAGTCCAGCCTCAGCCGCAGCCGCAGCCACAGCCACAACCTGGTTCTCAGTACAATGTTCCTCAGGGCGCTTATGCCAACCAGCCGCCGCACCAGGGCCAGCCTCAACAGTTAGTACCGCAGCACACTGGAAGTCCTGCGCCGCAACAGCACCTCGCTGCGCAACCACCTGCTTCACAGGGTCCGCCTTCTGACCAAGCTTCTGAGGCCAGAAGCTCTCCCCAACCGCAGTTTGGGAGCCAAGGCACATTCCTGTCACCTCCTAGCGCCAGGGAATCCGACCAAGATCTTTCTGCCCAGATCCAGACTGCCTCCCAAGTCCATATCGTGCCCGCCCACCCTGGTTCTGACCTACACAAGCAGCAGCCTCAGCAGATTGTCACTGATGTGAACACTCAGTCTCAGGATCAGCACACAGGGTCACCCCAGAACCAACCTTTGCCTGACTCCGCAAACACATTTTCTCCAGTGAACACTGCCGCTGGCAGGCTACCGAATCCTCCGTTGCCATCAATGGTTTCGGGCCACGACGGCCAGCAGCAACATGATATCAACTCTGTCGGCCATACCCCCTCGCCGCCAGCTGGATCGGCGAATGCCGGACAGCATGCCGTGCGTCATGTCACTAGCAACCTCTCTGTGGCTGACGAGCCGCCACGAACCACTTCGTTGAGTCCCGATGTAGCTCCGCACAGGACTTTTAGTGTAAGCCCTGAGCCTCCTGTATCAACACCACCAACTCACCAAGCGGCTCATCAACCGGCTCACCAACCGTCGAATCCCAACCTGAATGTTAATGTCTCGACGGCAAACGGATATTCCCGTGATCAGGAAGATCTATATGATGCGACCCCCCGCAAGGCCCCACCGCCGCAAGCTCAAAACCATGGCACGCCTGTCACTCAACCACACAACGGGGCTGCTCATAACGACGAAGCTGGAAGGCAAGGGTCGAATGCTGCTGCCATCGCTGGTGGCGCAGCTGCCGGTGCAGCTGTTGGTGCTTTGGCGTCTGGTGCTGTGTCTAGGAGCAGCAGCTACCAGACAGAAACTCCCCATTCGAACGGCAGCACTGTACATGCCGCTCACGCAGAGCCTGAGGAGAAGATCTTAGTCGACCAACCTGTTGAACTTGCGGCTGTCAATGATGACGGCGATGACCTACCGATGATGAGCGCTACATCCTATCCCGGACAGGAATGGAACCCCTACGGTGCTGGCGAGTTTGGCGACTGGGAACCATAAACGGACCGCATTGAAGGCCGTGACAGACTCCCCGCCTAAAGAGACGCTTAAAGTGCGTGTTAATATTCACGACCGAGATACAGCAACGTCATTATTCTACCCAAGGAAGTTTTGGAATGTTGGAAAATTTGATTTTTGCATATTATGCTGTTGGGGCAGGAAGACGGACGAGATTCTTCATTTTGCTTTTGTAAAGTTTATACTGCTTGGACAGCACATACCCATTACCCGAGATACCATCCGGTCCTTTTTTTCTAGCATAGTCAAAGCCTCAGCTTGCGCGGCTCATGAGCCCGCTAGATTTGTTTCATTTCACGTAGAGGGTCCAAGGGCCTGGTAATGAATTGATTCGTTTCACATGCTCCATGGCTTACCAAATATGCAAAGGTGTGACCACCCCCTAGGTAAAGAAGACACGACTTCGGCTTGTGTATTCTCTCTTCGAGATCCGAGCTCTATCTGTATTAGCTAGCCCGGCTCCAGCGCGCGAAGCCGAGATAGATATATCTCCCCAGACCACCGACGATCACACCTACGCGGCCTTTCCCGCGCCGTCGACCCCTTTGCCCTGGCTCGTCTCCTCATGGTCGGCGCCTTGGTCGCCGCCCCCGCGCATCTCCCAGCCCTTGCCCCGGTACCGCCGCGGCCAGACGCCGCACCGGCCCGGCGCCAGGATCCCGTTGGGGTCGACGGCGTCCTTGATGGTCTCGTGCAGCCGCCCCAGCGCGCCGCCGCCCCACGCGTACGTCCCGGCCACCTGGTCCATCAGCGCCAGATGCGTGCGGTACTCGCCGTAGCCTAGAGCCGCCGCGTCGTCGACCATGGCGCGCAGGCAGCGCATGGCATCGCGGCGCCGGCCGGCGTCCCGCCGGTCGAAGACGATCTCCACGATCAGGTGCATCTCGCGCAGCCCGACGCAGAAGGCCGGGAACAGGTCGATGCCGCCGAACTCCGTGTGTCGCCGCCGCGCCAGCTCCAGCAGCGCCGCCGCGTCCGCGCCGCGGATCGGCGACACGGGCGAGAAGGCCACGTGCGACCCGTTGGGCCGCCAGTTGCACCAGCGCAGCTCGTGCAGGTCGGGCGTGCCGCGGGCGACGCGGTCGCGCGACCAGAAGTAGTCGTCGGCCGGCAGGTCCGCGGCGTCGACGCGCCGCGCCCCCGGCACCCGCCGGAACGCCGCGTCCACGATCCCCAGCTTGTGCTGCCGCGCCGCCGCCGGCCCGTACGCCATGCCGAAGTACGCCCACGTGTAGTCGCCGGCCGGCAGCGCCGCCGCCGCCTCGTGCACCACGGCGTCCGGGATCGGGCCCGAGCCCCCGTACCAGTGCGTGCGCGGCTGCCCGCGCACCGCCAGCGCCTGCACCACGTGCCGCAGCTGCGCTACGTTCTCCAGGATGTTGCTGATGCGGAGGGGCCGGATTATGTCGATCTGGGGCCGGAGGTGAGTAAGGGGGGCCAAGACGGGGGGGTGTGAGTGGACTTACGATTTGTGGCAGATCTTCCTCTCTCGGGAACGTATACATCTGTTTTGAAAAGATGAGTGTCCCTCTTCGTTTACTTTGAAAAGAATCCATGGGGTTATAAGTCCAGGGGTTTAGGGTCTTAACTCACAAAACTTTCGTACCCTCCTGGGTTCGGCATCAGGGTCATGCCCATCTTCGTCACAATCCCAAAGTTGGACTGCGAGAACATGCCGCTATAGGGTGTGACTCTGGTCAGCCTTCATTCTGGGGCGACATCGAAAGAAAGGGACTGCTTGGACGAATGCAGGGAGAACTCACTCGACGTACGGCCCGAAGCCGTACGGGAAGCACGCCCATGTGTTGCTCCCCTCGAGCGCCCCCATGCCCGTCCTCACGACTTCACCGGTGGGCATGACGACCTCCAGGCCAGAATGTGTCGCCCAGTGGTCCCCGTACGGCGAATAGCCCACGCCGCGGTCCAGCGCGTTGCCCATCACGGATCCGCCTCCTAGATCGGGAACGTCGATCCACATGTGGTCGCCGAGCCCACGCTTCTGCAATTCCTCGTACAATGCATAGTAAGATACTCCTGGTTCAACGAGGCAGGTGTAGTCCTCCGGGCTGATGTCAAGTATCGCGTGCATTCGGCGCCCGAGGTCGATCACTACAGCACCGCGCACACGTGGGCCCGCACCGCCATAGCCGACTTGGGTATTATTAGTATGTTGAGCGACTCAACGAATAAGAATACGACGCGAGTTTGCTTACGGTTGCGGCCCATCGAAATGGGGGATATGGGTACCAGATGCTTGTTAGCCCAGACGACCACCTTCTGCACGTCCCCGGTGCTCCCAGGGTAGACAACGGCTGATGATACGAACTCCTCCTGGTCAATGATGGTCATCGCATCGTGCGTGTTTGGGTCTGAAGTCAACCTTCCACCGTTAATAGGCCGGTCTTTGTTTAGCCAGATCCGGGCCGGAAGACTTACGCTCCATGTACCTGAGTCGACGTGATTAGAACTTGTCAGCACGGCAAGGAGTCTGGGTACTCACCATCCGTCCTCCAATGGCTTATCATTCAGCTCTACATGCTGCGCGCCGAGGGTCCCACGTAGTTCGTCTATGGCTTTGAAAAAAGTGTCTTCGTCTACGCCCTGTGGTATAGCAACTGACCTCGCCGGCTTCTTCTCACCAGCTTTATCGGTACTGCCCTCGCGGATCGCCTTCTTTGCGTTCACGGCTTTTTCCAGCAGGTACTGCGGGATGCCCGAGTGCTTGTCGGCGAGGGTGGGGACGGAAGTGGCTACTTCTGATGTGGTAGACATATTTGCAGGGAATCTCTATATGGTCTGTGTATTCTATTCGATCCTGTTTGTGTATCAGAACATGAAGCTCGCAGTAGCATTCGTATATAATCGTATACAACTTGTACTTTGAATGGGTATCAGAAATTAAGGAAACCTTTATATACTACGAAGCCAACCCCGCATGTCACATCTGCCGACAGAGTTCCCTCTTCTCCAACACCCGGGGCGCCGAGTGGATATACCCCAACCACGGCAGCCAACAATGTTAGATTCTAGTATCTGCCGTAGCAATCATGCATACTTGGGATGTACGTGGCCAAGCCCGCAGATAGTCTTGGCTAACTTCGCGATGCTTCCGCTTCTCAGTAACCGCGTGGTGAATAAAGCACTCTTCCTCCGCAATGCACATTGATGCGTCTCTGATGATTCTCAAGTGGTCATGTATGTGCTCACGAAATTCTCGCTTCCATGACTGTACAATTCATGCTACCCTGAAATCGCTGTTGGCTGAGCTTATATAGTTGGGTGGATAGAGTTTGGTTTGGGCTAAGCAATGCATGCGAATGGCACGAAAAAAATCCGCTAGGCTAATAATCAAGGACCGAACAGAGATCACTACCGGATCAGGCAGCATATGGTTTAGGACCATGGGCAAATTTCTTTTTTGTTGTAAGCCTTGTTCAACCTCACCGAGATCACCAGAGTCCGAACCTTATCTATTAAAAAGAAGATCGCAGCGGGAGCTAATGCGTAAAGAAACTCTGGGATCTTCACGCTGGTCCTGGGCTCTTACGTGCGAAATTAAAGTCCGCTTTTTGGATGGTTCCCAAAAAACATTTCTTTTTCGTTGAGACTAGTTGTTCCAGCACTTGGTTGTGACACAGTCGGACAGCTCGATAGTGATACTCTAGCTGTTTCTGTTGACCGTCGTCTCCGAAACCAATTTCCGGACTAATTTCTATGGGGATTTGGTATCGGCATACAGAAGCCTTGAGTTGGTAAAAGCCCTCCTTGGAAACCTCCCTGATAGAATAAGTAACGCATATAGATTGTGACGATGGCGCCGATATCGAAATGCGATGAAGTTGGCCTCACGGCTGAATTGTTTTGTGAGACCTCTTCATCATATGTTGATCCCCCACCGCGTTTGTCTGCTAATCTTCTAATTTATGTGGTCTCCTCTGCTAATGCTTCATTAGGCGTAGACTGACCATTGCACGGAGCGGACATAATGCTCAAAGAAAAGTAATATGCCGTAGAAGGAAGGACATGGTTGAGCTCAGCGGTCGTGCAGGAGAGTAAGCCTACCTGACGCCATGTCTGTCTCGCACGAAGCAACCCTCCAGCGGATCTGTTGTCAATCTCTTCATGTAGCACAAGTTTCAACTTGATTAGGTTATTAACATCACCGCGTCCAGATTTCGAATAATCCATCGGTCATTGATTCGCCCGCACTATGATATCGTTATATGTTCGGTCTTCGTAAAGGAACACTTGGAACTAACGTTCAGCCCTTTCCCACATATATCTATACCTTACGAAGTCCCAACATGCTTTTCAACCGCAAAGGTTCGTGGCTGAATCACGTTGTAGCTACACGGTGACAAAATACTAACGGTGCAGTGACGAAAACTCGACTTCTGCGCTAAACATTCACGAATGCAAATGGGACTACTTGCCACAATTTCTCAATGATAGAAGAGGTCCGGTGTTTCTTTTCTCCCAAATTCTTTTTGTAAATACAATCTAACAACACTTTGATATACAGCAGCGGGGTGCACTCGTTTCCCGCCTGCCACGTTTGATCAATCGTCAAGCAAGACAGAGCATTATTTAGAAAGTAGCCTCGACCACGTCACATACCCTCACGATCTGCTCCAAAACAAAACTAGCCAAAAAATTGACTAAAATCTCCTGGAACTTCCACTTGCCCTTACAAAACGAATCCTCTTCCTCCCCATCCTCTCTGTCGCGGAACTCGTTTGGGAACGGCCATGGTACTTAGCAGTTGCCAGGGTCGACGCTATTAAGGTTAGTCAACCTTCATCCAAAATCTCACATGGTCAACTCACCGGAAGCGCCAGCTAGCAATGGTAGACTCGCCGCCGCGAGAGCAGGCGTTAATCTCGTTGCCCAGACGGGTGATGCATTCGTTGTCATCGAGGTCGTAGTTGCCTACTCCGTTCAAGTTCTGGACCTCGAATAATATGTTTACGCCATGAGAGTTAGGACACATAGATTTGGTTTGTAGTGGGCCGAAGGCGCCCGTGAACATGCCGTTGTTGCCGCGACAGGCGTCAGTAATGAACGCAATGGCTTGTGCCTTGTCAGGCAAGTCATCGCCGCTTTTGTAGCAAGTTGAAACGACCGTCTGGGCGCCAAAGGAAAGAATGGCACCAAGGGTGGTGAGAACGGTAGCAGACTTCATTTTGAAGACGTTCGGTTGGAATCAAGTGATTGTTCTTAGTGTGTGTAGAGTGTAAAGAGAAGATGAGACTCACCAATAAGTCAACATGCGAGCAAAAGCTTATATTTATACTCGTTCAGTAATTCCACTTAGAACACTATTTGCGATCCATTTTGCGAGAAAGCTCAATGTCAGGCGAAATGTATGATCTCTGCCTTGCGCACATAACGTAAGTCCCATGGGTCCATCCGCGCATATACTATCCACTCCATAAGCTGCATGCTGCAGAGCTCGGGTCTGAAACCGCTCAGTAACGGAATTCGCCGACCACTGGATGCCGCAGTGGCGACCACAATACGAGAGGTGACTCAGTAGAACGAAGCCTTCCAGAAAGAATTAATTGAGCTACTTGTTATAAAATATAGGACCGGCTGGGCTTTCGATGACCATGTTACGGCACCACAGGTGAATCGAGGTTTTGCTGCAAATCCTATAGTATTGCAAAAAATCTAAACCTGGGAGAGAGAGGAAAGAAGAGTTCCCTCTACAGCCGTGGCGTTTGCTATATACAGGTGGGGGTTGACCACCCCTCGTCCTCCATTACAGCGACCACCTGCACTAGTCAATCCGTAACAGACCATCGATTATTTGTGTTGCCAGTTGCGTTCGGTGTGAAGCGACCGTTGCCTATCACCATTGGCGCATAATAATACTATAACGAGTGCCTAGTGTGGAAGCGCTGTTGTGGGCTCGCGATATAATTGGGTGGCACTATTCCACCAGCATGGGCCCTTTTTTTAGCAGTCGCACAATTGCGTAATGCTAACTTAAGGCAGTTTTCTTAATCTTAAAAAATTAATCAAGCCCTATATATTTATAATAATTTTTATTATTATTCTCTTTATACATAATTCAGCCCTTGAATTTAAGTGCGATACCTTTTAAGGGCAAGGCTTATGGTCTTGAAATTATGCTTATAACAGACGAGGTGTGGAGAGTGTAGGATCCCTATGTGAAGGGTCGTCCCACCCAGTCAGCAAGCAATTTCCTGGAATCCTACAACCCCACAAGCTAGGACTAAAAATCGAAACTAAGCACCTCAGATGAGAAGCTGACAGCACTGGACTCTAGCCACCCCACTCGCTAGGCTCGTTCATTTCGGGGTACATACGACTCAACCTACAATACGAGAGATGCATGCATTATGAAATTGCTTGGACAAGTAATATATGGAATCGAGTCCTGCCTCCGCCGGGTCTCCATATCTTTCGACGTAGTTGCGGATTGTCGAACTTCTGTTCCTGCAAGTCCTGACGTTTTCCTTCCAACAGCCATCATGAAATCGGCAGTCCTTACTCTCTTTAGCTTATTATCCGTGGCTGCCGCTACTCCGGCGAGCAAACTCTTTGCGCGCCACAATGAGTGCGAGTATTCCGGGATCTCTGGTGGTGTTCGATTCCAAGGAGTATGTAACTACTGAGACCTGAAGATATTACTCATTCACATACTGATTGAGGCCTAGACATGCAAAACTGATGGTGGTGCTGGTGTATGTACGCTAAACGGGCTGTCTGGCACTTGGGGTTGCGACTACAAGTGGCACAACAACGCCGGCATGACGGCCTGTGGGAACGCAGCCGACTCCCAATATGCTGTAGGTGGCGCCTTCTTGCCAATTCGGGTTTTGTTGTTAACAGGAATGTTCAGTGCAAATCAAATGGCTCCCCTTGCTGGGCTTACTCCTACGCGGAGGACTCTGGAAGTATCGTGGTTCACTGCACGAACAAATGATGCACTGCCGTCCGCAACGCTTGAAATGGACCCATAATCTAGCGCACCTTCTCAGCTTATTGGAAATTTCAATCCCCGGTTTCAGCTGGTAGTCCGAGTTCACGTGTGCCGTCCGGAGCTTCTCGACTTCGATGTTGAAACTTCGCACAGTTGCAACAAGTATTCTAGTACGTGAACCTGCCGTGGTTGCAAGACTCCAGACCACGGGGAACAGTATCTTAAGCCAACTATTGTGTGCAAATACAACTCCGAGCCTGTAACAAGGTTGTGCAAAACATCATTCCCATCAATTATTAGACCATCCGCGTCCATCTACTGCGTCCATTGGTCATCGTCAATCGAGACGCAGACGCCAGCTAAACCTGATATATACTCTGAGTTCTAAGAAACGTGCTGCCATCAACTATTGTTAGACATCAATACACGCTCCTCCAAGTGGTTTCTGGTCTGGCTTAACTATCCGCCACCTCCCAAGCACAAACAGCTATGGATAACGGACTACACCAGTGATGCAGCGTTTTCAAGAGAAACATTCAAGTAACAACAGCGTAATGCAGCAATGTCAGAGATCAGTAACTTGCTGCCTGTTATGACCATTGACCTGGGGTGATGTGGCTGGTGTGTGGCTCTGCGATTTATTTCCTATATGGTCATTCCTGCTACGTATGGATTTCCAAGAAACAATGCTCCTTTTACGCGCATAATTGGCCCCTGCGTTTTGGCGACCGACAGCCCTTATTATACGACGTATATAAGGTGATATCCCTCTGATCAGTCGTGTCCCATTAGGCAAGGCACGTTGTATTCGTCGTCAGTGACGATAACGACTGCCTTGAGTGTTGTGGACGTTCTGGGACTTCACTGTCCTGGAGCGCCACTCCAGTTTACCATCTTCCAACCTGAAGGTCAAAAGCTATGATGAACATATACTGACAACACGACCAGCTTTCTCCTTTGCTTCGGTAACACTGGCCGTCAAATAACCGGTCGTTGAGGATGAATAACGCTTGTTACTAAGCATGAAAAATATACTTAACGATACTTGGTTTGCATCTCAAAGCCAAGGAGTCTTGCCGAGAGTTGTAGAGCATTCTAGAATAGGTAATCAGGTGGGTAGTCACCCGTTGGGTTAATGTGGAAGTCGCCCGATCCTTGCGATAGCTTCCTGGGGATGTGTCTGGCAACGCATCCCGTTTTCGTTAGCACACTCCTGACATACTCTTAGCGGACCCGCATTTTGAGCTGGACAGTTGAAATTGATACACGAAACCATCAACTGCTCTTTGTTGTCTCTTTGCTTCAAACGACAGCTCCTACAGCAGACGACCCGCATTTCGTGGCACGTTCTGCTTCCTGATTCCTTGCCATCGCAAAGATGTAGGCTCGACAAGCATTTGACCTCATGGCACAACGGGCACGGTTCGAGAAGTGTTAGAGGGCTACTGTCACTGTCGTTCTGGCGACACTCTGCACAGTAGCTCTCATAGCTGTGCTCGGAGCACCGAAGCAGAAGATCAGAGCCATTTCCAGGACATTTCATCTCTGGGCAAGACAGAATTCTGCATTGAGCGCGGTAGACCAGGGGTGTCTTGCAGCCCGGGCATTTGCCAGTCTTTGGCGAAATCGATTGCTTTAATTCTAATCTCCTCCTTTTTCTTGGTGATGGCAGCGAGTCTCGAAAGTCATTCAGCCGTGTCTCGTAGGCGTTCAATGCCGCGAAGTTTGCTCGGGCTTCATCAAGTGCCTTCTCGTGTTGTACTTCCCGGCGCCCTTTTTGTTCGGCCGTCCGCCGTTCAGGGATATCCATAACCCAATTGTATATTTGACAGACCTGGGGCATGGCTTCTTCAGGAATGTCGTCATATCTAGGACTGCCCGAGCACTGAGGGATCTTGACCCGTTTGCGTAAGATGTCAACTATATACACCGCCTTCTGGTCTGGTGGCCAAGAGTGGGTGCCCTCTACGCAGTTGAGTATGATTGCGGATGCAGCTCCATTCGGCCTGGGGATATATGACAGGTGAGCCAAGTGATACCAAGGATCAAGCTCGATTATGCGAATCTCGTCGAACTTCAGCCAGCAGGCTTTCGCTATGTCCGCAGCTGCGTACTGCAGCTCTAGTGGAAGCTGCTCATCGAGCCTCCTCCAGGGAGAATGTGATGAGGGGTATTTGTCGAATTCATGCCTGAACATGTTCGCTTGTTATTTCTCTTCCCTTGAATGTGCACGAAGAATAACATCTCGAGATGAACCTTTGAATTTGGTGGAGTTTCAACTGGGAATACGCCGCCCAGTGAGACGAAGTGCGACGAGGTCAATGCAAGGTGACTCAACCAATCAACGTGAAGATTCTCATTGCCTTTCCCGAGTGGGGGTAGTAGGAATTGGCACAAGCGATACAACATGAGCTGTGTCGGTATGTATGAATCAAGATACAGAATCCTCGTGCCCGCTTGCAGGGCTAGCGATGGAGTGTTTGTTGGTCCGTCTTGTGTGACAGGGCACCGTGGCTGTATAACAATGTCAGCAGGCGCTCCTTGGCATACTAACCTGCCTTTGATCTATTTCTTGTCCTTCGTGATCATTATATGCCAAGCGGCCGCGGCTGAATTTCACGACATAGGGATAGCTCGTGCACGATTTAAATGTCAATTTTACTGCCGGTGGCTTGTATGAACACAGTGGTCTTGACCGATAACTCAGTCGAAACAGGATAAGTGTCACCGAGAGATTTTGAGAGTCATTCCACGTTGACCAACTGCATTGCGGTATTTGGTATCAATGGTGGTGGCCCTCATGATCGTGATCATGACCTGCGTGGGAATCCTCGGGCCAATCCTCAAATCCATCGTCGAAAAGGCTGTCCAACCTCTCCTGTGGCTTCTTCGAAGTCATGGCTCTCTCCCATGCGCGGAACTCCTTGTCATCGAGTAAGCAACCATCAAGAGCTGCTCGGAGGCGGTCTTCTGCTCCTGTTCGCATCTGTTGTCCAATGAAGACGATCTCTTGCCTGCGGTCCTTCCATCGACCTTCGTAATCCTTCATGATGGCCTCTCGCTCGACGGCACTTGTAGGCCATTCATGTTCTGGTGCCTCGCAGCGCCAGAGCCCACCCCCGCTGATAGTAAGCATGACGCCGGCTTGTGACCATTCGCCAAACTGAAGATGTTAGTGGGTAGAAATGCTGTGAGCCTTGCTTGACATACCATTCGGGGCCGCGTTGCCAACCACAGAAAGCCCTTGGAACGCAATAGGGGGCCGAAGGTCTTGTTCTGTAGTTTTGATGCCAGCCTAGCCTTGGCATCGAGTTGAGGTTGCTGCTTTTCTTGATCGACCTGCATTTCATCCTCCCACTCGTCGTCTTCCTCGGTGCCGTCATCGCTCTCCTCGTCTTCGCCCTCATCCGGTACCCATTCCTCCTGAATGACTACGAAGACATCCTTGATTGTCTCCCAAAGCCTTTCAGGATGGAACGGGCGACGAGCACGGTATACGAATGTTCCAATGCCATATTCCTCTGTCTCGGGATTGATCTCTTCGTTGATACTCTTCAGCCAGCCAGGCGACAAGACTGCTTTGCTATAAGAAAACAAGTGCGTATCAAGTATCTCTTTGAGATCGAGGCGAGACTTGACAGTTGTCAAGACCTTGGCATCAGGATTCAGCTTCTTGATCACGCCGGTAATTCGCTTGACTTCACTTTCGGAGACCATGTCGCATTTGTTGATGATCAGGACATCCGCAAATTCAACTTGATCAACCTGGAGATCTGAGATGTTTCTCTCGTCCTCTTCCGGCACATCTGCCTGGCGGTCTTGAAGGAAGTCGGGAGTAGCAAAGTCATCCATGAAGTTGACTGCATCGACGACGGTGACACAAGTATCCAGTCGAGCCACTTTGGACAGACCACCCGACTTAAGAATCTCGGCAACTTTCTTATTGGTTTCTTGGCCCTCCGCCTCTAGATCATGGCCAGTAGCAATGTGCATGTCGGCGAATCTATGACGGTAAATTAGCTGGATTCAAAATGTGGAAAAAAGCAACTCAACTCGTCCGAAAAAGTCTCGGCGACTTGCATCGGCTCACTGACACCGGAGCTCTCAATGACGAGGTAGTCCACTTGTCGATCTTCAGCAAGTCGAGCAACTTCTTCTAGCAGGTCACCACGAAGAGTGCAGCAGATGCAGCCGTTCTGCATAGAGACAACTTGCTCTTCTTTCCGTGTCACGTCATGAGTTGACAACAACGCAGCATCGATGTTGAGCGCGCCCACATCGTTGACGATGACACCAATTCGCAGTCCATGATCTGGAGAGGTGAGAATATGTTCTAGAAGCGTGGTTTTACCAGCACCGAGAAAACCGCTGAGCAGAGTGACTGGCAATCTTCGCTCTGCCGGAACAGATGTCGAAGAGCGCGGTGAATCGATCAATGCTCCGGGCGCCATCTTCACGGATGTAACCCTTGGTCTCGCAGAGGTTATGGGAATGGATGAATTGGAATTATCAGAACTGCCATTGGATTTTTGCTTGGTGCTGGCTTATCAATGCCAGACACCTTGTAGGCTACCACAACGTCCGGGTTAAGCACCTTGATGGCCAACATGGAACCGGTTGATGCAGGGACTAGAACTAAACATCTGAAGTTGTGGGGGACACCTGGATGGCTTGAGTAATTGAACGCATGTAATTGGTTCCGTCGAGGAGTATTATGCCGTATTGAGCTATGTTGAGTGAGCACCTTTGCGGCCACGGCGTTCGAATGAGGCAGGCCGGTGAGGTGCTCTTGGAAGGCCAATTTCTCGGTGCCATAGATAAAAAAAAAGCCTGACAGGCTAACTGACCTCAGAACAATATCGAATGCGAGATACCATCAAATGGAGAGACAATTATTGCCCAAAAGCGTTCAACCTGACGTTGATGACCGTTATGATTTACAATTGCGCCTCAACGCCGATGGCGTCAAACTCGCGCTTATATTGGGGCACTATGAACGCTATGGAAGGCCTGGAGCCTGATCTAAACAGCTAGCCACCCTTTAGTGGAGGTTACGCAAGATCGCACCGTTATGGCTTATTTGTCGCTGATTTCAGGAATAGCTTACTCACGATGTAGTACCAAGGCAGGATATCGGTAGAAAATGAACAGAGTTAGTGCGGCATTGATTCCTTCGCATATGGAATGCTAAAAGAAAGTGATACTGTATAGTCGTCTCGATGCTTCCAAATTAAACTACTAGGCGCGTAAACAAATCATTCATACGTGCTGCTGAACACTGGCTGAGCCTAGCAGGCACGAAATAAGCCGTGTTCAGAATGGTGATCAACGATTCATTGAGGTGACTACACCTACCTGAAGAGGATTTTAAACAGTCACAAGACGAGTAAAGAACCAGTGTATGGGCGAAGAACATAACTTAAAGTATACGAGTGATAAAGTACAAATAATACAAAGTTGTCCGAGTGGGTTTTCAGACACCATGATACCACAACCGCCAATACTATAATTCCATCCCCTAGATCATGTGAAACAAGCGTGTTATGAAATCGTCGAAAAGAAAATAATGAAGGAAACAAAGGGAGTTGGGTTCTCAAATTAGGTCCACTGGGTCGCTTCCCCCAGCTATTAGTTATCGAGAAATTTGACCTGAAGCATGCTCACGACATAAGCTTGTCGAAGACAGAATGCTGATTCAGGTGTGGATCAAACCAAAGAACCCCTCGCCTTGTCCGCCGGCGGCATGGTGGTCCTGGAGCTGCTTCCAGGCGTCCTTGTTGTAGCCAGTGCTACCACCGTTGCCATTAGCGTGAAGGACCAAGGGGCGTAGTCCTTTGGTGTGGCTACTTGTTGTAAACGCTTCGGTACCAGCACTGGCCCCCAGCAAGTTGCTGACGACTGGGCTAACAGCGTTGATCACGGCTGGCGCAGCCCTAACGACAATAGGGGTTAGCTTCTTGACGGCATCGGCCATAAATGTGAAGAATCCTTCCTCTTCGAGGAAGTGCTGAGGAGTGTTGATGGCGGCCTGGAGGGCAGCATCGGCAAGAATGGCACGCTCGTGTAGTCCATCGATACCGGAGATGGCCGACGGCTTGTTGTCCTCAAAATCGGCTTCAGTCAGCATGCCTTGAAGGAGAGGAAGACCGTGCTTAGCGACTTTGGTTAATACAGGACCGGCAACTGATATAGCTTTCTTAGCGACATTGAAGATGTCACCAAAGAGGCCTTCTTCGCCTGCCGAAGCTGCAGTTTCAAATCGGGTAAGGAAGGCCTCTGCGCCACTTGCAGGAAGATTGCGGCTGTATTGTATAGCAGGGGTGGCCCTCCGGTTCTTAACACCGTTCATAGTCTTTGGCGCATCATGGAAGCCCTCAGCGCTACTCTTTTGAACATTACCAAGGGACTGGAGAGCGATCTGGAGCGCTGGCTGGGCAACAGCCTCGAGGACCTTAGGCGCAACCTGTTTGACGACAGGAGCCATCTTCTTTGCGACATTCCACATATCGCCGAAGAACCCTTCTTCAGCCAGCGTTTGGTGGTCCATCTTCATCATGGCTTGAAAGGCAGCTTCTGCCATGATGGCACGCTCGGCAACGCCTTGGGGAACCACTGGTCCGATGCCGCCACTCTCAGTTACCCCGGACTCGGCGAGCTTTCCGGCAGCGGATATCGCGACGGACGCGAGGGAGCTGATCGGGCCACCGAGAGGTCCTAAGGCCATGGGGAGGGCGGTCCCCAGGACGTCGCTCAAAATAGGACCGCCGACCTTGATTCCCTTTTTTAGGAACTCCATGAATCCTTCCTCATCCATGGCTGAAAGAGGAGTCGTCCCACGACCGCCTTTCGATTTCTCCACCGCCTTGAATCCGGAAGAGTTGAACCCACTGTTGACGAGACCATTTCCAGGGCGGGTTTGCCACGCGACCGAGCCATCTTGGCGGCCATTCCCTGCCGGATAATGATGGCCATTGTAGGCGATATGACCGTTTCCGTGGTCATGGATTCCACTGGAGGGCTGAAACCCGCTCTGAGCGAAGCCGTTCTGGGAGAAGCCGTTGTGTTGAGTGGGACGTGCTTCCTGGGTGAAGCCTTGCTGTGTGTTGAAGATTCCAAAGCTAGACTTGGTTCAGTCAACAGGGCCTTTGACCACGTCGGGGGTCTTCGAGGTAGGCACGGTGATGTACTGCACTCCAGGAGTTGAGATCGCGCCTGGTAGATTGACCTTTTGGGCATGCATGTCGAAAGCCGCGACGTAGTCAAGAAAAGGGTTTCCGTACATGCCGATCACGGACGCCGAATTCGGGGAGCCTCCGTAGACGTGGACGCCGATCGAGACATGATCACTCTCTCGGATCACGGGAGACCCCGAGTTTCCTATATTAAGTCAGTAACTGGGAAATCTCGCGTAGCATGCAGTAACTGACCTCCATAAGTATCGATTTGGTACTCCAACATACGCCACTGAGACTCAGCCAAGTTATGAGTGTTAGACAAGTACATCTCGTACATGTGGGCGCCCGGTTCCTTGGTCTTTTCATCTCTGAGATCGCCGGGATATCCAACAACACCGATGGACGCAGTACCAGAAAGAGGGGTGTCGGCAAACTTGAAGGGAGTAATTCCAGTGAAGGCCCTGTCGACTTGAATGAAGGCAACATCGAAGTTCCGGTTATTCTTGGCCGTCTGTGCGACAATCGGAAGTCAGCATCTTCTGTCTGTGAACCAAAGAGCAGAAGGGAAACTCTGGGAGTCGCATACCATCCATTCAAGCGTGGTCGCGATGCGCTTGCCCTGTCGAAATTGGACCTCGGCGCGGCTGTCATTGATAGACTCGTTGCCATTGTAGCCAATGTAGCACTTGACCTGAACGAGGCGACCCACTACGAGGCATGGAATTAGTAAGAGATCATATGGAAAAAGCATTACTCCGGGACTATGGAAAGAGAAGGTAGTACTTACTGTTGTGACCCCAGTCAAAGGCACAATGACCAGCAGTCACAAGAAGATCAGGGCGGATAAGCCAACCGGTGGCGATGGGCCATTTGGCAGAAGCCGGCTGGTTCTCGTACTTCAAGAAAAGCTTGACGATGGCTGGAAAACCTTAGCATCATGGCACTAGGGACTCACTTGGAGATCCAGCACTTACATCGATACTTGCCGCCCGGCAAAAAGTGCTCAGGTGAGACCTTGATACGCTCATCGTCACCAATGACGGACTCGGCACCTGGGTTTGTAAAGTTGAAAGACTCAGCCGAAGGAACGCTGGCAGCCGTGGCCTGCAGCTCCCATAAGGGAACAACAGTATCCGTGAGCTTGTTCTTGGTCGCGGTGTTCCGGAGTCCAACAACGCCAATGCTTTCGGTCACCGGAGTGATAACTGATCCTGTATCGACAGACATGGTAAAGATAATAGCAACGTAAGAACGAGTGTTTCTATGTAGAGAATTAACGAGAAGAGGACTGTGGGAAACGAGTGAATGCTTGGTTGAGCTGATATAACTCTTTTCGACAGGAATATTGGGTCGTTTATGTAGAAAGGAGTGTTTCTGTCCGCAGCCGCACCTACGTGCTCCGTAGGCTCGACATACCGTACTTGGTTGAGTCTAGACCAACAACAGTCTCACCCTGTCAACACTCGGCGACCTGAAGAGCTTGGTTGAGAAGTACTATGGCTTGATCTAGTAGCGGAAGATGCGTCACGTTATTGCTTTCTTGCTATCCTTTGATACGCAACGCAGTTGGCTTGTTTCTGTTTAGGTGAACCATAATCACGTCGATCAGTTGGGTTCATGGCCGTAGCACTGAGACGGCCTTCAATCTCTGTGCTGATCGTACCCATTGATGGATGCCTTGTCACGCAATCTTTTACAGCACCATATGCCAACTCCTTGACCGTATGTCTGAGTCTAGTGCCAAGAAAGGGGTAGATTTGGCTAGCGGTGTGATGAGACCAGACCTGAGCGAGATTGTCCACATATTTCAGAATTGTGTAGTTGCTAGAGGTTCATTATCAGGAATTTTTAATGACATGTGAGGCTGGTTTAGGGTGATCACTATGGGTCTGAAATAGTAAATAAGCATTAAATGAGCCATTGAAAACTGGAATATTGCTTTTCGCAGTTGCAAGGACGTCGCGAGAAGGGGTGGCATTTTTGACAAGATCTTGGACTTGGAATTGTTGTTGGCCAAGAGAGCTGGTTCTACCAACCATACTAATGCGATTAATTTCGCCTGAACTCCAATATGCTAAGAACGTTGCATTTTCCAAAAGTAGCAACATTCACTAGAGGAACTGCGCAGGGGCTGGTGGGAGCATGTGAGTGACTATGTCTACTTCAGCTGCAGTAAGGCTATCGTCGGGTACTGCAGTGATTTGGCGGCTATAGGGCTACGCAAGGAACCGACCCGCCATGCACGGCGCCCAATTTCTGTGGGGTGATCATGCGGCCTGGTGTGGCTGACTTCAGGTATAACTAAATTAGTGCGTATGCATGAGTACAGCTGAATTTGAATTCCAACACTGCTATTGGTCATGTCACTTAGAGACATCTGATTCATTCACAACCACCATGGAGCTTCAGCTACCTTCGCACTTCTCTGCTTTCTGCCAAGGTACGAACACATGCACCGACAAATGTGGCGTGGAGGGCCTTGATGAAGTAAGATCATGCCTTGGACCAGATCAGTGGCTGCCTGTGGTCTGCAGAAGCGGACCGGACCGACATAACGCATGCGGGCAATATACATGAACGCTGACGTATGCTTCGCGGGTTGGATACCGTCCATGTATCTTGTGAAGCCACCAAGTCAAAACCTACCAAGGAGGCAGGGTTACTCATCACAAACCCCTGGGCAAAGGGTTGCCCTTCGTTGAGGTTTAAGAGCTAGCCTTATTGTTTCTAGTAGAATCAGAAACCGACATGACATGGATCAAATAATCCCGTGTTATGCGTGATGAAGGTTGAGACAAGACGCGCCAGGTCCACTACCCTTATGATGGTTGAGAGCGACCAAGAACAGTCGTCTTCGCAAGTACTGTAACATTCATCCCTTGGCGATACCCAGTTTCAACTGGCAAGAATAGGTCACTTGTCTTACTTCTCTACTAGGTGTTTCCGATTTAATTCATCATCTGTTTGTGGCGGCACGGGCAAGCGGTCCACCCGTGCTCGGATGTCTTCCATATGTAATGCTTTTCTGGTTTGCGGAGACTAAATCAGACTGATCTAGTGAGTTGCTTCATCCTGAATCTTGAGTCTTACATCGGCAGTACCTCCGCAACCCCTGATGGCTGTGTCCACCGGCTAGTTCTCGGATTGGTGCGAAACACATTGAGGAAATTTGCTCGCCAGTAACTTCTAGATTAAGAACGATACGCGTGTCCAGAGCAAACTAGACCATGCCCTGTGCAGGAGAACAATTTGAAGACATTCACCGTATTGGTCTGATTCTGATTGTGTCTTAAAAGTGGTATGGCTAGACTGCTCATCAGATGTCTTTGATCGGAATCACCAGGCAGGCGAGCTTTCAATCAAAGGTACAGTCTGCAAAAGTCATCCATAATGAACGCGAATCACAGAAGTGTCCTCTTGGAAGTACATGCTAAAAGAAATAGAGCCGTGGATACGTGCCGGTTACCATAAAGACCTCCCTTTTGTACAGTCATTGAGTTATGTTTGACGTAGGCTCCAGCTTATGGCGAACTAGTACGCGGCTGTCATGGATGATCAAACCGGATACCCCGAAGCTCATTGTATGAATTGACTCGCAAAGCGGTTGGTAATACTCAACCGTTGGTACTTTTGTAGCATGCGACTGAATGGAATATGCTTTTGACTACAACAATGTCTTAATTTAGTAACCGCTGATAAGGAGGGCAAAATGCCCGTCTGCAATGGGAGGAAGTGGCTGTATTCATCCCCTTTCCTACATGATGACAACCAAAGTCGCCTTGCCAAGATGCGTTGAGTTTCATTTGCACAAGGTAAATTTGGCTCTTTTGGCGACTTGATTACATTGCCAAGAGCTGACTCCCGGCAGTGAGAGTAAATATGAATGTCGGCAATCTAGGCATCAGCTTGAGCAGCGCTAAGCCAGCAGGAAGGCGCATGGCTGGAGGGGGCCAAACGCGGACTGCCATTTTTCAAAGAATTCATGGACAAATTTGGATTAGAATACTCAGGTGGCACTTTATTATTTTTGGCAGGTCCATTTAGTGAGTTCCAGAATGCCAGCGACCCGTCTGTTGCAGTTTCGGACTCCAATAGTCCAATGCTGTTTTGCTGAGTCTCATTGTCTTTGGATCTTTCCAACACTCTATTGACTCGGAACTAGCTAGAAGCAATCTCTCGAACAACATTGAATATATGTGGGTAAAGTTGCAGTATCTGATGACGATATCATTGCATCACCTTCCTACGCTTGTTCTAGATCTACCCATGCATGGGGAGCCCGAAATCATCAAGGCTTTGTCCATATCTTGTGAAGGAAGAGAATGAATATTGACGTAGAAATCATCCAGGAGTAGCCAAGATATGTGTGTTTCGTAAGAGCCGCCAAAGTTGATCCTAAACACAACGCCAAAAGGAGGGTGCCTAAGCGCCCTCCGTAAGTACCGTCGAGGCTGAAGCCGGATCCGGGCTGCAAAGGATTACAAATGCGCACCCCGTAAACCCCGCCGAGGCTGTACCATAAGGTCCAGGCTCTTGCTGATTACGTCGCAGTCAAAATCTGGACAATAGCTAGGTGAGATCTTCAGTGCGAAGCATGGTGCATAGTTGTAGAAATGGCCTAATTTCTCCCGCCATGCTCTTGGCGGAGGATGTTACCACCAACGATGCCAAGACAAACCAGGCATAGGATGGAATACTCGGATTCATTCACAGCCTCGCTGGAGCGATAGTTCTATGATGGCAAAGAATTCATACCAAATATATATCAAGGACTTTGGTCTTGCATCTATATAAGGCCAGTCAAGAAAGCACGGTGAAAGCCATTCGAAAACCATTCATCTTCTCAAGCCTTCAAGTACGCTCAGAACACAATCACACATAACATCCCTTCTAACATTTGCCCAAATTCAACTGCAATGGTTGCCGCACTACGTCTTTTTGCTGTTGCAGCTCTTGCAGCAGCTACATCCGCATCGCCAGCAGCGGTTCCTGTCGATTCATCCGTGCAGTCCCTCGAGCAACGCGCCGGTGACGGAGGCAACGTAGCACTCGCAGGTGCACAACTCGTAAAGGAAATTCTGAAGGCAATTGGTGTCTTTACCGATGACGAGAAGAAGAACGCTTGGGTATGATTCCGATGCCCAAATTCCGCGCAAGGCGGCGCGACTGACGAAACTGTGCAGGACTTCAAATCCAATAAGGACATGTGCGAAGTCTTCATGAAGACAGTGGACGGCGGGAAGTGTACAATCTCAGTTGAATGCAAGGACGGGGGCAAGACAGAGTACTACCCAAACAAGGCGGACTACAAGAACTGCTTCGTCGGAGGTACTGAGACCATCAAGGATCCCAGAATTGGAGAATTCAGGTGAGTATTCAGCACAACTTTGAAACGGAGAACATTTACTTACCCGCTACGTCCTGTTTCAGTCTCACCTACACCAAGCGAGATGGTGCCGAGGGCCAGGGCTTGACGGAGCCCGTGCTCAAGGTGAAGAACGTCGGCAACTGGAAGGAATGGAAAGTCACAGATATGGCCAGGGCCAAGGACAAGGCGGACCTCTGCGAGAAGGGTATCGCACCGCTGAACTGTCATAGGGGTCCGTGGCTCTGCCGCTGGGTCCATGGCGGAAACACCCCTATCACTCAAGACCGCTCCAAGCGCTGGAGCTGCGGTGTTCCCAAGGTCGGAGCCACTTTCCCAGATGGTACCAACTGGGACAAGATGTGGCAGCACTAAGGGGCAAGGAGCAATGCTGCCAGTGAATGGATGGAGAAGCAGAGTGTTTCCTACTGTCAAACTTGATACGGAGTTTTGTGGTGTATGGGTTCTTTGAGACCATTCGGGTCTACCTAGGCATAGAGAGGAGCGCGATTATATACATGTCATCTTGAATTGAAAGTGGATCCGAGTATATGGAGTATCGTCGCAAATTCTAGTAGCCAAGTCGCTGATCTGCGTGGTCGCAGTGCCAGCCCCACTTGACCCAGACACAAGCACTTTAAGTCATCATGACCTAACTACAACTTACGAGCATACTAATAGCAGCGGAACATGATTGCATCTGACGGGACAGGCTTTGAATACGTATTTACCGCTGCCGCAGTCTGATATTTCGTTGTTCCGCGACGGCTGTCTTCGTATCACCGCCCCCGACCGTACCAATACCATGGCGGCAGCCAAGGTCACCCTGTTAGCTTCTCTCCGGGTCACCAAGCATCAGATACCCGCGCACAACCTGATCCCCAACACATCGCTGCAGCGGAAGCCGCTGCTGCACTACCACGGCGTCTTCCCCTCCTCCATCACGGCCTCCGCCATAGAGTCGCACCTCGGGGCGGTCGGGGTCGTGGAGCCGCAGTGGCGGTACACCATGTACAGCACGACGCACTTCCACAGCACGACACACGAGGTGCTGTGCATCGCGCGGGGCGGCGCGGCGCTGTGCTTCGGCGGCGAGGAGAACCCGGGCAAGGTCGAGCTCGAGGCGCGCCGCGGCGACGTCATCGTGGTCCCTGCCGGGGTCGGGCACCGGCTGCTGCGGGAGGCGGAGGAGGGAGGCGAGGGCTTCGAGATGGTCGGCAGCTACCCGAGGGGCTGCAGCTGGGATATGTGCTACGGCAAGAAGGGCGAGGAGGCGAAAGTCAGGGCCATTGAGAAACTGCCCTGGTTTAGTCGCGATCCGGTGTACGGCGACGAGGGGCCCGTCTTGAATGTGTAGGAGCCTGTCTGAAGGAGTCGCGGAGAAACTGGTCAACCGCCCGCTCAGCTTTGTCTTTGACTCGGCAGGTACATCGACAGGGCTGTATGGATGAGACCTTCGGCTCCAATTGGGAAAGCCTTTGTACCGGTCCAGCAGCCATTCATGGGGTTTCTTTGACCCAGGTCAGTGAAAGGGTGGTTGAAGACATTACCGGAAGGCAAGAAGAGATGAGGACTGTGTGCTACTTGGCATACTACGAATCCCCTCGCACAAGACCGCCCTCGCGATCTCATGCTTGGTTCGGATGGCTTTCAATTTGAGCTCAAGACGATGCCAGTGCCAATGCAGGGTCCGCCCTACGGCTCTGTGCGTGAACGGCACGGTTGGGAAGGCTGACCCGCTCAAGGCGCTGTGCGATGTATGCTATCACGAGGTCAGCAGGCTGAACGCAATGAGAAAAGATCCGACGTGTCAGTACCCACGCAAACTGGTGGATCGTGGGAGTCTTAAGAAGTGATAGTTGTTCTTCGTCCGAGAGATCCCGGGATTTGGAAGGCTGGACGGTGGCTTGGCACAGAATATTGGTATGCCGACAATTTTGTTGATAGGGGTTTCCATGATTTATTGGCCGAATGGGAATGTTGTCTGGCATGATTGCGTCGGATACGAGAGTATCTCTACACTTGTCGGCCAATACTACTCAAACCACTCAAGTAGTGTTTCGACCATTACGGTGGAGACGACAGGATCAGATTGAAACGATTATAGAAGCTAGACGTTTTACATAAAGGCGGTCAAGGCATTAATGTACACCAATGCGAAACGATCAAGGGAGGATACCACGCGAGCATATATGGACAGGTCGTGGCTCAGAGGCACTTTATTAGCCAAATCTCCAGCACGATGCCGTAATCTAAGTAATGTCAAGCTCTAAACGCCGCTCAATGCGAACTCCTGGTCTCATGAAAACGTCCCATAACATGCAAAATGTGTAAATGCAACAGGCACCCAGAACTCTCCGTCACCTTTTCAGCCCGTGTCGCGACCCAACCGGATCAACCGCGCCGCGCGAAGGAGCCCGGCGAGCAACTCATGCTCTGCTTCATCAGCTTAGCCTGGCGACCGTTATATCGAGTAGGCGCAACGTTCTTCGCCCGAGAAGGACCGGGGCCTGGCTGCATGGGAATGACCGTGTCATGCCTGGTTCCCTAGACCAATGACCCGTCGCTCTCCTGCAGGAGTGTCTTGCCACGATCCCACTCTCTCTGCTCTCCCTTCTTCGTCCACCGCACGTCGTCTTCGTCCTTCTTGTCCCCCTTCTCCCACTTCTTGACCTGGTCTTCGGTGAATCCGGCGGCGCGGAGTCTATCGGCGCCCTGTTCCTTCCAACGCTGTCGATCTTTCAGGGCCTCTAGAGCGGTGCCCCAATCGTCGTCGTCGTCATGCCCCAAAGACACGTCAACCTTGGGGTCGTAGCCCGACGCAAAGCGACTGTCCATGCCTGAGGAGCCAGAAACTGCCCCGCGACCCCGCCTGCGGATAGGGGACGGCGGCTTTGGTCCTATAATATCGTCAAGGGGATCTGAATCTGACTCGGAGACATCGCGCGGAGTGGGTTCCTCGCCTCGAGTCTCCTGTCTTCGATCTCGAGTCCTCTGCGGCTCCCGGTCGACGCGAGAGCTCTCGTGGCGATGTCTACTGCTGCTTGGACCGTGTTTGTCCCTTCTCCGGTTGTCGGATCGGTCACCTCGGTCACCTCGGTCGCCTCGATGCCTGTCTTCCCTCGAACTCGCCCTCTTGCTGCGATGGCGATCTTCGCGATCAAGCCCACGCCTTGGACCGTGATCGGCAAAAAGCTCCTTCCTGGAGTTCCTGTCCTTCACCGACGAGCCGTCGCGGTCGCCTGCCTCATGTGCTCTACCCCTAATCTTGATATCTGAGTCATCCCGCGGCTTCTTAGACCGTCTGGACTCGGAATCGACGTCCCGGGGAGCGTCGCGGTCATCGGTCTTGCGCTTCTTAGACGAGCCACCGATGATAGCGGTAATGTCGCCCAGCATGCGCTTGCGCACGTCGCCCGGGGCGGGTCTGCGCCGGCGGTCGCGCTCCTCTGATGCCCGTCGCTCCTGCTGCTTGGCGCGCTCCAAGTCGTTCAGGCGCGCTTGGGAGTCGGCGCGCTCCTGGGCGAGAAGATTGCGGTTGTGCGAGTCGGTTGCCTTGACGATGTTGTTCAGGAAGCGGGTGTTTGGTTTCGGGTGATGCGCCGGGCGTCTGAGACAGAGTCAGCCATGGTGCGCAGTATGGGATGCGCCGCAGGAATGTTCGGTCGCGGGGAATATTGTGGAAAAGGAGCTTACTTGGCGGAGCCGGTGTATGCGTCCATGCCTACGGCGGAGTACTTGAGGGCGCACTCTGCAGCTTCCTTGGAGAGGAGGTCTGCGACGAAGTCGTCGGAGAGGTCGTTGGAGGGCGGCATGATGAGGTGAATAGAGGCAGCTTGGCCAGCTCAGGGCAGCATGCAAAGCAGAGAGAGGCCTGAGAACAAGGATGGCGGCAGGGCTGCGAGTGCGAGTGAATGGCAGCCAGCACGCACGAGGTGCATTCACAGCCAAGGCGAAGAGCTAAGCCAAGCCTTCATGCGCAGAAAGCTTGGTGCTGGCTTTGCGCTGGATGGACCGATGAACCGATAGATGGATGGATGGAGGTCCCGGGTCTCTGCCTAGTAGGTACAGCAGAGAGCAGAACAAGGGGGGTTTCAGTCTGTTTCGTTTCGTCACTGGGACGGATTGACCCTGGTCAACGGTCAATGGTCGACTGTCAACGGTCAACGGCTAGTTAATAAGAGTCACTTCGGTCCACTGCTCTGACCTGATCAACGGCGGCTGCCCCGTTATCGGCCTTATCGCGCTTATCGGTTATCACCCCTCCAGGGCCTTGGGAAATCGACTAGTCCAGATTAGGCCCAATGTAAATAGTCGCGACTTCAAGTCTTCGTTTTCCAACGTCATGCCATGCGGGAAAGCGGACGCGACTTGCTTCTGCTTCCAGCATTAGAACACGGACCTGCCATTACTGCACACGCGCTGTTGGAATAAGTGTTGCAAAGACGTGAAGCGCGCGAACGTGTTGGACTCCGTAAATTAACGGCCAGTACATTGTTATTATTTGTTGGCCCGGTACAAACCCATCTTCAACACCGACTCATCCCCATCGCCCGCCATCATGCCTCGGGGCAAGAAATCAACCCCAGCCCCGGCTGAGCCGGCAACGGCAGAAGAAGTTCTCACAAAAATCAAGTCGCTCAACGCGTCGTACGAGATCAGCATCCTCAAGCTCTCGGAACCCATCTCCACCGTCCCGTCCGACCCCAACACCCAGCGCACCTCGGACGTGTCCAACGCCTCGCTGGACGCGCCCACGCCCGCCTCGCTCGAGGCCGACCTGACCCACTACCGCGAGCTCTTCGCCAAGCTGCGCTTCAGCTACGTCGAGCAGGTCACCAAGGAGAAGTTCATCCGCGCCATCGTCGGCGACCCCCCGCTCATCGTCGCGCCCCAGGAGAACCTCGAGCTCGAGGCCCTGAACGCCGCCGCCAAGGCCGAGCTCAAGGCCCTCAAGACCGAGGTCGCCGACATGGTCGCCGACCTGGAGCGCCGCGGTGCCGAGCTCGCCCGCCGCTACGAGGGCGTGCGCCTGCAGACTGCCACCCTCGAGGACATGCCCGCCAAGATCGCCGGCCTGGAGGACGCCGTCGCCCGGCTCAAGAAGCAGCACGCCGGCCGCATGAACGAGAACCCCGAGTTGAACCTCCCGCTGGCCAAGACGGTCGAGCTGGTCGACGCCAAGAAGCGCAAGCGCGCCGAGCTCGAGCGGACGCTGGAGCAGCTGCAGAACCAGGTGCCCCGCAAGAAGAAGGAGCTTGAGCGGCTCCAGACTGAGCTGGGTCCCCTGGAGACGAAGAAGCAGAACAGCGCCGCTGCCGCCAAGGAGGCCAAGAGGAGGAAAGAGGCCGCACTTGGGGGCGTCGAGGATGATCTAGAGGAGAGAGGCAGATGGTTCCGCGCTGCTGAGGCAGGCCTACGGTCAATGCTGGAGATCGAGGGTTGATTTAGTATTACGATAATGTGCCATGTGTTTCAGGGTCACGGAGGCGTCGGGGCGTTTGTCAGGAATGACCCTTCAAGGCATTTGGTTTTGGGCCAGGGTCGCGCCTCTCACAACTGTACAATTTATTGATACCAAAATGTTTGCGTTACGATCTAGCGGATGACACCTGGGCTAGATCGTTGAATTAAGAAGGAGCATCCCTTCGAATTACGATTAATGCATTTACCATCTTCAGCGAACTGGGTATCCAAACGAGTCTGCTAGAGGGAGGAAGGGGGGAAGTTTGGACGTTGCGACAGAACTAGCTGGAGATGGAACCAGACGAAGAACAGGACTGGGGGCCAGAGGAGGGGAGGGATGGCGTATCGGAAGACTCGGATCCAAGAACTCCGTCGGGGTCCCGAAGGGGCTGCGAACGCGACCTCGCGCGCGCGAACATCCGCGGATCGACTCCCCACGGGCTCGGGATGCTGAGTCGGACCCGTCGGCGTGATGGCGCAGCGCCCGGCCGCGCTCGAGGCCCGAAAAGCCGCCTGGGACCCATCGCCAGCATCATCGTGTTCTCAAAGTCCGTTCGTCGTCTCCGCGGTGCGGCCCCTGTCGTTCACCAGGCTTCAGTGGTTATGTCTCACAGTGAGGCCATGCAGTATCGTTTGCAGGACGGGGGAGGGGAAAAGAGAGCAAGGGGAACTTACGGTCCGGCATCACGTATCGAGCCCGAGCGGGCCGTTCCCGCGCCCGAGCCGCGTCGATGCGCCGCGCGACCTGGACGGCGGCTTGGAAATTGGGCCGTGGCCCCACGGGTTGCATCGCTTGCCGGTATGCCCGCGGGACTACGATGCCGAACTCGTCGCGCACTGGGGACTCGGGCGAGCTGCTCCGCTGGGAGGCCCTCGAGGTCATCCGCTGCCGCTGTTGCTGTGGTCGGGATGCCCGACGCCGTCGAGTAGCGCCTGATAATCTCGCCGCTGCACGTGAGTACAGTGTTGTCAATGTTGGGAGGGACGACCTCTGGGTCCGGGCCCGAGATCTCGCCCTGGAAGACTGTGTAGACGGGGACGCCTGGGAGCCTCGGGTTGCCGATGCTGTGTACGTAGGCGGCGGCGTGACTGAGGTCGGGATCCATCTGTTCCTCGCGCGGCCGATCGAAGCGTTTGAGGAGACTGCTGCCGCGTATGTTGGAAGGCGGTCGCCCCGACCACCGCGCCGTCTGTCGGCACCACGTCGCGGTGCTGCCCCTTGGCGCAGAATGGCTCGCGATGAACGTGCCCGCGGGGAGGAGGACCCGGATGATCCCCGTGAGGTCCGGACATCGTACGAGCTTGGAGACCTCCCCGAAGACCGAGGCACCGGGCCTGAACCGTCGCCCGAGAGGGTGCTCAACGGCGCCGACGCCGTGCGCAGAGTCGAGCGGTTGGTCCGCCGAGACGGGGTGTACCCCCTGGACAGGGAGCGTCCGCGGGACGGTGTGCCGTGCGTCGTCCGGGACGCCGACACCCCCGGTGGCATCGATGTCTCGCTGCTGCCCGGGAACGGGCCGTTGATGTTAGAAGTCGAGGTATCGGCACTGGTGCTGTAGTAGTCAGAGTCTCCAGTCGGCGAGTACCAGTCGGGCGGCTCGTCGACCCACGGCGGCGAAATCGGCCGTCTCCGTGGAGGCGAGCCACTCCCTATAAGCGTCGTGGAGCTGCTTCCAAATGACGACATTTTATTGTGTCTGGTGAGGTTGGCTTTCGGTGTTGGGTTCTGTTGTTGGGTTGTTTCTACAGAGATCCAAAGAGAGATCGCGTGGCTGGTCTGCAGAGTCTCTGGTGATCCCCGCGAATATTATAATATTGTAGAAAAAATACTTGGCCTATTGTGATTCAGTAGACAGATTAATGGAAGTTTATTATACTGCTCCCTTCAAGCAGAATATGGGAATGTCGTGGCAGTGGCGCTTCACTCCGGTTTCGCCATGGTGTGAACGATGAATTGCCTTAATCAGTGTCTCCTCGACCTTGTCTGACTATCTAGGTAGTGTTTATCGGTGTGTGAATCAACGTGGATATATAGATTACTCAATGTCTTCCTGTAGTCAGCACTGCAACACGTAGACTAGAACCACGTTCATGAAGCTGATTATCCCAGAAATATTCGGGTCCATAGTAGGCGTGTGTCACCTACAAAGAACGGAATAATTTAGCTGCTTCTGTTGACTAGCCTAGCCAATGTGATTCAAGTGAGGTTTAACCTTCGCCTCCTTTACAGAGGTAGGCAAATCAGGTTTTCATGTGCCTGGTTGCTCATTATACGCACCTTCGGCCTTTATCTGATGTCGAGAAGTCTAATTCCATATGCGGAACTCAAAACGAGGTGGTTGATAATATGATGTCTTCCCCTCGACGGTGGTGGCTCGAGCCGCGAGGTCTCCGTTTCAAGTTCATGTAAACTGCCGTGGGAAAAGAACAGCGTGCGCAAGTTTTGATTATAATGGCGTACTCAACTAGTGATTATAAACCTATGTCAAAACGCGGTGCTTCTACATGGTAGTTGACCCTCAATTCAGCGCATGCAGCTGCTGCGCTCCATCTGCAGGTTTCAAGTAAGGCATTCGGTCCTTGGTATAGAGCTCGACAGCCACCTTGTTTCCTAGCTTGGATGCCCCCCCGTCCAGCCCCCCAGCTTTGACATAGGTCGACTCTGGCATAATCTCTAGCTCGGTGAAGAGACTAGAGCCGCAGTCGCCACAGAAAAAGTGCTTGTTGATCTTGCCCGAATCCCCGATGGCATCATAGCTCTTTGGGGTTCCTGCCAAATGTCCGGCTTGTCAGTAAGAAGCCTCCGCAGCTCCTTGAAGTGGACACTGTACCTTCAACGACCTTGAAGTCTTTGCGGGAAACCATGACATTGGAAGTAAAGGCGCTACCAGTCCACTGTTCCATGACTATTAGTGACCACAGTGTAACGGAAGCAGCGATTTGCATACTTTCTGGCAGTCGACGCAATGACAGAGTGCGGTCACAAGGGGTTCACCTAATCAACCATCAGCATATGTTTGCTTTGCATCATGGGAAATCCGATGTTTTCTTACCAGCATACTGATACCTAATCTTGCCGCACAGGCAGCTTCCGTTGGTCACCATGGCGGGCTTATTAGATGTAGAGAGTATGAAATGTCGGCGTTAAGATGATTCGCAACCGTTTATAAATTGTAGCAAACGGTTACATTCTTATAGTAACTAACTTTCCTCTAGACTGACTCGCTAAGCGGGGTATGTGGTGCCAAGACCCGGTCGGACGGGAATGAGGGGGGTGGCCCTGGTCGGTGATAAGCCACAACTAATCCCGTTGATAGGTGCTTCTTAGGGGACGAGGGAATATGCCGGATTTCCTGCTCGCTCAGCAGCGTGCGACACTATGCCCCATTAAGCTGTATATTATAATCATTACGGAACCACAGGTGGATTGAGGCTGGGTCACAAATTTGACAACGTTTTGTTATTTATATATAAACTCGTACGGTTTATTATAAACTGGCCGGTATATGTGGTTGGTATAATAGGGTACAAGAGGTGAGGGGTGGTCCACCTTATGTGTAAATAGCAAACGCCACAATTGTGGAGGGAGCTCTTTCGTCTCCTCGCTAGCTTTAGAGGATCGCAGCCTTTCTCCACCTGTGGTGCCGTGACACGGCTAATCTTAGTGTGGTCGTCGGACTTGTCTTGTTTTCCTACGGAATGGCAACGTCGCATCAATAGGCTGACCGCCGTCGCCCCTTTCGCTCTGTGCTCTCGCACACGCAAAGCCCGAGGCTCTTCTAAGCGATGTCGAACTTCCACATCCTCTTCCCCCAACATCAAATTGATCCCTTGTCTCCCGGCCATCGTCGTGAAAAACGACTGACGTTCCAGAAAAAGGTACGTCATAAGGGAGTGACAGAGAGCGCGAAAGCAGGTGTTCGTCGTGAGATGCCATTACCGAGCTGAGGCTAGACCCAAGTCCGCTATCCATAGAGTTTGAATTGCGTGCTGGCAGCAACGCTGGGGGTCGCCTTCTTCCATTCCTCCCGGCCTAGCTTTAGACGATGGCAAAACATGACAGCTACTTTGGTATATCCGTTTATGTTCGGACCTTGTACGACCGGCGGAATATATCTCAGTGTGTACGCTACCAGTACCTGGATGGGGCAACATGCAGGTGATGTTTTCTTTGAGTCTTTGCCGCACCGTCAGTTTCTGGCAGTGGCATGAATCGGAGGTCTGTTTGTCACAGTGCCATCTGAGATCTTGACAAAATTCTGCAGGTTGTTTCATCGTATCCCCGAGGATCTCCATGACTTTCAACAGGTCTGATACGGCGACGGCAAGGTAGAACTTGTTTGTAGGTACCGTCCGCAGCGAATTGCAGACCTCCGCTGGATTGGCAGGAAGACTCAAGTTGCCGAACCTTCGATCGAAGAGTAGAATGACGGAATGCCTCTGATAAAGTCTACCCGGCCATACCCATATGCATGCAGGGTGGCAACTCAAAGACGAGGGTCACAATCTGTTGCTAAGTCTTTGAAATCCCAAACCTCAAGATTTCATCTATGTCGGACTTTGATTTTCAGCCTAATTTGACCAGTTACTCTTGTCTAATGTTCGATCATCTGCTCCAGAGTATTGGAGTGGTGTTAAAGTCGGTCTTGGAAGCGATGGCATGATACTTTCCTCTTGACGGTCCACGTCGAGGGTGAGTCGACTTGTTGTGTCTCCTCGTAGTATACCTCCTCGTTCTACTCAAAGATATTGAGGGACATGTTCTTTGTGTTGGTGAGAACTCGAACCGCCGATGTTGGTGTATTGTCCATCTCATCGTTCGTCATCATTTCGGGACTGAACATACAGGACTCGGAGAAGTCGCCCGTTCTGTCTTGTTCCAAAGATGCTAAGACGATATGAAGAAGGGCGCTCACCCAATGATGAGCCTTCCACGCGCATCTCCCTCATTCCACAACATACCATGTCTTTGAGAGATCTATTTCAACTTGGGGATATATCCCTTTCTTATTATGTGAGCCGGGACATCCTTTACGCCAACAGCAAACGCAGCCCCACCATATATACCTTTACCGACACAGTTCAAAGCTTCTCTAGAAGGCAGCCAGCGTGAAGGGATAGCAGGCCGGATCTCTGAATCGACTGATTAGCTCCCAGCGAGCCTAGCACATTAGAGCAGTGTGTCGAAGCACGATAAGCAACTAGAGCGCCGACCTGCGTGTGCTTCGGATCGCAACCCTTGCCCACGACTTACAGTGGATGGGCTTCCGTGCTGGGTCTGCGCTTGGGACAACCGGAGGCGAGTGCATCATTGAAAGAGGCTATTAATCAACCAGTCCCCCAAATCACATGTATTCGAGCTAGTAAACGGCTGCCCGATCGCCAGCCCGAGCTCGTCAGGCATTTAGGTGGCCCTCTTTGATAGCTGCTAGAATGCTCATGGGTCCCAGGCGGCCCTAAAGCCAACGCCACTAGCGCTATCAGCCAACACCACGCGCACACACGTGCTAACTAGCAACTACCGAAACAGCTTCTCCAACATCAAGCTGGCCCTAGCCTAGTAGCGGGCGTCTATAAAGCCGTGCCGTCGGGTCCAGGTACCGAAGTAAGAGCACTTAACAATGCGATTATTCGCGACGACAATGTCGTCCAGTGCGAACTTGCAGTATCCGGAGTGCTTCGATCACAAGTAAATCCTCCTAGCCTCGCTTAGGCGGCCTACAAAGGATCCGCCGCCTACTAGCCGAGCTGAGAGGGCTCCCAAGTGGAAGCAGCTATAAAATGCTTTAGCCAGTCAACTGGCCGTTATCCAGAACAAGCCCAAACCAAATGCTTGGTGCCCTGGTGTCTTCTACAACAAGCATTTCCATGGGTCTAATCCGTATATTAAAGACAGACAGCCGTGCGACGTGTGTGGCTGTGGTAACCTGCGAAGTGCGTCGATGCCATCTCCAACTTGGTACTCCCCGGCCGGCCATGCCCTGTAACTGGATCGCGTCTGGTGATGCTATCCCCAAATCTGGCCAGGACCGCGACAGGATCGCCGAGGGGGCGGGCGTGATCGGATTCGAGCTGAAAAGGATGCGGGTGTGGGACGACTTTGCGTGCGCCTCTGACTATGCCCACATCGATAAGGTCAAAGCATGGCAGCAGTACGCAGCAGCGACGGCGGTAGCGTGTGGGAAAGCGTTTCTAGACTTCTGGGTGCCTCTGCTACCAAATGCGCAACATCCCGCTAGAGTTCCGGACAGCCTCTCACCTGAGTTTTCAGCTGAGTGACACCCATGTTGACCTATCCAATGGCTTGGCAATCTATCCAATAGCTTGGCGATCTGTTTAATAGCTTGGCACGCTACTACATCTAGACCCTTCTGATCCATGAACTATAACTTCAGCCGCTCGCGAACATGGAATTCTTGAGTCCAGAGCACTTCTCTCTGCCGCTGGAGGTTGGGTATAAAGTAATTGCCGCCCGCAGCGCATGGCGGTCCATTTTCTGGCACTCAACCTAAAGGGAAAAAATTTCAAGAAATAGCGATTATCGGCGTGATCATAGACGTTCGTCTTGAATACCAAACCGATCCCATCATGGCTGTCATTCCACACTTCATTCGCTACACGAGTTCAGGTTACCGTTCCAGCGCGTACCATGTCCCCATCGCTAGCATCTCCGTGGGCACCATCCTAGGCCTCATGTTCTTGTCGTTTTGTATCAGCTTGGCATATTTCTATCACAAAGGTACGTGGCTAAGGCATGAGCGCGACACCAGCATCGCAATTTAAATCTCAGGCGGCCGCTGACCACTGCTACCAGCCAACAAGCAGCACAAAACCACGGGAAAACCGATACCTCATGGGAAGATCATCCTCAAGTCTCTGGCGTGCGCGACGCTGCTCGGCGTGTTATTCGTTTGTTGCTTCGGCGGCAGCGATAACAGCTCAGACCAGCCGGCACAGCAGGGCGCGACGCAAGGTGGCGGCGGCGCGGCGTTCTATCCTACCGCCCCCTCTCAACCGCAATACACGCCGCAGATGAACTGGGATCCCGTCAATGCTGCCGCTGAATCGAAGGTCCAGTGATGGGTGGGCGATGTCAGACGGCGGCTGTTGGGTGGATTACGAAACTTGAAAGCAGTTCTAGTAGACTGGAGTGGTATCAAGTAGTTAATGTAAAGCTTGACTGCACAAAATGCTGTATGCGTCCTGTTTCCACCGGTGGCCCGTAGGCCAAGATCGATTCGCTTCAGGCCGCCGCGTAAGGCTGTGCTCCGACCGGCCTCATGGTCCGGGTGCCCAGTCGTGGAAATACAGCCGTGCGAATGTCGACATTCGGTCCTGCTAATGGCTGCTCATATCTCTCGGCAAATAGGATCTGGATTTTAAGGCTTATCGCCAGATCCAAAGATTTCAAAGCCAATGCCGTCGCATGGATAAGGGTCGAGCATCTCGTGTAAGCTGGGGTACCAGCGCACCCATTGTCGCCAGCTTATTGGCCATCAAACCCGGGATCTGGCGGTGGAAAGATGCAATTTGCATCCGCCAGCCCCACCACTACTTGCACCTTGAAATGAGGGTACCACGACAAAAACGATGTCATTGGCTCCCCAAGTATTCCGGTTCATGAACCAAGTTTTGAATCATTCCACTCTTATCTAGGTCTGCCACTATTCATCCTGACCATTCATTCCATTTAGGACACATTCTTGATGGTTGATTCCATCCAAAATTCTTCTAAGATCATTCCATTCACTATCGCTATCTTCTTAGGTGACACCCCCCTTCGCTCCGCTGGATGGGGGCCTGCTTGCCCCAAACCCCCTGCCATCTACGACTCCGCCTCTAGGCCTGCGGCGCTGTACTTCAACGCTTGGTACTAGTAGAAACATGACTAAACTCCCTTTGTGGACTATAGCTGCAAATACTATAAGATAAAAATCGAATTACACGACTGCAAGTATACATTCACATTTATAACACGAAGCAAAACTGTGGACACTAAGACAGCAGAAATGGCTGTTTAGACATGACTTTAAACCTAAGTCTACCAAGCTCAATGTTGATTGGATGAATTGGAACGGACACAGGAACGAGGCGCAGCATGCAGTCAGCCCGAGCCCCCTTGGCGTCAGCCCCATCACCTCTGCCATAGTAGCGCATTCTTCTTTTGCCTCACTTGCCTCCTTTTTGACTCTACTGCACAAGCAAATGTGGTAGTGCTTCGCATCGCAAGCGCAAGATCTCCTCTCTCTATCAGGCTTTGAGACAAGAAGTGCTTGCCTTGTGGTGTTAATTCAAGCTACGATGCCCCCATTTTCGAAGTTCTTCAGAAGGATCAAGCTGAGAAGCTTCGATAAGTACCAGGTATCCTGGAGAACATCTGCATTAGTAAACACTATCACTGTTGGTCTCCTGGGGGTGATGCTTTTGATTTTGGTCTCAATTTCAATTGTTCATGCCGGCGGAGTCAACTCAACACTGATGTTCTACACGGGGGATTGCGATACTGGAGCGTCGCCAGTCAACACCTCTTTACATCTCTTAATCAACATAATCTCAACAGCAATTCTCGCGTCGTCAAATTTCTTCATGCAAGTTCTGAGCGCACCATCGAGACAGGAAATTGATGTTGCACACAGGAAGGGAAGCTGGCTGGACATTGGCATACCATCATGGCGCAATGTCTTCTACCTATCGAAGTTGAAGAGTGTCATTTGGTTAGCATTCTTCTTTTCCTCGATTCCCATACACCTACTCGCCAACAGTACAATATTTCAGACGGATGTCCGTGAATCAGGGTACCAGTTGATGATAGTAACTCACCAGTTTTTCAACGCAACGGCACAATGGTATCTACCTGGAGCTGCACTACTGGATGATTGGACAACAAATCGAAGCGACTACTTGAACGTCAGCTCTGATATGTCACTAGCAGTGCGTGGAGCCTTGCGGGAAGCGAGAGGCTATGACAACAAAACATCAACTAATTGGGAGAAAGTGGCCAGTGAAGACTGCCGGAAATTATATGCGAACTGCCAGGGAGTTCGGAAATACAGGCGGGTGTTTGTAGTTGTGGGTCCAGCATTGGAGAATACGCGTGAGACCTGGAAAGGCTGGAGCCGCAACCAAGTACACAATCTTCCTGACGAAGAGGCTCAAGCATGGGACCAATATGTTCCCGCCACTGAGGTCAACTCTCTTTGGTATGCATCGCCTTGCACCATGTTGGCGAGTAATAACGGCAGTGGCCGCCATCAGCATTGCGAGAATACTTGCATCAGTTCTTTAGGCGGGGACGACTCGCGACAATCCACAGGGGGAGCTTGGTTCCTCAACTTCAATCAACGACGCGAAATGGATACAATAGGATCTGCTAATGGACTTCTCCACGTATCCCATTGCGCGGCTGAGAGAGCGCAGGTTCAGTGTAGGATTGGAGTATCAAATCCGCTCCTCTTAGCTGTTACTATATGCACTATAGTAAAGCTTCTGTGTTGCTCAGCGGTCATGTTCTATGTCGACCATCGGGATAGCATCGTTCTCCTGGGTGATGCAGTGTCCAGCTTCCTCTGTCAACCGGACGCTGACACCACAAATCTATGTCTTCTTGGTGATAAAGAAGTCAAGTCGAGGCCCAAAACCTTTGATATCACTCGGGGAGCACGCCGATGGCGCTCGAAGATAAGACGACGCGGGGCCGCAGTGCCTTTTGTGGTTCGCGAAATATCGTATTGGATGTTCATTGCATTGACAGTTGGACTGATGTTATCTTTCATCGCGATGTCAGCGTCAGGGGGTCAAGTGTAGGCTTTTTTTTTTTTCTTTCCTTTTTTTAGCCTCTCAATTATCTATTAGTACCATACTACATCAAAGACTGACTTAAGAACACAGGGACGGCTCATTCGGAAATGACGCATCTGGATCAACATTTCCGTTGCCTTCAGTTACTTCACTGTTGAGTTGTGTGCTGCTAGCCAACTCCCCTCAACTCTATCTCTCATTTTGCTACTTGCTCTATAACTTATTCTATACAAGAATAGAAATGGCACGCGAATGGGCTGCTATGAGTATGGATTACAAGCCACTGCGAGTGACAGCGCCGAAGTACGTATTTGTGATCGGGTTAGCCAAGAATGTACTGATTCATTATGGAGCACTAATAAAATCAACAGAGGAAAACAACGTTCATCTTACTGGCTTCAGCTAAGGATGAAATACAGCATTCCTCTTCTCATAGTTAGTGTGCTGCTGCACTGGCTCTTGTCCAACGCCATTTACATTAGCGTTGGAGAGGGGGGTAAGTAAAAGTACATTAGTAGAAATATTGATTTTGCTAATCGCTGATACGCCGTATGGACTATTTCAGTTCATTGTCCTACGATGCTGCCCGTGGAGACCCAACTCTTCCTTCCGGTGCTGTAATCACTGTAGGCTATTCAATGACAGCCACGCTAACCCTTGGTATCGTTTTCGTGGTCCTCATCCTTTTCCCCGTCTTCTCCATGGACCGGCTTAAACTACCTGGGGGCATACCGATGGTTAGAACCAACTCCTTCGCCATAGCCGCAGCTTGCCATGTCTGGCCGCATGAAACAGAAGAGCTGCATCATAGCAACTTCCACGCTGGCTCTAATTCTATGGCACAGGTATCATCGCTGAACACAGGCAGTGAGTCGGAATTCAGTCTGGGTGCAGGATTCGAGGATAGTGGGAACCGAAGCAGCCATGAGATGCGTAGTCTCACTACCCCCAGTGACCCAAACATTGTCGGGTCACAACATTCTGACAACACAGATGCAGGCGGGATTGAGGCGCTGGTGGAATCTGAGATCAAATGGGGAGAGGTCCCGATGCCACCGTCCTGGTATGCCATGTACGAACATCTCGATCATCATGTGGGCCACCTCAGTTTCGGGTCAATGGATCATTCAGTAAAGGCTCCCGAAGAGGAGGGGTGGTACGCATGAATAATGGGTTTAGATAATCTATTGAAAATAATATTCATTAGCTGCATGGCTTATATATTTCATACTATATTGTCCCGAATCAGCGCGACGAGTGTTCAAGATTCCAATGTGACGAAGTAAACGGTGTCGTTACCGCCCAAGTTCCAATTCATCAGCAAAATATCAGGAGGCTTTTCTCCAACTATCAAGTCCTTGTTTATGGCATTTGCACCAACGCTTTGTAGTATAATACTTACTTCTACAGCCATGAGCACTTGCAGGCTATAAACTCTAAGATCTTTATTGAATACCCCTATGTTGCCTGGTGGTGCCATTTTGCATGTGCCAATTCCATGCCAACATAGAAATAGAGCGCTTATGTCTCGGCGCTAGACTAGACGCCAAGGGTGCTGTAGAGCGAGAGAGTCTCTGTGTTATTCAAGGGCTACCTGCGGTGGGTTATTTGAATCGGAGCTTGCCGATGGTGCCTTGACCGTCGGCGTGGTTATAACTACCGCCATTTCATTAAGGCTACAGTATTTTGAGGAGATTGACTATCGTTCCAGTTTAAGGTACCAGAAAACAACAACCCTGATTGAAGACAACTCCCCCATAATTGCCGGATGGTCAGTTGGGTGGGGCTGATAAGGAGCGGCGGTATGTAGCAAAGGTAAGGCGGGGGAGCGCTGCAGCCTAGGCACAGCTGCCAGGGTTGCCTCATCACCCCACGGCGCGTAAAGTGCTTGCACACAAGTAGTTAGTTGTTTTAGCAGGCTTATCTTCATATATCAATCACCGTGACCCATACGTGAGCTGCGGTGCAGGCACCAAGCCACTAGTAGTATCGGTTGTGGTCATGTTATTCAACATCTAATCATTGCTCCCTACCAGGGGCAGAACTCAGCCCTCTTGTAGGCGAACTGATGATACAATGGCATCGTTGTCGATCTCTACATCTGAGCCGCACAGCTGCTGTGTTTTAGCGCTGTTCGTTCATGATGCGTACACTTAAAGAGTACCATGCCCTTGATAGTAAGCCTTAAATCAAAACCTATATAATCTTTCAGAATATTATCAATAATTCAGACTGCTTGCTCTTTGTCTTTTCTCGTGGTGGTAGCGTTCCTTATCGGCATTTTGCACTTGACTTTCTAGTATCTCGACAATGCACAATGCCTGAGCCAATTGGTATCACAGGTCCCACGGCGACTGACCAAAAACCGGGTGGCAGTGATAGTTGCCAGAACGCTTACTCTTGGCTAAGGCTGTGCAGAATCGTGGCGATGCTTTTTTGATCCCAAAGCTTACGCATGCACTGCCTTTGGCACATCGATATTTTACTTTACTGCCTAGGACTGTTCTGTAACGTCTATGCTTTAAAGCTCAAACTTCGGGGCAAGTGTTGCATTGCACTTATTTCTGTCAGTTGACCAAGATGGCTGCATCAACGAGCGAGGTGTCGCCCTGCTTTCTTTCCATTATTGAGATGAGGAGAAATAACGCCATAAACGACGAAGAATACTACTACTACGGACTGGTGCACCTAGCCGGGGTAGTTCACGTTCAAGACAAAACGGGAACTTCTGAACATGAAATGGCATTACTGCACTCAGATCCGTTTTTCTACAGCATCTATAATGTCTCGAAGGAGATGGAACCCGTTGAAGGTACATATAAGAAGGCGACTTCGGGGTGTTGACTGATTTAGATTTATAGATATCTCGCCTTTCATGCGGCTATTTGGGGCGTATCACACTAGAAATCTGGAACAAATGCAGGCCTATCACGGCAGTCTTCACGAAACGCAGGCATCATACATGAGGAGACTCCTTGCAATGCGAGCACTGTGGGACGAGAGGGCTGACGTTCTAAGATTTTGCCTTCAACGGGGTGGGTTCACGTATGAGAAGCACTTTGAGGAAAGAGCAAACTTGGCCGAGTCACGGAGTCCGGAACTGAAGGCCGCGATGGAGGGCACGAGATTCCGCTGGGAGAACCCTTTTAAACCTCATGTCTCGGCAGTCTTCGATGCCGGAGGGGCTCATGCTGTTAAGTGGTGATGGCTGTGAGTACTTGAGCAGAGGTCGCGAATAAGTCAAGATCTCCCTTCCTGCTGCCCACCCCCCAGTGTTAAATGGGGTTGCTAGCGCCGTGCATCCGCCGATCTGCAACAGCTCCCTAGATTCTACCAACCAGCTCGAATATGGATGCTTATTCTGTCTCGGATTTACAAGTATCTACGCATCTAGTCGTCGTATGACAATGAAGATTCCTTTGAAAAGGCGATTTCCCTCCCTCGGTATCGGACTGAACGCCTCCATTCTGCGCTACATTTGCAAGCGTAGAGCCATAAATGACAGCTCCGGCATTGCAATCATGCTTGTCCAGAGAAACACTAGAACTAGGAGTGGAATTAAGTGCATATCGTTGTAACGGGACGATACAGAGCGTCGAGGTGGGCCTAGATTGATTGCAATCCATGAGCTGGAGTTTGACTTGGCCCCAATAGCAAGTATTGCAAGAATTCCAACTGTGACTAGAGCCACGCATAAATTACCTCCTAAGTTGCCTCAAGTTTCGGGCGACCCTTTTGACCCCGCAGATCTTGAGGTTAATTGTTGATACTCCTTTTCTGGTCATGGCTGACTTTGCCCTTGATGCTCGTTTGATCCCCTTTGCTTGACTAACTTAAAAGGACATAACATTCCGCCGAGATGGCTCATTCTCCTAAATCCTGTACAATTAATGCATTATCCCTTTTTCAGTATAAAGGCAGGCATGGACACAGTTAGCGAAAGGCTATCACCTGCGCTGCTAGCGCAGGGCGCTGGCAACTACCTGAACTTTCTATCAGACCCTGCGGTCCCTTAAACTGTGGCTCTTTAAGTTATGTCCCGTAAGTAGAGTTACCCGTAACCCTGCCAAAACCGTCAGAAGTATACTGCTATACGGGCGCGCTTATACTACCCGCCCCGTTAACCTGACACAACCCGAGCGACCGACTGAGAAGATAAAGAGTCCTTCCATACCCCATTGATAGACATATAATAATTCGAAAAGTGTCCAGAGAAGATATTGCAGAGAAACGTTCAATAATACCTCAAATTTGCTAAATTTGATGAGCTGCAAAATGCGTATAAGAAGTTTCACGAGTTTGGCGGTAGAAAGTCATGTGACTTTCTCCTAGTTTTGGACCTTACCTCGGTACATTTAGGCTGCGTGACTCCCTTTTCGGCTCCTTATCCCTTTTTGTACGACTCCATGCCTCATGGACGGCATTTGTATGCAGTATCTCTACCTGCATATGCGGGCTACAGACCGGTCACGGTTTTGCCAGTTCTTACCGCCTCCTCACACCCCCGCTGCGTCGCCTACTTTGCTCGAACGACTATTCTTTGTGCCGGCCCAAATCGAAAAGTTGGCACAATGTCACAAATATGCGACGCGTATAGGAAAAGAAAGATTTGATCAGAGATTACGTAAATTTTTGCAGGTTGTGAATTAGTATCGGATTTACACCTGTCACACTCCATCAGCCGCTCCTGCAGCATGCCGGCTGAGTCGAAAATCATCTCAGCACAGCACAAGGGCCTTGTGCAGGTATACCAATTTTGTCCTGAGCGGCCCTATGTAGGACTCAAGATTCCTTCCGATGCAAACAGATTTCTTGCCGTGGGTTCAAGACAATCTCTCGGGATCAAGGTATGGGTGATGTAACACAGCATCCCAGGTGGCTGCTTATGCTCACTTAGGATGGTCTGATTCAAAGGATGTGACTTGGAATTGGTTTGAAGCGGCCTCAATTCGGCCACCAGGCAGACGGTTTGTCGTCCCGGTGAAAACACAAAACAATGCTCCTAGTGATCCGAAGTTTCGCACCATAACGGTAACCAAGAGTCCACAAGATATCGATAGCAACCCGGCGGATGTGCTTGCATGGCTTCAGGAACTACAAAGCGAAGACTTGATCCAGCTCATTCCTAAGTCTGAATTCTTTGGTTGGGTAAACATCGTCGAAAGAGGCCTCTATCGCTGTTGAGTATCATTCGTTTGAACTCCTCGATGAACCCTCAACGCTGAGCATCGTCGCCTCCACTAACAGCGCTTTCTACAGCGGAAAACTCCAAGATGACAAACTTCATAATACTATTCGTCTATTGGTGAGTGAGCCTGGGGACTTTTACGACACGATACGTGGAAGTTTTGTCTATGAAACACTCCATGGATCCGGCGCGAGCACGTTGAACTACGAGGCACTATCCTACTTTTGGGGGCCACAATCAAACCGCGATTATATTTTCATCACAATTGAGGGTTTGAGAAAAGCATCTTCAACAGTTGCTTTCAGTTTATCTCATACGGTTACGTCAGCGATCAAGCTTGTATGGACGATAAAGAAGCTCCGTTGTGGGATCCATCAATCAATACTGCGTCATATTCAGAACTTACTGCCGAAGACCCAACTCACGGGTGATAATATCGGCAGCCTTTTCTCCAATTATCAATGCTGTGTTCATAGTGTTTGAGCCAACATTCTCGGGTATCACACTCAGATCGGCGATCTTTAGTGCCTGCACACCATGGACCCCAAGGTTTTCATCAACCACACCAAGGCTGCTCAGGGGCGCCATCTTGCATGTACCAATTCCGTGCCAGCACGTGGTCAAATTCATCCTAATCCAATCTTCGATGATCTTGTCATCCGCGGGTGCGTAAACGATGTCCTTCATGGTTGAAGCTGATTCTTCGATGGTTTCAATGTCCCCATTGTATGCAGCTGTAGACCCTGGGGGGAAATACGGGTGGCGATGAGACACCTCACCCTCATAGATCCGCATACGCCGTGCAACTTCGCGTTGCTTTTTGTACGCCCAGGTCTGGGTTTTCAAATCAAAGCCAGACTTGTCTGTGAGGAAGCCTGTCACAAAGTCGAGGCGGTCATCTATGCTGCGCCCGGTGATATGCTACACAACTGACGTTAGTACATTTATTTTTCTTAACAAAATCAAGATGAATCGGTTAAAGACCGAATCGTGTAAGGTACTGACAACATGGCCCCGAGAATAGGGGTATGCCGTAAAAGGCGCCATGGAAAAGTATTGTCCCTGTGGAATGTCGCCGCGATCACCAAGAAGACTATTATCAAGTTAGCAGAGCCGGTTAAAACAGCTTAAATAGCTATAGAAAGCGGGCTGATTTACCCTGCCACAAATATCAACGACACCAGGGGTTTATTTTCCACCTTTTCGAAGTCCTCGTCCCAACACTGTTTGAACTTATCACCAAGGCGCTCCACCTCGGCGTCCATTGGTCGAATCTTAGAGGATGCATCAATCCCATTCCAGCCTAAAATAGGATCTTGATTACTGAGTAATTTCGGAATGTCTGCATAACCGCCATGTATGTCATCAGTTGTGGTTCCGGAAGGGAGATTTGATTTGTAGCAGGACATGGTAAGGTGGTGATCCTGATAATCATGACCAACACCGGGAAGATTTGTAACCAGCGGCACACCTGCGTTTTCGAGGACTTCCGCCTGTCCTACTCCCGATCTTTCAAGCACCGAGGGAGTTCCAAGTGTGCCGCATGAAAGGACAACAAGCTTTCTCGCTTTGACAACGCGCGCGGGGTCATCGGCGCGATCTGGCTGGAAGGCTGGATTCGGCCGCAACTCAACTGCTGACGCTCTTAGGTCCTCATCGAACATGACACGTATAACCTGGGTCTCGACGAGTACATGCAGACCAGGATGCTTCCCATCTCGTAGTCGAGGGTGCAAATAAGCATGCGCAGTATCCTGTCTTCGACCATCTGAGGACACATACTTTCGTATGCTTTCCACTCCGATGGACTTCAAGTCTTGCAGGTCTTCTACTCTAGGGTAGCCGACTTGCATCATTGCGTTGATGAAGTCCTCCTCAGATTCTGTAGAGCGGAAAGGTCCTTTGGACTTTTAGGCCGCCCACTAGTCAGTGAGATATCAAACCGTAAAGTCAAAGCAACCAATTCACGTTCCCGAATATGAAAGAGCAATGGAAAATAAAACATCGAAGCGCTGAGACTTTGCGATATTTTATTTTTTTTTTGGCACTTTTACTTACCACATGGATGGGGCCATCAACCCCGTGTTTATTCTCGGTACCAGTGCCATGGTACGTCTCGACCTGCCAATCAGGCATGAGTTACAGCCAGCTAATGGACGGGATCTGAAGTTACCTTTCTCATATAATGTCCCATCTCCTCACTGCGCCAGCCCTCCATATTCCACGAGTCGAAATCGCACTTTTGAGCTCGAACATACATCATCAAGTTAATAGACGACCCACCGCCTAGCGTGTTTCCGACTTGAATCAACGATTCTCTACCTCCAAGTTGCTTTTCTTTGGCAGACTTGTGGACGTAGACTTTGGGGTCGCTGGGAACGTGGTTCCCTCGCCAAAGAGCAGGGTGAATAACGGTCGGCGACTCATAATTGTCGCGGCCACTTTCGACAACGAGAATGGAAAGGTTCGAGTCTGCATCCGCCAGTCTTGCGGCAACAATGCAGCCAGCCGTGCCTCCTAAAGTATCGTTATTGACCGGTTACAGCGGTTCATTGACGTACTCATTCCTACCTCCCGCAATGATCACATCGACCTCTTCAATCCCTTTGGGGAGTAATTTGTATAGACTCGTCATATTGGCCACCTGATGGAGACTGAAGCCGAAGGAAAAATAGAGGATGCATGAGATTGTTGACTGACAGGTCCAAGTCAGCAAAATTATGAAATACCTTGGTTCCCCTTGCATATGTCGACTTCCTGTTGACCGAGGCCTGCACCCGAAAGTAGGGATAACGCACACACTTTCGTACCTCCTGATAGAATCACATCAACAAACCCCGCTTTTTGCCTTCCTCACATGGGTCTGTTAGAATTCAAATGTAAGGAGCGACGTGAAGTTGGGCATTTCTGATACACGTGACAGACGTTTCGACCCCCGCGGGACTCCTGCGCCGCAATATCAAACGTCCAACTAACTACCAATGCTCTCCCCTTACTTCATCTCGCTTGGCAGTTTGTACGGTACCAGTTGGTCGAGAGGTAGACTACAATCACCCAAAGATTGGGTCAAGAGGGACTCGCCCTGTATGGCGTAGAGTGGTGACAGCAAGTGATCACATGTGCCACTCCTCAGAATCTTGCTACTTCTACGGGCCCTTTCCAGACAAAAAAGGGGAGCGACGCTTTTTGGGGAGTGTCGTTTTGGGCATCGAAGAACTTGATCACTCTCTTACGCAACACAATTTGCAAAGATAACACGTCGTTAACCATTGCTTGCACTTTTAAAAACCTAGATTTGGAGAGATTAAAGGTTCATTTGACGTGACTGAGCTTGATGTGACGCCCTCGCGTTAGATTTCGAGGATCGCATATTTATATGACACTAGAACGCGAGAACCATCATTTCAACATTTCTTAGACGACGGTACATCCTTATAAACTTCACAGAGTCCCTGTGTTAGAAATCCTATTGAGTTTCGAACGATATCACTGATTTGGGTGCAGACGCACCACTGTTTTCTTCCAGTACTCCAAATTATCATATGGCATTAGGAGTATTGGCAGACACATAGACAGACTACCTACCACTCAAGGCTCTAAATAGCCAGTGAATGGACAATGGGCCGTGGCCATTCGGGAGCTTCCTAAATTTCATCAAGGGTAACAAGATATTGTCAACTATCATTGTTTTCAGCATGGACAATATGCCATTGCAAGGAACATTACTCGCTTGACAGCTTTCCTATCTCAGATCTATCCGTTGTCATGACCATGGCGACTTCATAGAGCAATTATTGACTAGGTTTTCAATCCCGACTGGTGGTCTTCTTGAATTAGAGGGGTTACACAATTTAGATACAACTGCCGGGCCTATGAACAGACGAAGAGCCATGTAAACCGACTTGAAAGTTGCCGCTGTCCTTGACTTGGACAAGGAAGCGCAGCGCCATGACAAGAAGTCCAGAACAGCTTGGCATTGATACACTGCGTGCGGGAGCATGTTTCGATGATCAACTGACTATACTCTGCTATAGCGGGCTTAGAACATGCAGCGATCTACTGATGCCAAGCCAATGGAGCCGGGGTCGAACCCAAATGTTGCTAAAAATAAAAACCCGATAACTAACCAGGGGTGGTGGTGCATGAAGGATCCTTCCAATATTGTGGCTGACTATTGTCAATGTTATCGATTCACGACCGTTGGATCCTGTGCCTGATTGCCTGATGTCATGTTACCCTTGTCACATCATGGCGATAGACAGCCTTATGGCGCAGCGAACTCATGCCTACCCGTCCCAACGTCTTGGCAGCATACACTGGCCCGAGAACTTGTGGCACAGCTACAGAGGATTCGGGACGTACAGTGGGATCGTGATCTCCGACATTGATCAGACCGTGGCCATGTTGTTGCGAAAATAGTGTTCCTGGGTTGCGTGATCCCATCCATGTCCAATACGTCTTCGTTTGCATCGGCTCAGATACTCAAAGCTTCGTAGAGTCTCCGTAAGAAAGGTTGGCACTTGGTACCGAATAATCCAGATTATGCTCTCAGTCACGGTTAGCGTGATCATCACGGTATGCCATACTATGTCTAAGTTGCCAGTCCTCTCCTGTCATTGACATTTGGGGCATACTGGCCCCTGCAGCGATGCTTGAGAGCTTGTTCCTCGGCTACTTTTGACGGAATGCCCAACAATTTTGGGACACAATGATATCGTAGCGATGACCAAAGTCTCTCGTTTCCCTAGGACGTCCGTCATCTTACCTTCGGGTTCGGGAAGATCCACATCTCGGCGGCCCGTCACGGGCTGGTTTGGCGATGTTCCCGCTTGGTAGAGATGCATTGATACGTAGTCACGAGCGGGAGGACATGGTCTGCAAAGGGCGGATATCAGACGACTGGTTGACTGGAGCCGATCTGGGTCCTGCAGGTGATTGATATTCGGCCGCAGACCCTTTCATGGAAGTGAGTGACATCAATAGGGAGGACCTCATTGAACTTCGCGATTGCTCAAATGCCATATGGACGGATCCCACATTCCTCTCGGATTACAAAGGAGAACGTCATTTGGACGAAATGATCAACTTCTAGGAACCCACCCGAGTGATTATGAGCAATCCAGACTCCAGAGTTCCATTGCGCAAACAAGAAACGTCGTCTTGCGGCTCCGCAACTAGCGAGACCCCAGCAGCGTTCTAGCGAGGATCACGAACAGCTCTCAGACCTCCGCAGCGTCCGTGCAAAGGGGGGGCTGGCTGTCAGGGAGCGCCGTCGACGCCGCAATCTGAATCACCGCAGAACGGTGGACCCTTCGTTTCCTTTTCCATTTGGCTGGCGCCCCCTGGAACGTCTGAAACCTCGCGATGGCAAATCTGCGGGGCCCAGAAAGGGATAAAACATTTCAATCTCATTCCGGCGCGCCATTGCGTGCGCGCGCGAGCGCGGATTCGACGACGACAGGCACGACGCTATCCACTTGAGGCATCTCGCGAGGGCGGCCGCGCACGTGCAACAGCCAAATGGGGAAAACGGCTGGGAGGCTCCTGGGCCCTTGGGAGATGGAAGCCGGCGGAATTGGGGGAAGGCGGGAGAATCGGCCGGCACACACATGCTGTAACTACGCACGAACGAACGGTAGAGCGGCACCACAGCCCACCTGGAGCGTAGCATTGGCTCATGGCCAAACTCCGGGGGGTTCGAGAGCCTTTGTTTCCAGAAGAATCTCTTAGCGAGATGCCGCGGTGCTAAACCAATCTATGCCGGAGGGAGATCATCGAGGTACGGATAACTAGATGGCCCCTTCTTTTCGCCCATGGAAGACCCCTACCAAGCCCACGCATGTCCCTTGGCCCAGGGGGCAATACCACGGCCGTTGCGCATCTGCGGGGAAGGTCGCCCAAACTTAGCCCCCAGCCGTCTGAACAGTGTTTTACGCCGGAGATGCGCTCGAAGAGAGGGCGAGATTTTCGGTCCCTGATTCAATCTGGACGCGAGAACGTGTTCGATCTCGTTCTTTTGCCACAGCACTATTGAGCGTAGTTTGCAATTTGTCTCTTGCGTGTTTAATGACCGCGACGCGCGGGTTTTCCCTCCGGGTGGCTCGGGGGCGTGTCGAACGACAGAGTTTGTTCCCTTTCGTCGTCCTGTCACTCCCCGCACAATGTCTTAGGGCAATCAGCTGTCAGGTTCAGATTGGACTTTGTCCCACGCAAATTGACGAAGATCCAGGAATTCCGTGTGCGCTCGCCCTTGTCACATACACACGAATTGGGCATTTCGCCAGCCGGCGTCGCGGCTTGGCGCTAGCTAAACGAACCCACGTAAGCGGCCCCAGTAGATCACAGAGGCTGAGCTGGGAATCGTCGCGGCGTACGGCGTAACGTCCGCCGTAAGCCAGTTGCGAACTTGTCAGCCCGCCCCCGAGCGATGGTAATCTCGGAGATGGTCCCCAGTGCTGTGTACGAGTTAGTCCTCAGCCGTCATTGAGTTTGGAATTTGCACAATAGTATCGTGTCGAGGCTCTGATGAAGAACGGCAGCAATGCCAGTGTCGATCAAGGGACATTGGAAACCCTCCGAGGCGTCACATTAATCAGCTTGCGGCGGGTGGATCACTCAATACGATGGCGATTGATACGTGCAACTTAAACTTCCCGTACCGGCAGCTCGAGTCGAGGTGCTTCGGCTGGCCCCAAGGGTCGCCACCCCTTTAATGAACTTGAATTCCACGATATCCGAACACGATCCGGCAAGAAACCTAATGTGGAAGACGCGACATTGCAGGCAATCAAAGCCGATGGGTTGAGTGATTTCGGAATAATCGTCAGATGCATCTTGTGTCCGGTCTCACAGTGAAGCGAAGCGTGGCACCCCTATCGTGCGCATGTGCGGCTGAGACGGAGCGAAGCTTCGTTGCGCCTCAACGCATACGGAACAAAAACCACATATGCGACAGCTGCATGCATGCATGAGCGTCAACTAGAATGAACATGAACCCAAGATAGATGCAATGAGGTCAATAGCTCCGGGGTGTCGAATCCACAGAGCTCATGCTACTATAATGAGGCCCTCTCGAAAAAGGCAAGACCTGATTATACTGCAGTTGGTCGATCATTTTTCTAAAAGTGATCCCAACGCTGTGGCTGACGCTCGAGATTGACGGCAATGTGCATATCAGATCACATCCTTCGAGCCATCCTCTGCGTCTGGAATTAGTTATAATCCCACGGCAATTGCAATCCTGCCAGTGACGTCGGTGGGAGACGATCCAAAGTAATATGGCGTCAGTAGAAATCATCGAGGGATTCGTCGCATGGTTGACAAGGTTGACAGGTGAGAAGGCCGAGTTGTCTGTGGAATTCCTTCTTCCTCCTTCTCCAGACTATTGCTCCCTCGCCCCTTCAACCGTTAGGCTGGGTAATCAGGAACATACAGGACATGGCTGCAGGCTGCGGGTAGGCGGGCTCGGCACCTAGGCACGACGTAGTTCGCCTCTTCACTGTACCACGGGGCACGGAAGTGTATGCATTGCAGACGGTTGACGGGGTGGCTCTCGGCTATCTGGCTATGTCTGGGGTCGCACATCAATGATTGCGAATATATTGGATCCCGTATTTACCGAATATGGGGGGCGGCCTTGGGAGAGTGGTAATAACGGACGCACGTGTGGGCAGATTGCCCAGCAAGCCCAGAGGTGCCGAGAGAATGCAGGTGTACATTATTGATTGGCCTTTCGATACTCGACGCACCGAAAGGGGGGGCCTGCGAGTCTGGACTCTGAAGTCGGGTCGCGGTGGAGTATGCGTGTGTTACAATGCGCTGCTTTTGGCCAGCGAGACCAACCACCCCCGGTCCAAGGTTCCAGCTGTGCAGTAGTCTGCCCTTCTGCCCTTCTGCCCTTCTGGGAGCCAAGGGCCGCCGGATTTTGTTCAGATAGGCAACTGCATAGCGAGCCCCCGATTGCCCCGGGTGCGAAAGGGGATGTTCGGGTACCCGAGCAGACGTGAGCATGAGGAGAGCACTAGGGTTTCGCACAGAGTCCCACCGGAGTACCAGACCAATGCAGTTGCCTATCGCTCTGGCAGATCGCCAGCAAAGGCTCTCGGCGCTCCAGTCTGGATTATGCAGCGATGATGACATCTGCTGATTTAGCTGACTGCCTGGCTGACGGGCGCAGGTTGGCGATGCTAAGTTTAGCGACGGGGGCAGGCCAACGCCTCAATGAGCGTGCAGCCAATCCCACTTGGGGCCTCGCCAGCAGCCAACAGCAGCGCCGGGAGCCCAGGAGCCCAGGAGCAAGAGGAGCCTTCCAGCGCAGCAGCAGCAGCAGCAGACTGCGTGTGTTGGCGGGGACTTTAGCCTGTGGACTGCTGAAGCTCGAGTCCAACCTTGAAGGGGGGCACCTCGAACAGCAGGCTCCACCGGGCTGTGGCACAAAGGCCGCGGCCTGCTTGGCCCCTGGTTGGCCTGCTGCCGGTCTTAGCATAGGAGACAGGGGGGTGGGCGTCCACTTTTCTTCTTGCGACGCGATGGGGCTCCTGGGGGCACTTTGACTTTTGGGCTTGTCTTGCCTTTGGGGTCCGTCCTCCCGCCAGGCCCGCTAATCCCGCCCCAATCCCGCCAATCAGGGCGGCGCGGCGCCCCCTGACTTGCCCTGGCAGGCCTGGCATTCCTCATTGCGCAACTCGACGCTCCTCTGCCATCCAAGCCCACAAGCCCATCCTCCCTGCACGACCCCTGGCCCCGAGCAGACGAGTCGATGCCTGAGGCCGCCGTCCTGGGCCTGCCCCCGAACAAACGTGTCCTCTAGATAAAGGCCGGCCGCTTCGCCCTCGAAACTGGGAAGCTCGAGCTCACGACCACACCAGAGCACCCAACAGGCCACTCTGTCCTCAAGCACTTGACTGTAGCCTGAGCACGCACACACGCACACACACACACACAACCTTGACTCATCAGGTGACTCACCTAGCCTGGCAACCTGTCCCATGGGAAGCATGCACCGCCATAGGTAGAATGCCACAGCTGTATTAGTATTGGGGAATTAGGACGGCACCTCTCTACTTCAGCACTCCCCCCCTCCACACACTCTCCTGCAATCCACACCCAAACAACCACCGCCCCGTTGCAGAGACTGTTCAAGTCCTCCTTGACAAACATCACCAAGATGGCGTCCTGGACTGGTCAGACCCCAGCCTCGACCCCTCAGGTCAAGTTCGAGAACTCGCCCGCCGAGTCCTTCATCTCCACCCCCGGCGCCGACATGTACCCCCTCTTCGGCACCCCCGCCCCCGGCATGAACCCCATGGAGACCGTCATGACGCCCAGTTCCTTCTCCGAGGAGCACGAGCACGACCACGCTGGCGACGACGACGCCAACAACGAGTCCCCCGACGCCGACAAGAAGCCCACCAAGAAGAGGAAGTCGTGGGGCCAAGTCCTCCCAGAGCCCAAGACCAACCTGCCTCCCAGGTAAGCTCCACCACAACAGGCCACAGGCTGGCACATGGCATGGCGCCTAGTATATTACACCGTTTGCTAACGTTCGCCCCCCCCCTCCCCACAGGAAACGAGCCAAGACGGAAGATGAGAAAGAGCAGCGCCGCGTCGAGCGCGTCCTGCGCAACCGTCGTGCCGCCCAGTCCTCCCGTGAGCGCAAGCGACAAGAGGTCGAGGCGCTGGAGCTGAAGAACAAGGAGCTCGAGGCCGGTCTCAACCAGCTGCAGAAGCAGAACATGATGCTGCTGCAGGAGCTGAGCAAGTTCCGCCGCGCCTCGGGCGTCGTCACCCGGGGCTCGTCGCCCCTCGACACCGTCCAGCCCGCCCCCCTCACCCTGTCGCAGCCCCTGTTTGGTGCTTCTGAGATGGCCGAGAGCAAGTCGGGCCTCATGAACGACTTCATCCTGATGCCCGAGAACGAGGGCACCATCAACCCGGCTTCCATCTCCCCCGAGCTCGCCCCCATCCCCGACAGCGCCGTCTCGGCCCCGGCGCCCGTTGCCCCCGTCAAGCCCGCCACCTCTTCTGCTTCTTCTATCGACGCGACACAACATCCAGCAGCGGTGTTGTGCGACCAGCAGTGTCCGTCGGTAGAAGTTCAGCAGTCGTGGGTGGCTCGTCAGACGCCGCAACCGGCGCTAGCGCTCTGCCTCCAGCTCCAAGCTCTTTTGATGGCCTCTTCGGCGATGCTTTCAGCTTGTCAGCGCCCTCTCACACTGATTCATGGGTCGCTGAAGCACAGTTTAGCCCTGCAAGCGACCCCCTCAATTTTGAGTACCATCATCTGGATGGTGACGCTTCCGCAGAGTTTCCGGATCTCGACTTCACACAATTCCTTGACGACGATATCAGCGGCGCAGCTCCAGGCGCGACCGCGGGACACGTCTCGCTCTCCTACGAGCCCGAATCTACCTTCGGCCTCTTCGACTCTGAGAATCAAATCTCTTCAGAGACTCTTAACCTGCAGTCCCAGACTGGCGCGTCCGCTAAAGGATGCGACGCTGGGATTATTGCGGTTGGTGTCTGAGGGATGCGATGACCGGGTCGAGGGGCTGGCAGATGGATCCCCGGGTATCAAGGGAGATCAGAGCCGTGGCCCGCTATTGTGGCCAGACGGCGCCAGCGTACCGTCGCGAGAGGTATTGCTCACGCTACTGTGGGCAATCAGGGTCGAAGAACGGAAAATGCATGCGAGAGAGGCGACTATAGTCTCTCAGCCGGCCTCTTCTACTATCAGACCCGGATCAAGCGTTCCTCAGGACAAAGAAACCAACCAGAACTATGTACTATCGTCCTCTTCCAAACGGAAGAGAGACCTCGATGTGGGCGGCAGCAAGCGTGTAAGGCTAGGGTATTAAACGGAGTTGGGGGTGTTGTGGGTTTGGCACTGTCAACAACAACAGAAAACAACGGCAGGGGCCGTTGCGGCGCAAATGGTTGATGCATCTACACCGGGCCCGGTGGATGGATTTGTAGCGTTACACAATCGAATGAATTGAGACGATTGAAGACTTTCATCATTACACACAATCTCTGCACTATGCAATGTGACCTTCTGTGAGAAACTTGTTGCCATCGTTTAACTTGTTAGCGTTCCCGTCCAGTTCAACTGCTCCTCTCCCGTGCCTGATAATATAGGTCAATCTCGTACTTGCACGCCGAAGTGTTCTTCACACGCGCTATATCGCCAACCCATGGCCGGCGTAGTCGAGTCAGTCTAGCATCGGCTTGACATGGCATCAACTGTCATATCGACCCTGTGAACCCGCAAAGAAGAAGAGTCTCCAGGTCATGTGGCGTCTTCGATGGTTTCGGCACAACATTGTTGTATGACGATGACACAGATGACGAGAATGGGAAACCGGTGCGTAAGTACTTTGTGGAAGCCCGGCTGGAGCCTGGAGGACAGACCTGAAAGACTGGATTCATTCTTCATTGCTCGCCCGAGAGCTAGATCGATCATGCGAGGCCGTGCGACATCATGTGCTTCGCAACCAGAGAGGCAAAGGAAAGAGGCATTAATCACCGATTGGCGCCCATCCTTGACTTCTTCAGTCCGCCCACTTTCGACGCGCCAATTTTGGTACTCAGTTTCGCCTTTCTCCTTCATCTGCCGGCCGAAGTGCGTGAGATACATGATCTATGAGTGAGTACCTGCTCGTGATTGGCCGGTGCTCAGTCCCCAGCAACCCCCTGGGCCACTTCGGTCCAAGCCTGGCCATGGGACGCTACGAATTGCAAATTGACGTCCATATGATCGACTGCTTGAGGCCGATATATGCCAGCATGGTCGGAAACCGGGGAGGGTGGCATGGTGTAAGTGGTACCTAACTCGCTTCTCGAAGTCGACTTACTGAAGGAGATATTGGCATCCATGCAGCACGCCAGGTCCAAAGACCTCACGTACAACCCCGGGTCTCCTGATGAAAGTCAACAAGGAGGTCCAAAGCGAGGAGTCCTATACATTGTTTGGCGCCAACCAATTGATATATCGCTCGGGGCCTGTGTGGTACCTGGGGAACATCTACGGCAACCACGTAGGGTTCGTGGGTGAGACTAACACATTACCCTTGCTCGAGACATGAGCTATGCGTTTAATATGCGAGATACACCGCTACCCGAGCACGTCGTGATGCAAGACATGTTTCCCAACATCTGGTAGTCTGCTAACAAACATGCAGATGGGAACACAAAAGACTGCAGCAAGTTTATATATTTCCAAACCGACGGCCAAGCTGTCAGCCCGCCCTATATCTGAAGACGACGTATCATGTTCTCAGAATCTACCCTTCGTGAAGGTGAACTCCATCCGGCCATTATACGACGCCAGGACCGGGTTTGGGGGATTGTCCTCCATGTAGATCTCGTCGGCGCTGCACTTGGACATCATCCAGGCCCTGGCCGCCGCGTTGGGCGCGTCCCCCACGATCTTGTCCAGCACCTGCGCGCCCGACCCCTTGGCCACCAGCGCCGCCGCCGGCGCCCCGGCGAACAAGTCTGCCGTGCAGCCGTGCAGCCTGTTGGACCCATCGGCGGTCCGCACGCCGGCCGCCCCGTCGCTGCCCTCGAGAAACGACACGTCCCCCCACATGACGCCGTTGCTGTCCACGCTGCTCTTGGCCCACGTGCCCAGGTTGTGCGCCTTGCCGTCCTGGTTGACGGCCGGGGTCCCGCGCACGACCCGGCCCTGCCACGTCGGGCAGACCTGCACGAAGCGGCGCGCGCCGTTGTCGAGCTGTGGGGTTTCACCACCACGAGTCAGTCAAGTTTGGACCCAGTCGGGGGTTGTGTATCTGTGTGAGACCTACAGTGAGGTACTTCCACGGGTGTTCATCGCGGCTGTTCTCGTAGAGGAAGTAGTTGCCGGTCACGCCGTCGTTGTTGGTGATCCAGAAGCCGGGGCCGGTCTCGGGGTCGCCGGCTACCATGCGTTAGGCGGGCATACGGAAGTGAACTCTTTGGTGTCAAGACCTACTTGTATGAATAGCCGGAGCATCTTTCTCTCCGCAGTACTGGATGGCCAAGTTGTCCTGGTTCTTGCTCGTATGGGCGATACTACTGTTCAGTTCCCGAGGGTCTGCGTCAACACCTGAGGGCAAGGCATGGCTCACGGACGCCAGCCCGATAGCGGTAAGAAGAGCTGTGCTCTTGAAGAACATGGCGATTTTCGAAGTGTTATATTGCGAAGTTCGCGTACAAGACTCTCTATGCCAAAAGAACTCGATGTCAGTCCTAGGAAGGTGTTTTCAGAGGCTAGAGGCCGACATATGTAGTCTGTTTAGAGTGGTGAATCGCCACCCATCATTAGTCGTACTTCCATAGGACAGAATAAGGCGCTGTACGACAGCTCTAGGCAAACCATTGGTCAAATACTGCTGGTTCTTGGTGAGTCGGCTTGATACGAAGGCATGTCTCATTACTGGACGTGAATGTTATGTGAAGTCCGAGAAGGCACTAGTGCTATAGTCCAGATTGCCGTCAGTTGGATTGGGTCAAGACGGGACGGAAAGCTCGTATAAAAGGACAGGTGCGTCCGCTAGCCATTCTGAGTCACACCATTAAGGCACGAGACCCCATCCATCAAAAATGTGGTGGCGCGTTCGACGAAGTCAACTGCAACTGTGACGGCAGCCTCTTGTGTATCTTCGATGGCAGCTCTGTCTCAACGAGCATGCGAAGTCTGAACCCACTGTGAACAAGCTCCATACTTAGAATCTGTGCAGTGTCTCAAACCGGTTCAACTTGAGAAATATCAATTGTTTTCTTTTGTCATGTGCTACAAGGCCACGGCAACCGTCCCGCAAAAGGTCCGAATCGTTGTTCTGTGACACAGAAGGGTGCTGAACACGAGATTATCTGACATGTTTGCTTGCCGGAGCATTAAAATCCTAGGAGTTCACATGGGGCTCTAGATCTCAATCATCTTCCTGAATGTTGCTCCGAGAATGTCCTTTCATTTCTAAGCCTGTATCAGCTGTCGCCAGTGACCAGCACATACCAACCGCAGCCCAACCTGTCATTGCTGAAATTTGTCACAAAAGTAGCATGCTTCCCTTTATGATAACGCCGCCCCATATCGGACCAAGTTCTGCGTTGTCTTTCCTTTGACCTTCTTGAATTTATTGGCTATTCAACAACGCGCAGTGATACTTGGCTGTCGGAATCGAGCCAATGGCTTCGAGGGTTTTAATAAGGGAGCCACATATGCACATACTTACATTCAGCACTCGACATTGACTTTGCAGCGTACTTCTTTTGTCTCTTACATCTAAAGTCTGGGACTAGGAGGTTTATGGAGCGGGGCTCCAGAAGGATATCACTGCTGTTCGGAAGCTATCCGACAATAATTGGGGAGTACCTGTGCCAAGACAAGGCGTGCTTTCCCCTACCCATCACATCACAGATGTCTGGTAAGACACTGTAATGTAAAATCATGGTTAAAAGGCTGGAAGCCGTTTTCAGTTATGATCCGGGTTGCTTCCAATGTACCATCTGAACCATATAGATTTCCCCCTACTGAATGCAACAATGTCGCAGAATAAAGATCCAGTTGCAACAACATCTACATCTACTGAGGTACTGGAACATTTCAGCCGTGGCAAAACTTTCCATGTCGCGCGTCGAGCGGATGCTTTGAGTGATACTCCCGACGGGAGCTCGATTGCAGATCCCGACACCGAGCGCAAGAAGGCACTCACTGCTTTGACAGCCGAAGAGGAGAAGAAACTGATACGCCGCATCGATTGGCGTCTCATTCCATTACTAGCGCTGCTATATGTTATGAAGAAACTGGATGAGTCAAATGTGAGCTCATTCAAGCTCTTCATTGATAAAATCTTAGATCTAATAAGACGATCCTAGGTATCAAACGCACGCATTATGAATAAGGGCACACCGCGTGCCATTCTCACACAATTGAATATTTCGTCCGATGAATACGGGATGATCACGGTGCTTTACACGGTCAGACCTTCTTTTGATGTTTATGTTGGAGGATAAAGACTGACGCGATGAGTACAGGTGCCGTACATCTTGGCTGAGGTACCATCAAACCTAATTCTGAAAAGGGTAACGCCGTCTCGCTGGCAGTCAAGAATCATGTTGTCTTGGGGAATCGTCACTATATGTACAGCTGCGGTGACAAATTTATCAGGGCTTTACACCGTTCGGTTTCTTCTCGGACTGGTAATCTATGTTGTCTCTAATCAAAAGAGAGACGTGGCTAATGCCTCCCTTGCAGACTGAAGCTGGGATGTTTCCAGGCATCATTTTGCAATTAACTTACTGGTACCGACCTGACGAAATGGCAACCCGACTGGGATGGATATGTGAGCGAACGCGAGATCCTCTGTATTGTAACTCTAGAAGGCATCAATCTAATGATCGATCAGATGTATGTGGCAGTATTGCAGGCATCATCGGTGGCGTTTTCGCATATGCCTTCAATGGCGTTTCTGGAAGGCTTGGCGTATCGGGGTGGCAATGGTGGGGCTCCTGGCGGGATCTCACGACATAGTGCTATTGCTGATCGTTGCAGGCTGTTTATTTTCGAAGGGGCAACCACAATCGTCTTGTCAGCCTTGATTTTATTCCGTTTACCGGACTGTAAGTCTGTCTTGAGGTTGTATTCCACAGAAGATCTGAAGACTAACTCGCCGGCATCAAGTTCCTTCGACAACTTCTTGGTTATCCGAGAGGGAGAAAGCCTTCATCCAAGCACGACTCCCTCCCAATGCCCCAAGGGGTGCTGAAGAAAACTTCAGCTGGGGAGAGATCGTTACTTCGCTCAAGGACAAGAGACTCTGGCTCTTTACTCTCAGCTGGGCATTGCAAACCTGTGGAGGCAGCGGCGTGAAGTTTTACCAATCCACTATCATCGCGAACTTGGGGTTTAGGTAAACGTCCCCAATCAGAACTGTTATCTGTAACTGATCGAGTTGACATCACGCCAGTGACATTGCCACAGCCCAACTTCTCAACATTCCCATGTCTGCGCTGGCCATAATTATCATTGTCACATGTACATGGCTGGCTGGGAAAGGCAGCATACCCATTCCTCTGTTCCCTGTTGCTTTCACGGTTATCATAGTGGCGTGCTACGGCGTAATGACTGCTTACCCTAGTGATGTGGGAGTCTACATAGCCATGATGATAGGCAACGCCGTGTCTACGGCTTGGTTCCCGTAAGTAAACTCTGTGGCAATCTCACTGTGAACTCCTTGACTAATTCGCCTCTTCCAGATTGATGTGGCCATGGCGCGCCCAAACCACCAGTAGGGCTACTGGATCAGCATTCGCCATCGGTTTTGTGAATAGTTATGGCCAAGTGGGCGACGCCATTGGGCCCCAGATGTTTCTTGACAAGTACGAGCCACGTTACCAACTGCCTTTCGGGTTCTCCATGGGTCTTATAGCGCTGTGTGGATTAAACTGTGCCTATACGTGGTGGGTTACTAGACATACGGAACGAGATACCCGAAAACACAAGCTGGCCCGACTTGAGGCAAAAAAGCACAATAACGTTGTGTTGGACGACGTTTCTGACCACGACCTTGAACGAGCAGGCAGATAGGAGGGGTGTCTCTGTTGCATCTAGGAAGGCTACCTCTAGGTACGATTTGGTCACATTGAAACTGGATATGAGATGCGGGGATACAGCTGGTGCACAATCGTTCTATCGTAGCATCGCTCTCTCATAACTTAGCCCCAACATATCTCTAAGTTTGCGTAGTTTGCGCCATAGGATCATATAGGGGTGGCACTAAATTTGGACTAGCGTGGTGCATATCTACTTCTTAAGGTGAGACATAGTGAAACCTATCTTGTGCCCCTACTGAAGTGTAGTGTGCCCACTTCAAGCTTGGTTGAACGTGCTGCGTCGAATAGCAAAGTAAGATAAGTAGACCTTCCTTAGCTGCCCAGCGAGGTAGGTCATTACCGCGTCACCTCTTTTAAGCTGACCCAGAGGTCTGGCTTCATCCAGGTTTGATATGCGTCCATGTCATTATCATCCCATCGCTTCTTGGATACACGCGCCACTTCGCTGTCTGCAACGGCAATATCGAAATTCCAAAGTAAGTGCGTTAGTATGAGCCTCATTTCGAACCAAGAAAGATTCTTCCCAATGCAGCCCCTAGGCCCAAGACTGAAGGGCTGTGACGCGTGAAACTTGTCATGAGCGTACCGCTTGTGACCAAGCCAGCGCTCTGGGTCAAACTTTTCGGGATCTGAGAAATGTAACGGCGAGCGCACAGCAGCCCAAGGCGCCACCGCTACAGTGGTACCTTCAGGAAGATAATGCCCGTCGATGGTCGCACCACCTTTGGGTACGATGCGCTGCTGATTGGCTGGTGCGGGGGAGAACAGCCTCAGTGCCTCGTTCAGAGTAGCATCAAGGTATGGTAGGTTCTTGACAGCCTCCCATCGAATATTGTCTTCGGAGGGGAACGCAGCTCTTATCTCCGCTGTTACTCGTTGTAGGATGTCCGGGTTGGCAACCATGAAATACGTCCAACCCGTCATCAGGTTGGCGGTAGTCTCGCTACCAGCACTGATGAACAAGACCATGTTGAGAATGATTTCTGTCTGTGACAGTCCTTTGCGAGAGCCTTCGTTTTTCAGAATATGCTGTATTAGATCTGGGTGTTCCCTGTCCGGGTCCGCGAGTCGCTTCAATGTCTTTTCTCTCGAGTTTTTGAAGTGTGTCACTCTCCAATTAGCTGCGGTTGCTGGCACGACGAGCTTCACGAGCAGTTTGTGTAGTAATGTATCGATACCGGCTACGCGACGAATGGCTTGGTCCCACACCGCCGACTTGAAGATGTTGACAATGGCTGATGCCCATTCGTTGGCGGCACCATCATCCAGACACCCGAAGGGCTCGGCAAAGCAGAGATCGCCAATCATGTCAAACGTGGTGAAGGTGTCTTGATCGATTAGTTAGCAGAGCATGGTGTATGGCGTAGGTAGATGGCACTTACACCAATTTGCCATGTTGGCAGGCTGGCCACTCGCAGCCATCTTCTTGAATACCTCGATCAGCTTGTGAACGTGAAGCAGAAGGATTTCTTGCTGTTGCAGTAGGGCTTGGTTGGTGAACGGTGCAGAAAGAGCTTTGCGCTGCCGCGTGTGAGACTCGTTTGGAGCGAGGCTGATGCCTGTATGCCCATCGAGGTTATTGACTGCCCCAATGAAGAGGGGACTCTTTTCAAAGTTTGGTCCCGTTTTCTGATTCAATCAGCTGTCAAACCTCTATTTCATGCGGAATCCTGTTGTTGATAGGTACACTCACCTGGAAGCCGTAGATGTCTTCCCAAGCCCCATCTGCGATGAAGCTAAGCTCATTCGGAGCGACTCTTACCACAGGGCCTACCGGAAGGGCATTGAAATCAGTAAACTCATCCTTAATGCTATTCAGTATCGGAGGTTTCGCCATATGTATACGCACCGTAGCGATCATGTAGCTTCTTGTATGCTATCGGTTGATTCGCCTGAAGGAGGATCCAAGCGGCAGGCAATTCGGAAATGCTCATAAACCATGGTCCAGGAAACCGACGTAGTGGATGAAGCCATTTGCATTGAACTATTCGTACAACAAACGCTACGACTGCCTTCAAACCGAGGCCGAAGTTTGCGTTAGTAGCTTATTCCGTCAAAACCGAAACCCGCGAGGTCAGTTACCGTAAGTACGACCGAGCTAGCGATCATGGCTTTTGAAAGCACAAGCTGCTCCCTCACCACGAAACTCTGGACGGAGAAAACTGTCATATTGAGCGTTTGTACGCCACGTTAGAGGACCGAAGTAAAAGACAGAAGAAGAGTCCGCAGATAGGAAAACTTCTCTCAAAAGAGGGAACAAGCAATAGTGTAATAGTTTCACGTCCACGTCAAGTATAGCATACACCCAGATATCAAATGGCTCTTGTTTCGAACTTGCCAACTCCAGTTTCTCTTGTTTCCTTGACTATGGTCATTTAACCCTTAGTCGAAATGGTGTGTGAAATCCAGATGACGACATTGATATCTGTCTTGGCTTAGCAGCTGTCTCTAAACGGAGCTCTGTTAGTAAAGAGGAATATTTGGATGCCGAAGCTCTATCAAGTTAAGATTGAAGTTCTCTGAACTCAGTTCCCCATATACGTGGCGGTAACCTTAATTCGGCAGTGTCTCCCGGGTGCTATAAAGACGGAAGGCAATTCGGTGAAAGTGGTGCCAGATTTCCACTTATTTCGATGAGACTAGTCTCAGGTCCCACTGTCCTTATCTATACATGGGTACTCATATCGGCTTTTAGTGGCGGTATGGCACTTTGAAACCTCCCTCTCATCGCCATGGCTGAAGCCTGTCGAATTGATGGATTCAAGCGCATCACTTGTTGAATCATTTTGCATGAAGCAAGCAGGAGCCCGAACGAAACATGCTTTCGGTAAATGCATTCGTAGGCGAACATCACATGGTATCCACTTGAGTTGCCCCGGGTGTATACGCAGTAGCTCTGGTGATCTGCATTCTGCTATGCGCATGCAATGTGTCTCCATATTTTAAAGTTGTAGGAAGTCAACAACATATCGGCAACGCGGCAAATACGCCCAGCACAATGCCGGATCACAACCATGGCACAATACGTGGAATACCGACTCCGTACATTCAGCACGGCAGAGTCCAAGTTTACATACTTTGCATACCATAGTAGGCAATGCGGGCATCCACATCTATACAATAGGGCTTCTGTGTCTTGGCTGCTACCCTGCTATGTGATCGTGCTTTTCTCTTATTTTCTCTTATTTTCTCCACTCTGAGTAATGTAGGCAGATGCAAAAGAACCAAAATGAACAAGTAGGATCAACTTAATCATGCTCTGAAAGACATTTTTCTTGATTTTATGCCCGTTGAAAAGGGTTGCCTTGGACCTAGCAACTTGCCTCTCCCTCGTACACCGCCTTTATTTTGGTCAAATTTGCTATGATGCCGTAGAAGCTTCTAATCCAGAAGTAACATAACTTTTACTGATTGATTTCGTAGGGCAAACAACAAAAACTAAGTCGAGTCCAAAACAGAACTGGTATAGCCCGCCCTGAAGAATGTATCACAAGCCTTCGAGACTCTTTCTTGAGAACACGGATCAAGTCTTGTTTCCGCGATATGCCTAGTCTGAATGATTTGATGCAGTTGAGAGCTCGAAAAACAGTGATGTTCCGTAAGGACAAAATTAGCATATGTATCTCAAAGCAGCACTCAGTGGTCCCAAGAAATCAGTAAATGGCCGGATTTATGTCGGAAACTCTGTTGTCCGCGAGACGAGCGCATGCGCTGTAACGCTGATATGGCCATTCAATCGATGTTCCAGATGATCAAGGTATAAAAACGCCAACAGACCGTGAAATAACGTGCCGTGCGAAGCTTTCATCAACTGCCCAGGGAAATATGTAAGTGCCGGTTGTGGGGCGATATCGTGGTGCATCATGATTCTTGAATAGGTATCTACATCGTTCAGGTGCGGCAAAACGTGTGCGATGGTTCTCAGGCAGCGTGAAAGTAAACCCCAGGGGTCCTATTCCACCCTATCAGGGCCAAGCAAACCTTCTTACTTTTGCCAAGTTTGAGGTTTTCCAACTGACTCAGAGAATCAAAGTTGAGGCTAGCAAGGCTACCCCTGGAGCTTTGCTGCTTGAGGCTACCTCCCGTGCGCCCCGTGCCGTGCGCCTTTAAACCTTATACAGTATTTAATTTGGAACGAATAGCATTCTTAAGAGTTTCTACGGTAGTTTGTGGTGTTCCAAACGACGCACTTGAGATTCTGCTGCAATTTGGGTGTAGTATTTCAGTTGATATGCCTCGGAAAATCGCAATAGGAAATAGAAACACTGTACGATCCAGTTCAACTCAATCTTTATGCGCACCCATGCTATCGCATCATCGACCCCACAGTCGCAAAAATCTTCTAATGAAGCTTGTACTATCTAATTAGCCTACTGCGCTTGGAGTAACCTTCACAAAAAGGTTTGACTCTAGAAACACGCCGTAACTGAGGACATCACAGGGCTTAGTGGGGTTCACCAGTTGCAAATCGAAGTTACGGAATATCTGCAGGTCGTACCCGTTAGTTTCACGTCGCGTAAAATGTAGACGATGCTGATCCTTCTCATGCTAAATGCTTGGAAAGATTTGACATTTAACTTACTTCGAAGACGGACTTGAATAGTTCCATCGTTGCAATGGTCTTACCGACGCACTGCCATTGACCGGAGCCAAACGCCATCTCAACATTGCGCTCCATGGCAATGCGGTCCTTGTCACTCTTAAGTTCCAGGAAGCGCTCTGGCCGGAAGATATCTGCATCCTGCCCGAACATTTCCTTGGATCGTAAAAGGGAGGATACGTTGGCACAAATAGCGGTGCCCGCTGGCACATGTTGGCCATGGAATGTATCTCCCCCGGGCGGCACCACTTTCGGCAGCAGCCCAAGCAGGGGTGTACGGATGCGGAGACCCTCGTTAACCACAGCTTGCAAGTAGGGCAGCTTTTTGGCTTGTTCAATTGTAATTGGATTAGCTGCACGACCTTCCTTGACAGCTGCCTGGATCTCGCCCTTCAGCCGAGCATAAACTCGCGGGCTTGTCATGGTGTGAACCAGGATAGCGCGGATAGTCGAGGCAGTACTCTCGGTACCTGCAACAATCATGAATAGACCTTCGACTTCGCATTCTTTCTGGCTCAGGCCATGCTGAATGAAAGAGCCCTGCTATGTGGTTAGAGCTGTTCCAAGAGTAGTACTGATGGTGAATGCGCAAGTCATACTAGCATATCATTTTTCTCCGCTGCACCGGAGGCAAATCGTTTACCCACGTGTTGTTCTGCAACCCTGCAACATAGAGTCATATCAGTAACGAGGCACCTTGCTAAGGTAGAATAACCAAGTAAGCACGGGGCTTCTAAGCACTCACCCCATGAGCGCTCCAAACCCAGCCTTATCTGTCGACTTGGGACCAAGGAACCTCAGAAGAGTCTTGGAGAAGAGGACATTACGAATCCACGGAATGTCCGCCGACGTAGACATGCGCGGCCAAAGTTCTCGAACGCCTTGGGGGAAGCTGTAGTGGTCAGTGTTCTTAGCTAGATAGCCGAACTCTTGACCAAATGCCAGACGGGTGATGACGTCCATGGTGAAGAAGCATGAAACCTCTCCAAGCTCCAGGTTCTGGTTTCCGAGAGCATATCGGTCTCTCATCACACGAATGAGGGTATTGATTTGTTGGTTCACACCGACTTCCATGTCCGGGATTTCTCGACTGCTATAAGCATGCGAGGTGCGCGACTTGAACTGCGTGTGCACGTCCGACCGTAGCACGGAGAAGAGGTTATCATGGTATGGGTTAAAACGACCGCTGGTGTACCAAGAATCACGATCGTAGTTGCTACGTGCCGCGCTGATCTTGCGGAGAATTGCTGGATCGTCGGTCATCAACTCGTTTGGACCAATGCGAACCAACTTGTGTTTGTTTTGTAGCTCGCGATGAACCCAATATTGTCGTCCGCTGTACGTAGTCTTAGCCAACCATAGGTAGGAGAAGTTGGCCAACCAGTGCACTGCGGAAAACTTTCGTAACCTCCACCAAGCGTAAATACCGGTAGAGATATACCAGACCACGAGGGAGATGAACACAGTGAAACTAAGTCTTCCAAAGGAGCCGAGGTACCCGTGCAGATTTTGGTTGCTGAAAGCAGATGACATTGATTTGATGTTGAGTCGCGAGATATTACTGAGTGAAGCTATATTGAGCTTGTCAAGCTCCAGGTTCAGGCGGGCTACAGAGGGCCACCCGGCGTTGATGGAAGACGTGGCTGCCATTGAAAGTATAACAATCACTCTGATTTTGGCGCAGGTTTCGTGGAAAGGTAGTTCGCGGCGTGACGGCGAAGCTAACATTCTCATGTAAGAAGGGAAGTAAGAGTGATTGAAGCCCCTTCAACGGTTATTTACTACAGATTACGGTGGGGAAGTGCGGACATGCCCCTTGAAAATGGCCGATTGAGAGTTTATAGGCCGCACGCGGTCTTGATGTCATCATTTGCATCGGCAGGTGTAGGCATTAGGAGTTGAGTTGCCACAACCTTCACATGTTCCCTAGTCAGTATCCTGATTCTTAAACATTGTCAACATTCTCCCAACGAAACGAAAGTCTTTAAAGACACACCGGTTCCACTGATCATCGCTTGACCTGACGACTCAGGAGCTATGATACAAGTGAGTTTTATGAATCATCGTGAAGAAAGGCTGGTGGGTTCCGGGCCGGTGTGCGGCGTGCATGGGATCTAACTTCAACGCAATGATACGGCAGACGTCAACGAGAACTTTTTGATTGGTTCAGCCGCCTTTAACCAGCACAGAGTTACATTCGTAGCGGAATCTTACTATTGGCGTGAACGGTGCGGTGATCGGTTCCTCTATGCATGACCAGCACCTTCTGATAAGACATGGGTAGAGACTAAAGAGAGTTTCTCCTGAGCTTCCTGTAGTGTGAAAGTCGACTGCAGTTCATGAAGACTTGGAAGTGGAGCAAATATATTGGTAGAGTGGGGCGGTCTGCCAAAACACTAAAGGTCGCAAAGAAAACAGGCCACTGCACCATCGGCATTGTTGTAAAGTTAGATCCCCCAGGCCTCGGTGGCAAGATCTTCACTGCAGAAGCAGATGGACCTCTCTCGGTATAGTTTCAAATGAAAAGTTCCTTTTCAAGCTGTCCAATCAGTTTTCTGACCAGAGCTTAGACTCGTCACCTGAATGACTCGCGAAAACAGTATCGGCATTGGACAAACCCACCGCGCCAAGTCAATCTCCGTCTGTTGCCTCAAGACCCGCTCAGTGCAGGCCAAGACCCGCGCAGCAGAGCGGAAGCTGTCGGCCGTCGCCTCTTGTGGAGGCAGTTGCACTTAGACCAGCGCCATGTAGTATGCAATTTACTGTCACGCATCAAACCACTAACAACCAGAGTTCCAGGGGGGAGAAATGCCCTTGCTGCCAGGTATTCGGTGGCCGTTGCTCATTGCTCGGTGTATGATGTCAGTCAACCTCATCGGGTATATAACTCATCTTTGTTGCTATCATTATTCCGGTTCCAACAGTTTGCTCATAATAAACTTCACCAACCATCTAGGCTGAATCCCCAGCCAAATCAGCCTTCACCATTTTTGAGAATATAGGAACAGTCTCCTTCTCTTGTCAAATATCACATACACTTGCACGTCGATATGGCTGCTAAGTCTCGCACTGCGTGGCACTAAGTCGGAGCACCCACATATGGGCCCCCCCTACATTTGGGCCCCCGGTAATTAATAGGTCTCAAAACTCAACACCACAACTCAACAATTATTATTAAATTAATTGACCTCTACCACGATACAGGAT